CCCCCCCCCCCCACTCATTTTACTTCACACACATACATATCATTACATATACACCTTACATCAAAATAAAAATAACTAAATACAATTGTTTTATAACTCATTATTAATGGTTTATTCCTCTCTCTGCCTTATCTATATATCTTGCTTATCCATCGTTTATACTCTCCCACAGACCGGAGTTAAGACTACGTGGGGGGCGGGGTTGTGGGGCATAATCTCCTGTCATAACACCGACGGCTTTAAACTTTTTGCTGTGAAATTTTGTTACTTTTTTCCACGCAACAGCGAAAATTGTTATTACCTCAGCAGAGATGACTGATTAGCAGCGTTTCCTATTAACTAATTCATGCCAAGGGAGAATCAGGGAAGGTAAACAACGTGATTATTCCCTGTATATGTATATATATATGTACTTATTCATAAGGTACGCTGAAACATTTGTCACATTGACTAAGTTTGTTTGCATAAATTACCGACGTACAAACCATTCCTCCTAATAAAACAAACTATGACTGGAACTGCAACTCCTATTAAGATCACCACCAAGGAAGTCGCCAACGATTTCTTAAACCGTTATGACACTTTCTTATTTGATTGTGATGGTGTATTATGGCTAGGTAACCATGTCTTACCTCACACAAAGGAATTTTTAGATACTTTGGCTGCTTTGGGTAAAAAAACCATCTTTGTCACTAACAACTCTACTAAATCACGTCTATCATATACAAAGAAATTCGCATCCTTTGGTATCACTGTGAAAGAAGAACAGATATTCACTTCTGGTTATGCTTCTGCTATCTATGTTCGTGATTTCTTAAAATTACAACCTGGTAAAGATAAAGTCTGGGTCTTTGGTGAGACAGGTATCAGCGAAGAACTGAAAAAAATGGGTTATGAATCTCTAGGTGGCGCTGACCCAAGACTTCAAACTCCATTCGACGCCTCTACCTCTCCTTTCCTAGTCGATGGGTTAGATGAAGATGTCCGTGCTGTCATTGCTGGTCTTGATCCAAATATTAATTATCACAAGTTAGCTATCACTTTGCAATATCTACAACAAAAGGATAAGGTACATTTTGTTGGTACAAACGTCGATTCTACTTTCCCTCAAAAGGGTTACACCTTCCCTGGTGCTGGTTCGATGATCGAATCTATTGCTTTTTCATCTGGTAGAAGACCAGCTTACTGTGGTAAGCCTAACATGAATATGTTGAATACAATTGTATCAGCTTTCGATTTGGAAAAATCGAAATGTTGTATGGTTGGTGACCGTCTGAACACTGATATGAAATTTGGTGTTGAAGGTAAACTTGGAGGTACCCTACTGGTCTTAAGTGGTATTGAAACAGAAGAAAGAGCCCTTGAAATATCAGAAGAACATGTTAATCCAAAGTTTTTCGCTGAAAAGTTGGGTGACATTTACGAGTTGACAAAACAATAATCGTAACATATCTATATTTGCATATATCCGATTATTTTCTCCCTTTTATATATGTGACTTATACAGACGAAATTATTGGTAATGATAATCTTATTTTTTTTACTGCTTATTTATAGATAAATTAGAATTAATAGAATCTCTATGGTATTTATTTCTTTTATTTTGTTTGAATTATATAAAGATACATGTCTTTCTAGACTCCTTAAGATGTAGTCAACAACTATGTGATTGATGGATGAAGTAGTGTAATGTACTTTATGACTAATAAAGCAGAAAAAAATGTCATGATTGGCCTTCTTTATGGATGATTGTTATTATAGATGTTATAGAGAGATGGAAACTTTTAAAGATAAACTGTTACCGTTCATAGATTTAGAACATTAAAACATTTTTTGAACTCTAGAGCACTTCGTTGTAATATGTAGAAAGTTCTCTTCTTGCTACTTGGAATTCCAGCCTCGCTTGCGCTAGTGCTCTCTTGATCAAAAACAGATAAAGGTCATCATCATCTGTTGTTGGAGGAACACCACTGTTACTCTTATCATAATTTGCTTTATCAGAATCTGTTAGTTCTGTATCAGCTGGCAGAGTATCAAGTAATTGTTCTTTAGATGGGAAACTCTTTTCAGCTTTTCTCCCTAAATTCTGAATACGTTCACAGGACCAAGCTATCCTTTGAAGACCCAGAGCTGCCGACGACCCCTTTAAGAAATGGCCTAGTTTCTCTAGTTCCGATAGGTCTTTATTATTGTTTAGTTGTTCATCCATTTCGCCAAAGGTGGTTTCTGCTTGGTCAATAAACTGGATAATTAGACCTTTGGAAAAATCAGGATCATCTTCATCCATAGATATTATCTCGTTTAGGATCCCCCAGTTGATAATCTCAACAGGCATCGGTTCAATCATGATGGGTAGAAAATGAGTTTGTGTGTGAATTATGTGTAATTATGAGGATGCTGGTGAAGGTAAAAATAAATGTGTGTGTATTGAGAATACAACTTTAATAAGCGAGTGGAAAGAGTGGTATTATTAGCTCAGGGTGAAAGTAAGATGATAGTTATCGATATTACTTAGATATGCCCGGTAATATAATTAAAAAAAGAAAACTGGAATATTTTATTGATTTATTATCTAATATACACTCTCTGAAACTAGCGATAACTTTACGAGAGGGCCGTTATTTAACCACGTTACGTAATTATCACCATTCTCAGGCTTATATAATTATAGAAACTTTTGTAATCAAAATTTTTCAGAGACTTCGCTTTGTTCCACGGCTCGCAATGTAGAGCGAACCAAAAGGAGGGAACAAAAGAAACAATAGATAGGTGGATGATTTCGAAAGGAGACAAAATTGACTAGACAATAGCCAACACAGGGTCAATGGTCGATGTTGGGAAGGAATGTAGCAAGTATCCTTCCACTCATGAGACTTCTAAAAAAAAACAAAGACAAAAGGAAGTAATCTGGGTAGTATTAGCTTTTGTTAGCGGATAGAATCCAAAGTTCTAGTTTGTTCCTTGCTGATCACCATCTTTTTAGAGAGTAATAATTGTAAATGCTTACTATGGATGGGTAATTGCGGCGTTGGAGTATCACCACTAGTTAGATCAGGAGATGGACCTGTGTCAGATCTTGCTAATTCTTCTTTACGTTCCATCAGGGACATTAGTTTCTCAAAACGAATAAATAACAACTCACTTCTAATCATCAAGTCTCTCCAGTCCATAGTGTTATGTAGATCATTGAAGTATTTAATCACTTGGTCAAACTGATTCAGATTGTTAATGATCGGTTCACTGTTTTTCTGTAGAATAGCTAACATAAAAAATAATTGAAACTGTGAACTATAGTAATCTGTCCAAAAGATCTCCCATATACCACATATATCTTCAAACTTGAATTCTCTCTTGAACCAAACTAGTAACATTCTGAAACAAAAAAATAAATTAGAAGAATCACATTTGTTTAGATGGTCACTTAGTTGAGGTAGCATCAATTGACACAATTCTGTCATTGTGAGCATTTGGTCACGGATACCAGATTGATCTCTTAAGAAATTACGTTCCATTTTATCCATAAAATGTACAAAACACCAGAAGGCCTTGACTTCATCTCGCACAATATAATATATTGGGGACAATAAGTCGGTCATACCTTGTACGTATCCAAGATTTGGATTGAAAACGTTATATGTTTTTAAGATATCAGCCAATATAATAAGATGAGGATTTTTGATAGACCAATGCCCGTCTATACTTTCAATATCATCATCGTCTTCATCAAAATGATCACCCACCTCATTATTATTATTATCTTCAGTTTGCTCAATATTTGGTTCTCCCGATTGATCAAACGCTTGGCGTGGTTCAGAAGGTTGTGTATCTTCTGGTTCCCCATTAACTGTGTTATATTTATAAATATCAACATGTCTATCATTTCTTTTCACATCCTTATCGATACGGAACAGTTGATCTTTCCAGTAATCATCTTCCTGATCATCTTCAAATGTCTGGGTCATCCATTGGAATTTATGTGTATTATACACTTCTTTTAATGTTTCGTCAATTTGATCCCTTTCATCCTTTGAAGAATCCCAAGGATATATCTCCAACAGAAACATCCACACTTCTTGTCTTAATTCCATAGTATCCACGCCACCATGGAAAATGAAATCTTTCACTTCCCTTGTGGTGACAGCTAATCTACCTTGACTATCAAAGAAGGATTCCCATTTTTGCCTAGTTAATGGGAAATTTCTTTGAGTAACTCTATTTAATTCTTCTTCCGTAAAACTGGAATCGGCATCCACATCAAAACCTAGATCATTAGTTAGCATCCTTCTGTACGATTCATTCAATTGGTTATCCAATTTGTACTTATTTGCTTCCTCTTTAACACCAAGAGACCATTTAGCTAAATATATCCTTGCAGAATCAAAATCATTTTGAATCTCTTGAACTTTTGGATTTTTTAATAGGTTTCTCACATATGGATTATCGTTATTTCGTTCAACAAATTTGACAGCTGGATGATTATTAACTAATTTAGTCATATATTCTTCACTCTTAGCTGTGGCTGTAGCAATCCCTGACATAATTGACCATTTGGTGGACTCCCATTTATCCCAAAACCCTGCTGAAGATTTTTTGTCTTTCGGTTTACCACTAGCTGTATAACCCTCTGACGTATTGGTTCTGAAGTCTTTTAAATCTTTATTTGAAAAATTTCTTAGGGCCTCCAGACTTGCATTAATTAACCAGAAATTAGGGTCTACTTGAGTTCTTTGTAAATCTACCAGCTGAGACATCACAATTTGTAAATCAATTCCGCCCCAATAGATATCTCCTGCACTAAATGGATCAAAATTCTTTTGTAAAGCCTTTTGCTTCAGTTTTGTAGATGGACACACATCATCATGGAAAAACAACACTGGTAGAGTTTCTAATCCACTACTTCTTGGATGGAGAATAATTGACCCATGCCACCAACCACTTGTACTTGGTGGTCTAAACTCCATAGAGTATAATGACGACATTTTTACTGTAAAAGATAAATATGTTCCTTTAGTATCCATAAGAATTGAATCATCCATAGATTCTGCACTTGAGATAAGACTAGTAGATGTTGCCGATGCTGATGGCTTCCCATATTTCAGATCTGCTCGATTCAGCCAGTCCAATTCTCTCGAATTTAAAGAATTCTCTGGAAACCAATATAATAAAGCATCCTGATGGGATTGATTTGGATCTATTGTTATTATGATATATCCTGAAACGTTATCTGTCGCTACAGAAGATGGATGGATGAAAACCTTCGATTTACAAAAAATAATCTTTGAAAACATAATATGATAATCAAATGAAATTGAATGGTTTGGTGTTAATGTATCATTTAAATTGTGTAGGTTCCCTTACATGTAAAATCAATTTATCGACTTTTTAAGGATGATAAAGGCAGAATTCTCATCGCCAAATTTAAATGACGCCCGAATTGAATTTTGAGTAAAATTTAAAGTCATTTAGAAATCAACTTAAAAACAAAGCAAAAGAAACTGTTTAGCACAAAGAAGTATATCTATATAAGTGTATTTTCCCCATCACGATAGCATCAGGTATATCTCACGATAGAAGAACTAATTGAAAAGAAGTGTGATCTTGATTTAACTAATAATAAACTTTGACCAATATGGCTAAACTTGAGGAGGATACAGCAAGTAATTACGATGATGAGTTCGAAGAAGGAGAAGAGATCGATGACTATGAAGAAAAAGAAGATTACGCCGAGGATGATGAAGAGTATCTAGAGGATGAACCAAGTAAGAAAGGGAACAGTAAGAGGAAAGCTCCTTCTAGAGTCTCGTCCAGTGACAACAAACGATTACGTGGAAGCACATCTGCATCTGAATCATCGGTATCCACAATAGCTGATCGAGTAATAACTGAAGAAGGTGATGATGATGACGCAGAGGATGATGATGATGATGATGATGATGATGATGATGATGATGATAATGATGATGCAGAGGATGAAGTGGATGAAGTGGATGAAGTGGATGAAGTGGATGACGAGGATGACGATGAAATTATTCGTAGTTCGAACAGAAGAGCTCAGGCACGTCAAGTCGTAGAAGTAGACGGTGCAAAGGATGATGATGAGCACGTGGAAGAAGAACCTGAGGAAGAAGAAGAAGAAGAAGATCAAGAAGACGTACCTGAGGAACAAGTAGAAGAAGAGACAGATACAGTCGAACAAGCAGAAAATGATGACGGGGAAGAAATAGAAGAAGATGACGATGAAGGACCTGAAATTGAACTTGAAGAAGATGAAGACGAAGAACCTGGAATTGCAGAAGATGACGATGAAGACGAAGATGAACAACCAATAGCGGGTTCAGAGGTCGACGATACAGAAGAGTCAAAAGATGAGCCTAAGCCTGTAGTGAGAAGCAAAATGTTGATGAGTATACTGGCAGATGGCGTGCAACACAAGAAAGAACTTACCGCTGAAGAAATACAACTACGAAGAGAAGAGAACTCTCGTAAAAGAAAGAATTTAAAGGAGAAACGACTGGAAGAAGAGAAAAGAGACACAATCAACAAGTTACTGAAGAGACGTGCTGGTAAATACAAAGAACGTAACAAAGGTAATGCAGGGTCTTCTGGATCCACTGCAAATGGCGCCAAGGCTAATGACGACGATGATGATGATGAGATGTCAGACTTCGTGAAACCAAGAAGACCTTACAGTTCGCAAGGTATGATACGGACAATTCGCTCAACCGACGCAGACCTCTACTGTACCTTCTAACAACGCACCCTTTAAGTATCACATATAATTACATAATATAAACAAATATGTAAAGCCAATTCTACAATGAACTAAATGGAGATAACTAACCGAAGATCGATGTCGATGTCGATGTCACCTGTCAATGTCGTTTGTTGTTGTTGTTGTTGTTGTTGTTGTTGTTGTATCTTAACTATGGCGCGGTTCCTCTTCTCAACGAGAAAATTTCCAGCAGATTCCGAAGATCATCCAGTAATTTATTATTATGATTTCTGAATAATAATATTAAGTAAACTGACAATAGAGAAATCGGGGACTAGATTTTATGAATAATCAGATGCTACAGTAGACACATAAGGACAATTCACTGCCATATCTTTGATAGGGACTTTTTGAACGCATTGGTAGTAACCCCTGATAGTCATATTTACATAATAAAAAAGTGAAACTATTATATTTTGCCTGATTTTCTAAGAGGAATAATGTACCAGCAGTTGGGGGCTAATCAATCTGAGTCAAACTTGGAAGGCATACCTCAAGGTAGGATGAACCAACAGCAGAACTCTGCTTCAACTAACGAAACAGCACAACAGCAACAATTCAATTTTGTTGATGTACAGAACGGTATGGTACACGATCAAGATGCTCTTGCTCATTGGCAAATGAATAATAGTCACAGTAGTAAAAATCTGGGTAGTTACAACTCTCGCCAACCGAATGATATAACGATATCTGGTAATATAAATAAAAGCAGTAGTAATAATAGCATGAATATGAATAATCAAAGCACATTGTCTGGGAATGATACCATCGGCAGTGTGGACCATTTGAACATGAGTCAAAATGTTATACCTCAACAACAAACGTTTCAATATACTGGTAATCCTATGAATCAACAACAACAACAACAACAACAAATGATTATGGGGAATACTCCAGTACAACCAGCTATATATAACATAAACAATAAGAAAGAACCTGCGATGGTTATGGAGATGTCAAGAAACAGTACAACTACACCTTATATTCCAGTCGAATCATCACGTCAACAACAGTATCCACAACAAACGCAAATTTCATTAAAGGCTTCACAAAGTGCAAATAAGTTGAAAAAGCAATATAGTAAAAACAAGATTATTCCAGAGAGTGCAATTAATAATTTCCAAGCTCAATCTGGATTTTCAGGACATAGGGCAAAGATACCGACACCGATAAACGTTGGTCCGCAAAACTCATATAACAACATACGTGGTTCTTCACCAAACACTATGAATCCAAACACATCATATCGAAGCTCTATCGATTCACCTGTTACAATGTTCCCATTTGCCATAAGAAAATATTTATCCAATATGGCAGCTATCAAATTTCATGATATGATAGACATGATAAATCTTTCGGTAGGAAGAATAACACAACCTAGTTACTGGCAGAAGTGCATGAATGAAGTATTTACTCCCGACGCAATAATCAGATACAGCAAGACCTCTACCACAGAAGTAAGACAGTTCGACTTTTTGGTTCCATTAGTACCAATTTTGTTTGTCACACTAGGTAGATTAGGTGTCGTCAGGATTGAAGTTCTGACACAACAATTAAAGACGGAGCTAATAAGTGATGGTACAATATTTTTTGATTGCCCGAGATGTACCTTTACATACCATTATCCAGATGGTTCTTATATCACACATTTTGTTCAACTGAAAGGTCTATTCAATCCTGAATTAAAGATAAAATGGGGTGATCTACATATGCATAGTTTCGTTCCAGGTATCGAATGGAATTCCTTAGAGAGACTTGTAAGTAACAATTTTGGTAATTTTGATATTTTCAAAAAATTAAGTGAGAAAGACTTAGAAAATATTGTTAAAAATGAAGACGACACCATTAAAAACGAAAATGCAAATGAAAATGGAGACAACAATATAAGTGCTAGGGATTATAAAGAGACTCAATCACAAGATGACTCGAATGGTAGCAACAGTTCGATAGGGTCACTTCCACCAAATTTTGAAGCCATTACGCAGTTACGTTCTCATTTTAGCGTATTTAGAAATGTGTCTGTGTTTGGTTCACAAGAAGGGCTGATGAGGGTTATGCAGGTCAGTACCGTCATGTCTTCTCTTAAGAATTTATGGATGTATCAACGATTACACAAGATAGATAGCCCATTAGCTGCTATGCATCAATATGTGGAACGTTATAAAAAGGACATTAAGGGACCTACTGTTCTCCAAAACCGCCAATTTCTACAACAGCAACAACAAAACCAACAGAGGCAAAATCTCCAGCAAGCATCTAACGCAACAAATATAACAGGTTCACAGGAAGGAGATGCCACCGCATTTAACCAACCACATCTAGTAAATAATGGCAATCCCAAGTTATCCATGACTCCAATTGATTCCATGTCACCATTCTCTCAAGAAAATATGAAACCATCTTCTTCATCTGGTCCACCATCTGAAAGGAGGCCCCCTTTAAAGAAGAGGAGAACTAGTTGTATTTCACCACATTCGCGCGGAACACCTAATTCGGTACCATCATCTTATGATTATTCTATAAAAGAATAGAAGAATAAATTCCTTTTTCATATGATCAAAGGAATTTTTATGGGAACATAACATATTATATTTGTTTTTATAATTATATAATTATACACCGATAAAAGAGGTGTATTAAACTATTAGTAGTATTCTTCCCCTAATATATCTTTGCAGCATTCAATTACAACCTCCATAGATTCACAGACAGCCGTAAAACTTCTTGCAAATGCCACCCCATATATATCTTTCCATCTAGCCTCTTCATTATCCTCTTCAGTTTCATCCTTAGATAATGTCTCATTACTATCGGCTTGCGTATTAGGATCTCTGTTCTGATATTTCCCTAATTTCTTAAATAATTGTTTTTCTAGGTTATCCTGTTGATCTCCTTTTATAGGTGTAAAATGCGCTTCATTTTTGTCAAATTTCGACATGAAGTCAAACAGACGTCGTCTAGCAGTAACAGAGCTAGGAAGGTACCTTGGTATTCTATTTCGTGATCTAAAACAGTTCGACAGGATGTAGAATACATAGATAACAGATGACGTGCTATCCCTTCTTAAAGATAATAAAGCCCTTGTGGCATCAGTATTACGATCTTGGTTCCAAATTTCAAAGTAGGTACTTGAAACTCTGGCCTCAATCATTCTTTCAAAGACATTCTGGCATGCATTTAAAAGCCGTTCGTATTTATTGGCATTAAAATTCGAAACAAATATCGGTTCTCTCTTTGTCCTTTCCAATAGCTGTCGAATAGCTTCGATATTTCTTGTGAGACGCACTTCTCTAATATGAGAAAACATCGAACTTAACTCTGTTGGGTCATCATTCAAATCTCTATAGAGGTAACGTTCGGTAACCGTTTGATATGACTGACTCAGATGAGATAATAAATATGACACAGCTACTCTTAATTCAGATCTTGACCTATAAGACCAAAATATCCAATTAATTGCAACAGAAACAACAATCCCTACTATTAAACTTAATGATGTAGTCCAACAATTTTTCCATATGACAGAGGTTTTTAAAGTATGGGGATTCTTCGAAAAAGCTTCCAGAGAAATTACTGTAAAACATATCATTGCAGTATTACTCGACTTTGAATTTTTGTATATTAGCTGATTAATTGCGGACGGGACACAAATCAAACCTGCGAAGACACATATGACATAAGGACTACCAAAATGATGTGCCTGGCATGCTGCCCAACCCCAGAACATACCAATGATACCACAGACCAATCTATTGGCTAAATATATCATTTTACCAGCAGGCTTATTGTGATTCAATATAAAAAATATCAACGGAGCCCACCAGCACTGAAATTCTTGGTACCATCTGTAAGATTCTGGTAACCAAGTGGGTAAGCAAAGAAATATAATGCAGAATAAGCACTTAAGTGTCCATTTCATCTCACGTCCGGATAAAAGTTTCGTAAATTTCCATAATTTAAATCTTGCAAAGTTTTGGGTAGTATGAAAGTTAAAATCAGTGTGATCAATGGCTCGAGTGGAGGAAAATGTTTCGTTTTTTCTATTATATACATGACGGGAGGTGTAAGAGTTGTACGATCTTTCGAATATCTCATCAACATCTTTTTTAGTTTCAAAGTATACTAGTGATTTTCCAAGACCTTGGTCCATTAAACATTGGTCTGGTAAACGATGTAAAGTTCTGAATGCAGAAAGCTTTGGTGTAGATATTCTCATTTTTGCCTCCGTGTCTAAATTGGTTGCTTCATCAAGAACATTCAGTAAATGTTTTGCGGAACTTCTCGAATATCTTATAAACAAAAATATATCAACACATTCAAAATCTTTAATGATATCCTCTGAAAACAGATTTGATCCTATAAAATTGTTATAACTCGTATCGATATTGAATATCATTTTCTGTAATTTCAATTTATAACGATTCAAGGCCTCCTTGGTTTCTATAATTTCTTTCTTGTTATGTCTTTGAGTTTTATAGAGTTGAAGGAGTTGCGATATTTTGTCGATCACCACAATCATCTCAAGGATCAAATGTAGTGTATTTCTAGCAAATTTTTTTTGAAGAATATTGACATAAAAGTCATTCATATCATTTAATAATGAGATATGAGGTCCATTTGGAACACCTGATACTGGAGTAAATGTTCCAGTGATATAGCCTGACGGTAGGGCATCTGTGTCATATTTTTCTCCTGTTTCTTCCATATCATGTTTACGGTCATCAACTTCTTGATATAAGCGTTCTAAGAGTAGATTATCAAACAGTTTTTGTTTAATAGGAATTACTCGGAGAGGACTTGATATAACTGTTAATGCATCTCTGAGTCTTTTTAGATTAGATGCCTTAAAATTGAATATTGTAAATTGATTCAAGAAGTCTCTATAAACTAGGGATAGTTTTACATTTAAATATTTTGTCATATTTTGCTGAGCGCTCGAAATATATTCAACATCATCATATTTGTCCTTATCCACTAATGCCATTAAAAAAAATTTAATACTATTTACTGTTTCATCCAAGGTCTGTATCATCTTTGCATTACCATTAGTTGGAAATATAAATGTACTGATTAAAAGTGAAAGTACGATACCAAATACATATGATAGGGTAAAGTCTCTAAATAGCATCCATTCCAACTCGGATGCGTGGAACACTAAATTGACCGTATGGGTAAATAATATAGTTATACCAAATGATTGACAAAAATAGAATAATCGGTTGTAGTAGGCTTTTACCCAGATAGCAAACCAAAGTGCCATCACTAAACTTTGGAATAAAATACCTCCTTGGTGGGACGCAGTTGGACCAGTTGCTGTAGAGACATACCAAGCCAATGATGACCATCCTAGTCCAAATATTAGACCAACACATGATTCTACAGTCATCTCTAATTGCACCCCAACATTTCTTGCGGGGTGATGTAGTATTACAGAAATAGGCATGAAATACCTATATTTATGCCCTATCCATTTCCCTGCAGGATGTATCACGCAGATAATCATAGCAATAAGATATGCAAGGAAAAACTTCAATAACAGTTTCCAATTTCGTATGCTCTTATTATATATATCTCGAAATATTTTTGGAGTATTATGTATGATTTCTATTGGTTTTAAATGTTGTGTCGATTTGGTTGAGCCTATATGATCATCGAGTAATATCGCTCTTTTCGGTCTTGTATATGTTGCATCAAAGAAACCATCTCTTAGTTCCTCTAGTTCAAAGTCATCTAGCATTTTCCAATTATCTGCTGTTGTTATGTCATCTAATTTCAGTTGTGATAAGGATACATTAGACATTTGGGGAGAATTCATGTTTGATCTGCATTTTCGTGGCGAGCAGTTCTTCTGTTTAAGATTATGCATAGCTAAGTATGATGAATTTCTATATGACCCATTGAAGTCTTTTGAAGATAGTTGGACGTTTCTATTGTCTTCTTGCCTAGCACTTTCCTCACTCTCCATTTTTTATTTATTTGAGGGATAACTACTCAACTTTATGGATATTCTTGGAAATGCAAATTTTTACAACTCTTCACTAGTGTACAAGTATATTGTGACTATATATATGATATTGGACCAATCAATAAACAAAAAAGCTAACAGATAATGATTCTTATCAGTGACCAATTTGATGGTTATCAGTACGTTAATTTGACTACTCTTCTCACTTTTGGGATATGCGGTTCGATGTTTATCAGTAGCCACAAGTAGTTTGCCTGATAAGGATCGGAGCTCTTCGGACGGAAATAAATTTTCAGTTTTTATGAAATATTTTTCCGTACTTCTTCTTTGGTCCAATATCAGGGGATTGACGCAATAACCTTTTATTTTCCGCTCTGCCATGTTCTTTTGTTCTGTTGTGGCAATCAGGACCAATATGATCAGGAGCAAACAAATGATAGTTTTGGTATGATGGATGATCGTCAAAGAGAGGGCTAATATTGCATCCACTTACTATTGAAGGTGATAAACATACTCGATGTAATTTGAAGAATAGCAATAATCCTTGTAGCAGTTGCAATTTCGATATCTCCATTAAGTTTTCTCCTAAAGCTCATTTGTTAATGTCAAAAAGCGCCACCAGCTTTCCATGGTACCTCACCCAACCTGAAGAGGAACTTGTCAATAAATTCAATTATATCCAACAAACTGAGGATAGTCATCTGAGGGAAGCCACCAATGGAACAAAAAATTCTAAATGGTCTCTAGGTGTGAGTATAAAAGAGCAAAACGATTACAGAAATAGATATGTTAATATCATGCCATATGAGAGAAATCGTGTAAAACTTCCTGTGTTGAAGGGGAATGATTATATCAATGGCTCATATGTCAAAGTTGACGTTGATGATCAGAGTACTACACCAGGGCATTATATTGCCACCCAGGGTCCAACAAAACATACATGGCAACAATTTTGGCAGATGTGTTACCACGAATGCGAAAGTAATGATATTGTTATTGTAATGGTGACGCCGCTTGTTGAACGTGGCAGAGAGAAATGTTTCCCTTATTGGCCTCAAGGTAATGATACAAATGACATGCTCAAACTCATACCTAATGTTCAATCTCCAGGTGGGCCCGATGATACAAGTATCTTTAAAACAGAAATGAAATTACAATATGTCAGCAGCAGTAGATTCGATGATAATTATACCTTAACGACCATGATGTTGGGACCGACTGAAGGAGATATTGGTTCCCAAAAGAGAGTTCATCATTTTTATTTTGATCAATGGAAGGATATGAGTAGACCGGAAGAAATAATACCGATCATGGAATTGAGTAGACATTCCCATAAATTGAATGTTTCTGGTAACCCTATCATTGTTCATTGCTCGGCAGGTGTAGGGAGATCTGGTACATTTATTGCGTTAGATCACTTATTGCATGATACAAAAGATTTTATGGTTCAAAATAAAGGTGACGATAAAAATGAAACATACATGTTGAAACCTGTTGCAGATTATACGAAAGATTTGATAGAACAGATTGTATCTCAATTACGATCTCAGCGTATGAAAATGGTACAACTTAAGGACCAATATGTGTTTATATACCATGCTGCGGAACTGTTGTATACTCTGGATCGTAACAATGTGCTAGATGAGCTATGAGAAAATAAGGTTTAAATAGGTTCACCAATAATTAAATAAATTTATTCTATACTTGCATAACGCTCAATGAATGTTTTCAGTCCAAGAATCAATTTGGCAACCTTAAATAGAATGTTTTACATGTTTTACTCGTTTTCGCATTATGGCAGTATTTCTATCTGGTGATAATTTTATTTCTTAACCGCTAGGCGGCTACTCGTAACATTCATTTTTTGAGGGGGAGATAAATATATAGCGGAAACTTCCCCACCATGATGCAAGTCATCAGCATGAAATGAGCAATATATAGGAATGTTACATAAATTAAGAGTAACCTACATCAGATGAGTAAATGAAAGATGGTTTCATGGTTGAGACGTTCGTACCAGCTAATAAATAACATGGAGCTCTAACACCAGAGAAATTCCATCATGATAAGATTGAAACTGCGGATTGATCAATTGCCTTTCAGATATCCCCTCCCCCCAAAAAAGAAAACAATAATAATAATCTTCCAAGGTATGAATCCTTTAGATAATACAGTTTTCACCTAACTGTCCTGTTTCTTCATCACGACTGGAAGTATTAATTGGTTGGTGTTAATAAATAGAAATGGTTCGATTTAATTATCCACAACGTATAAAACGACCTACTTGAAGGTTGTATCGTTTTCCACGAAACATAATTTCTCTTTTTTTTCTTTTTTCGTTTCTTCTTTCTATTTGAGGGACTACCAGAGAACGATCCGCACGACAAACGTCTGAAAAAGAAAATTTTGCTTTTCTTTTTAACTTTTCAATGGATGATGCAAGAAAGCAAAAAAAAAAAAATTTTCAGTTTACATTGACGAGGGCAGATGGGCAACTATATATATATAACTGGGCGTTAATTTAATGAGAAAGCTTTAGTTACTTCCAACCATATTTTTGATTGTTTTCCTTTAATTCTTTTATTAGCTTTTTTTTTCAATTTCATTTCTTAAGTCCCCAATCAAGACTATTCACAAAAATGGCTGACGGTGTTTTCCAAGGTGCTATCGGTATCGATTTAGGTACTACTTACTCCTGTGTTGCTACTTACGAATCTTCTGTTGAAATTATTGCTAACGAACAAGGTAACAGAGTTACCCCATCCTTCGTTGCTTTCACTCCAGAAGAAAGACTAATTGGTGATGCTGCTAAGAACCAAGCTGCTCTAAACCCAACAAACACTGTTTTCGACGCTAAGCGTTTGATCGGTAGAAGATTCGATGAAGAATCTGTTCAAAACGATATGAAGACTTGGCCATTCAAGGTTATCGACGTTGCCGGTAGCCCAATGATCGAAGTTGAATACTTAGGTGAAACTAAGACTTTCTCTCCACAAGAAATCTCTTCTATGGTCTTGATCAAGATGAAAGAAATTGCTGAAGCTAAGATTGGTAAGAAGGTCGAAAAGGCTGTTATCACTGTCCCAGCTTATTTCAACGATGCTCAAAGACAAGCTACTAAGGACGCTGGTTCCATTTCTGGTCTAAACGTTCTAAGAATTATCAACGAACCTACCGCTGCTGCCATTGCTTACGGTCTAGGTGCTGGTAAGTCTGACAAGGAAAGACACGTCCTAATTTTCGATTTAGGTGGTGGTACTTTCGATGTCTCCCTTCTACACATTGCTGGTGGTGTCTACACTGTTAAGTCTACCTCCGGTAACACCCATCTTGGTGGTCAAGATTTCGACACCAACTTGCTAGAACATTTCAAGGGTGAATTCAAGAAGAAGACTGGTCTAGACATCTCTGGTGATGCTAGAGCTCTAAGAAGATTGAGAACTGCTGCTGAAAGAGCTAAGAGAACTCTATCCTCTGTCACTCAAACCACCATTGAAGTTGATTCTCTATTCGACGGTGAAGATTTTGAATCTTCTCTAACCAGAGCCAGATTTGAAGATCTAAACGCTGCTCTATTCAAATCCACTCTAGAACCAGTTGAACAAGTCCTAAAGGATGCTAAGATCTCCAAGTCTCTAATCGACGAAGTTGTCTTAGTCGGTGGTTCTACCAGAATTCCAAAGGTCCAAAAGCTATTGTCTGACTACTTCGACGGTAAGCAACTAGAAAAGTCTATTAACCCTGATGAAGCTGTCGCTTACGGTGCTGCTGTCCAAGGTGCTATCTTGACCGGTCAATCTACTTCCGATGAAACCAAGGATCTATTGTTATTGGATGTTGCTCCATTATCTCTAGGTGTTGGTATGCAAGGTGACATTTTCGGTGTCGTTGTTCCAAGAAACACCACTGTTCCAACCATTAAGAGAAGAACTTTCACCACTGTTGGTGACAACCAAACCACTGTTCAATTCCCAGTTTACCAAGGTGAACGTGTTAACTGTAAAGAAAACACTCTACTTGGTGAATTCGATTTGAAGGGTATTCCAATGATGCCAGCTGGTGAACCAGTTCTAGAAGCCATCTTTGAAGTTGATGCTAATGGTATTCTAAAGGTTACTGCTGTTGAAAAGTCTACTGGTAAGACTGCCAACATCACCATCTCTAACGCTGTCGGTAGATTGTCTTCTGAAGATATTGAAAAGATGGTTAACCAAGCTGAAGAATTCAAGGCCGCTGATGAAGCTTTTGCCAAGAAGCACGAAGCTAGACAAAGACTAGAATCTTACGTTGCTTCCATCGAACAAAACGTCACTGACCCAGTCTTATCTTCCAAGTTGAAGAGAAACGCCAAGACTAAGATCGAAGCTGCTCTAACTGAAGCTATGGCTGCTCTATCTGTTGAAGATGCTTCCACTGATGACCTAAGAAAGGCTGAAGTCGGTCTAAAGAGAGTCGTCACCAAGGCTATGTCTTCTCGTTAAGGATAAATCATTCTGATTGATAAATAACTTATAACTAATTTTTTGTTTCCTGTTTTCCCATCATAATATTTATTTTTAATATGTACCTTAGAATAAACCAATAAATGTTTTCACGTATATCTATTTTTTCCTATATGTATGAAGTGTACTCGTCTATAACACCTTGATAGAAGAAAAGTTGGTCGAATGCATTGTTAGTTTGGTTTTACTTCAATAAGTATTGACCTGAAATAATCTGTTGTTTATAGCCCTTGCTTGAAGAAAATATTTACAATATGTAATACATTATGCTGTAACCCAAAAAATTCTTGCGAAATTGAATTAGCAAGAATATTTTAAGCAATATGAATTTACTTCAGAATTATAGAAATATATACATGCTATTATTGTTTGTACGTTCAATCTAAAATTAAAAACGGTTCCTTTTTAAAATATTTGATGGGAATTAAATTTTGTCTTTAGTTTCATTAATTTACATCGCTGTCACGATGCGAGCAATAGTTTCCTTTTTGAGAATTACATTGCGGCACTATTCTTAGAAGGTAAATCTGAAGGGGCGATGATGCTACATAGCATGAATCATATGAACTTGCCTGTTTGGACCTCTTATTACGTCATAGGCTAGAACTCCCATGCAATGGCTGCATTCTAATATTTTGTTAACATGTAATTCTTCTATATTTTCTTCTTGTTGATTGCACTTTCGTTTGATCTCCCTTGAATCTGGTACAAAGTTGCAAGATTTGCATCTGTAACCACTGAATTTATACCTGGCATAACATCGTGAACAAAGCTTATTTTTACCTGTCCAATCTCGGTAGAATCTCCCTATTCCTATATATCTGCAGGCCAAACATTGTTTCGAATTTTTTGTTTTTGATAACTTCTTCTGTTCACTCATGCAATTAATATTACAGTTATTTAGAGACATTTTATTTCCTAGTACGATTTTCTTCGAATTTTCAAGTTTTATGGAATAAACATGATTTAAACCTCTTTTATTATGGTCAAATGTAAAATATGTTGGACCTCTATCGATATTGGCTGGTTTGGGTCTAATTTTGTGCCCACTGTGACAGTACGATAAAACATTCTGGAGCGCTGTAGTTCCCGTCATTCCACAATCGTATGTCAATTTACAATGGACTTCTTTTCCTTTAATGATCGCAATTCGTTCAGGTTTTGAAGTTATAGTTGTGTTAATACTGAGTGATCTAGCTATGTTGATAATACCTTTCATAACAGATGGATATATCGTTTGGATATTCACTTGGTATTTCCCACTTTGTGATACCTCTTTGGATACATATCCATCTGCATCAATTAATCCAGCTAAAAATGCTTCCCGGATTTCTATGTCATCACAGTAAAGGAACGGAGGTATTTCTTTTGAACCATCTTCTCGATTTTTAAAATCAAGTTCAGTTACCACTTTCCAAAACGGATTATTAGTCTTGCAATTTTGATAATATTTTTTATTGGCAGGTTTCTTACCATAATATAATTTGACATGCTTCGCTCTTAATGGAATAACAGAGTCTGTATAACTGGGATATATACCCCAAGGTTTGGTTAATTCAATAAGAGCTTCCATTAGACTGGTGTCTAGACTATCAACAGATATTTCAGGTCTAACAGTGGTGCCATCTCCTATCCACAGACCTATTAACCAAGCCATATTTTGAACACTCAGTGTATTTAAATGACGTTGACCTGTTAAAAATTCAGATAATCTACCATTTCCTGTAAGCACCGGTTTAACGCATAATTTTGATCGTGAACGTGATTGCGCATCTAAATAATCTAGATCTCGGACCTCTAGATCATATACCAGCGGTTTGCTGTTTTGAACTAGAATACTGTTCAAATAGGTTTGTGCCTCTAAAGTACCAATGTCATTTAGGGGAAATTTTTTATTATGAAATTTTGGAATATTAATAATCCTACCATTAGCGGTTACAATATCTTCTAATTGTATCCATCTTACTAATATTTGGTTAAGTTTAAATGATTTTTCCAGAGTGGGTTTGGTAGATAAAGTAAGATTAAGAGTATGTCCTAATGAACATTTTAGATCAAGTACTCCATCGATGTTTTCACGGTAAGACCGATCAAACGTCATATTGTTTTCAGTTTTTCTATGTTTTGTCCTTTGACTAAGTAAATAAGTGGTCTGAATATCCCTGGAAATAGAAATAACTCGCGCCGTAGTGCCATTATCGCTCATCACTATATCATTTTCCCTTAAGTTATGAATATCCTCAAGGTTTCCATCAGCCATTGTAATTTTTGTCCCTTCCTCAAACATACTATATTCTATTTACCAAAATTATTGTTAGATGACTAACTTTAGAAAAATAATACATTACTTAATATTGTTTAATGTGCATTTATCAAAACCAAGCTTAACTTTGAAATTTAAACATTTAATTTGAACTGATTATATATAGTCGCTAATTCGATTTGGTGAGAATAAATAAAACCTATGAATTTCGTGTCATTATTAAATCTAACTGATGTATTTTAAAAAATCGTTGCCTTCATTCATTTTAATTAAAACGCCAAATTTCATTTCTAATTAATAATTTTTAAAATACCAAAATCCTAATGAACAATTATTCACGAAATAATGCTTCAAGAGTCTATTTAAAAAGTGTATTTGGTATATTGTGCAAACCTATACAACATCCAAGGGGGCAGCTAGATCTTAAGATATACTGTACACAAACGAGATATTGGATTTTATTATGACGGTATAGGAGATGTGTATCTAATTAAGGATGGTAAGAAACTCTATTTTTCACAAAAAAAAAAGACATAAATGCGAGATGACCATCGAGATGACCATCGTGATGTTACCAATCTTTCCTTGGGTAGTCAATTATATCAGACACAACTTTGTTGCCCGACATTCTTTAAGAAATAAAATCTCAGTTGGATAATCACTCAAATAAAATCAAAATAATGTGCATTAGTCGAATTCTATTATTCAAGTTACACTTTTCTCCTTTCTGAGTTAGATTTTGCTAATAGGTTAATGTGGGTTACCGAATAATTCAGAATAGGATTATGTGAAAATTATATCAAAAACGTTTCTAGATCTAAATTCTACTCCTTAAATTGACTGTGACAAAGGTTGTGTCGAAGCTTTAAATGATTAACTTCATTGGCGTTGTGCTTGTGAAATCAAACAGCGTACTGTCATATAAAATTTGATGCATTTTTTAACATTATTTTGATGCATTTTTTTAACATTATTTTTTCCTGCGGCTTCCTAATAATATCTAAAAGCTGTGTCTATCACGACAGTTTCTAGGTGCTGATAGATACTGGGTAGCAATACCATTTGAGGTTAAAAGACCAATATATGAATAACTATTTGGGAAAACTAATTATTAAAAAAAAAATTGCTGGTTCTAAAATAATTTTCTATTGTATGTCTTCTATCTTACAAAAACATTTTGCAAGCCAATTGTTAACGTTATATGATTTTAACATAAGAGAAAAATATATTTGTCAGTTGAATAGATGTAGTAGCCATTAATTCCTAAAATTCTAAGAAGTGTTCTAAAATATGTGTTGCATCCTATATGGATGTGTGGTACGCAAACACATCAATTGTCGGCAAAACTTTTCCAGAAACATTACCAAAACTAGTACTATTGCTTTTGAATATCGAGAACTCTTAATTGCAAATGTTTACGCTCTTCGTGTCACTATTGATAGTAATAAATAGAGAATATTTTAATAAAATGTTAATTTGGTAACCAAATTAACATTTGAGGTTTTCCTTAAATTTCTATAGAAAACTACTCGTTCAGTGCTGTCTATACCCATTAGACATACAATAGCAAAGTTACTTAGATAGGTATAAGTTGGCATTGAATGTTTCATCACGTATACTTTTATTTTTGGGAAGGGATAAACACTGTTTATCCAGATATTGTTTTATTTTCTGAATACAGATATGATATGTCTAAAGAATTTACTACTTGATTTACTTAGTTTTAGTTCTTATAAACTTCATAACATTTCGCGTTTTTATTCAACTGATTATTAATATTATTTTCTGTTATTCTATTGTAACAAAAGTTTTATAATTTCAATGTTCGATTTTGTGCTCATCTTCTAAATGAAAAACTAAAGGAAAATCAAATTATATTTAGGTGAAATTAATCTCGTCATTGGTTACCAAAATTTTTAATAAGGTTTAATTTTAAGTATCTAAAACTTTGGTTGTTAATATTTTTAGTTACAAAAACTAAATTGTTTAATTATGAAATAAAAACAATCTAACGTACAAGAGAACAAAAACAAAAATGACAATATTTTGCTTCTAATTTGACTTGGTTATATATAAGATATTGTTACCAGAATATAATATACTTGATTAAATATGAGGTAGTACACCACTTTATTATTAAATGAAGCAATATATTCATAATTTGCGACGTCTTTAATTTGAAACAAACCTCAAGAAAGTTTTCGGTAATAACAGAAGCAATTTATGCAATATAAGATATATTTAAGAAAATACAATTGCAGGAGAACGACATCAAAATCTACCAAATTTCTTTGAATAACATATCACTCCTTTGGTATTTTTACTACAACTTGTAGTGTTTTATGCCCGATAGACTTGTTAGATTGTTAAGCTTACAAGAAATAGTTATGTCTTAGTTACTGTAATTATAATAACAAGGCCTAATACCTTATAAATTCGAACAATCAAACTAATATAATGGTTTCAACGTAAGAGAGCATGTAAAAATAAAATTTAATAAATATCGTAATTTTTTAACGTTTTGTGTGATGTATTCACTCTAAACTATGGTTACTCAGGTACACACAAAAAAGAAAAAACAACAAGAATAACTATAAATTGGTATCCTGTTCTGTTAACCAAGACATGATGTGTTTCAATTCAAAAACAAATCTGGAATAGTTTTCTTACATATAGTATTAATTTCAATAAGTCGAAAAATGTGCCAATCCTTCAATTACTTGATATATATCTTTCTCAAATAAGACATATGACCATCAGTTAACCTTTTACAATGTAATACTAAATCTGTTATACACTACTTAAATTAGAGAGCTACCTTATCCGTTATGAAGGAGAAGTAATTTCTTAAAATAGGAATATTCCTTTTAATAATTGTTTCTTATGATTATTTATTTTGAAATGTACAAATATACATTTTTTTTTAGTACTTATGAACCATGACAATGTCAAACCCTATATATCAACAATCAGTTGAGTGTATCAAATACCACCGTTTTAAAATTCATCCCATTCATCATTGTTATCGGCCTTCTTCTGTTGAGTTGGTGCATTGTCATTTGAGTTCAATTTACTATAGCCAGTACCGCTATTGTTTGCTCCACCAGGGCCCCCATTTGGGCCATTTTCTTCACCCATATAGTAATTAACATTTGAATAGTATTGATCTTGTAGATTTTTCGTAAAGGAAGAAAAAGCTTCAAAACCTTGATTACTTGTTTCCTGGAACTTTTGGCCAAACTGAGTGGCAGCTCTCTTTGTCTCATCTGACAGTTCACCACTTTGCCATTGTTCCATACCTGGTTTAATTACCGAGTCATTAACGTCAGATATAGATTTGGAAACTGCAGCAGAGAATAAACCCCAACCTTTAGATAAAGTTCCAACAGGGTCATTCTGTAAATTTTCTAAGTTCACTGTATTGTTGCTTGGACCGGCTGATTGAGTGTTATTATTAGTTGAGTTCACTGGTGTACTACCGAATCCTTGATATTTACCACCTTGTGATGGAGGTAGATGTTCAGGTTTATACTGGTTTTTTTTACCTAACTCAGAAAAATATTGTTCGTTCTTTTCCTTTTGGTTTTGCATGGCGTTTGGAGATATAGAACGACGGTTCTCTAAAGGAGTCTCAGATCGGCTTTGATCATGATTAGATGTTGCATCTTCAGTGATAGATGTTCCATTATTATTAGCAGACAGCTTAGAAGGATCAAAATCTGGATGCTCTGGCTCAACAAATTCCTTATCATCAACTTCACAAGACAATTTATCTTTATAATCTTCAGCAATAGGGTTATCGTACTTCACTTTGTGAGGTAGGTCCATACTAATACCACGAGTGGTCATATAATCAATAAATGGTTGATTACCACCTTTCTCCATTCTAGCTAGTTCATCTGGTTTAAATTGATCCATAGTAATAGATCTAACAAAAGAAATATGGACCCCTAAACCTCTGTGGATACCGGCACACTCCAAACAAATGAAGATACCAAACTTAGGGGAAGCCCATTGTGGATTTGGAGCATTACAATCGACACATCTTTTGTTAGAACCAATCTTTTGAAGTTGTAGAAGACGTCTACGATGGTCTGGGTTAACTTGCCAATCTGACATTAGTTCTGAAAAATGTTTGTTTATAAGCTATTTTGGTGTATACCGTTCTCAGAATTTTATGCTCTATCTTTTGAGTATGAACAAGTACATTTAGATATATAAACAATAAGAAATGACACCCATTAATGAAACAACTCTTTGTACTTTTAGTTCATACTTGTTGATCGTACCTGTGAAACTAATCTGTTTGCCAACTTCCGTTGTTCAAGAATTCTTCGAACTCTATGGAAGTTCGGACGCGATTATCATCGTTATGTACGAGCTGTGCTGAAATTTCTAGTAATATACACATGTTTTGGATTCAATCAAAATGAAATTGATTATTTTATAAAAATTGGAATATGTTCATTGTATTATTACATCGTTTATGTTGTGATGTATATAGATATATATCATTTGACAGATTAGTAATAGTCGTCTCAGGTCTGTGTGTTTTGCAAGAAACTTCTTATGTAACCCATATCTTCGATGAGCATTTTCCGTAGCCACATAGTTTCCTGTCTCTGCGATTCTAGTTCTGCCTCCAGAGAGCCTATCCTCTTATCCTTTTCCATTAGAATAGCTTCATATTTTCCATGTAGTTCTTGAAAGAGTGTGTCAAACATAGGAGCATTCGTCATCGAGTTATGCATGACCCCCTTATTGTCTTGTCCAGAAAATGCACTACCAGTTATCGCACTAGTACTGGCACAAGTTGACCTCGATTCCCCAGTATGGGAGCTCATGTTAATATTGGCAGTGTTAGAGTTCATGGTACTTTCAGGTGTGATCTGCATCGTGTTTATCCTACCTGAGTCAGACATGTTCGCACTATTCATGGAAATTGGGTCTATGTTATTACCGTTCATCGTGCCCACAACATTTTGCTTGCCATTAGAATTAACTAAATCGTTTTCTAGGGTCGCCAACATACCAGCCCCACTAACATTGGCATTATTATTAGACACTTGTTCCATTACGGATTGACCATTGGAATTCGTCTCGGTAACATTCGTCATATTTGTATTTGAAACTGAATTTGCTGTTGAATTCTGATCGGTCCCCGTGTTGATGCCATTCCCTGGAAGTGATGACGATGTTAAGGGTCCGTTAGAATTTATATTTGTCATATTAATATTATCACTTGTATTACCACTCGTTCCTGCGCCAGATTCCTTCATTACTTCCACATTATTCATTTTTGTCAGGGGACCTTTCTCTACAGGTCCACTATTACTTGGAAATCTAAAATCATCAATAATATTATTGAAAGATTGCGGTGTTCTTTGTTTTTTATTTATATTGGTAAATCGTAATAAATCATCCACAGCCGATTCATCTAAAGTCAATGATCCTAGGGATCTTCTTTTTTTATGATTCATATAACTGAAGTTGCCGTTAGTCCCATTTGGTAATGGTATGTTTCCGTTATTATTATTATTATTATTATTATTGTTATTATTGCTACCATCATTCGAATTGAATTGAATACCCGCAGTATCATTATTAAAATTATTACCCAATATATCATCATCGTCAGTTCCTCCCAAGTTGAATGGGAACCCTCCTGATCCAGGACTAGTTGGCTGTGTATAGTATCCATTTAGGGATCTTGAAGATACATCCTGCGGTATCATTTGCAATTTCCTTTGCAATTGTAAAGATAAAGTAGGGTCATTCAGCATATTATTAGTTACATTAAAAAAATCATTATTATTATTATTATTATTATTATTATTATTATTATTATTTGCGTTCTCCGTTGAAATATTACTCTTCCCAGCAGACACGTTTCTCTTGACAATATTTTTCTTTCGACCTTGATTGATGATTTTCCCTGTTCTAGGGTTATAATAATTGAGAATTGACTCAGTTAAACTAATCCAAAATGGGTCATTGATAGTCAATTCATTGTCTTCTTTCACTTGGAACAGTGTTTCACTGACTTTGTTGAAGTATTTAGAGTACGGACTCATCTCAAAATTCAATTCTAATTCTTTTAATATCTGTTGGAATCTTTGAAATAGTTCAATATCGGATTTCGGCGAAGTCGAAATATCACCAAAAAGTCCACTTGATAACAACGAATTATATATCTTCGATAATTTGACGAACGTCTTCGAATATTGTGGATGGATTGTGGACCCTTTCCTCTTTCGCCTTTGAACTTTCCCATTATTCAATCCTTCTGTATCCGTTTCGTCTTGATCATTAGTCGCATTACCACTGTTACCATTATTTAAAGGACTCGACGAAGACGTTGTAATATGATAACTGTTTAAGATAGTCCCGCCTGTCACAATCTTGAATGCCTTGATGATAAACGTATCTACTTTGGTCGGCTGGAAGATCTCCATATTGGGTGATATCTGCTCGTCTAAATTATTGAAATCCATATCATCCACTTTAACTAATCCTTCTCTTTATATGACTATATATATATTCACTCTCTTCTCTAGCACGCAGACAATCTGTAAACTTTATCCTTCAGTTTCTTCCAGATTATGTAATTGCGAAATAAAATTTCTTCTGTTGTCTTAAAAAGAAACAGCAATACAAAACACACCCACCCAAACTTTGATAAATCACTAGCTCTGTTGAATACTGTAGTTCATTACCCAAGATTGCAACCGGATACCCTTTAGTTTACACTTCCCTTTATATATCTTTTATCATCTATGCATTGAAAGTGAAAAATTTTGGGGATTTGGTAATCCATTGTCGTTGTTGACAAAAAACGTAGATATTCGTGTTGCGCGACCAATCCTCAGAGCGCGATTTGTCAATTCAATGCATTAAGTTTGTTTATTTCAAAGGATAAAAGTTATAAATACTTTTCAGTAAAAATCAAAAGAACACTCGATTGGTGTTCTTTTAAAGGTACTTCAAGTCGTGATAACGGGAATATTGACTATATTTGAGATTCTGAAACTAGAGAATAAAAAACGAAATACTACTTTACGTCTTTTGTGTTATCTCTATCATTTGATAAAATATTTTAAGCTCATAAACTAAGTGTAGATCAAATACATCCAAAAAGTAACAACGTTTAATTATGGAATCTCCAGTTCCATCAAGTTTATTCCGTAGAAAGAAGGATAATAGACGTGGTATCACGTATACCATAATGATGATTGGTGCGACGGGTACAGGTAAGACATCATTTGCTAACAATCTAGTGGAATCCAATATTTTTGCTCACGAATATAATCAAAATCTACAAGATTATCAAATATCACCAAAGATTAAGATTTCTTCGCCAACAAAAGTTGTCTCGTTCAACTCTAAGAATGGTATACCAAGTTATATGAATGACTTTGATCCGAACAGAGCTAATTTAGAGTCCGGAATAACCATTACATCTACTTCCCTAGAAATTTCTACTGGAAACGAGACTGTTCCAGCGGTCGAGACTTCTCCTGTAAAGGGTCACAGAAGATCTAATTCTATTATGGATGAAGAAGAAGATACAATTTTTTTGAATTTAGTAAATACACATGGGATTACTGAGAATCTTGATGATACCTTATGTTTCGATGAGATTACCTCTTATTTAGAACAACAATTCGATATTGTGTTATCAGAGGAGACTAGAATCAGAAGAAATCCAAGATTTGAGGATACTAGAGTACACATTGCTCTATATTTTATTGAACCTTCCGGTCATGGCCTAAAGGAGATGGATGTAGAAATAATGAAACGTGTAGCCCGCTATACAAATGTTCTTCCAATTATTTCCAAAGCCGATTCATTTACCAAAGATGAATTGAAACAGTTTAAGCAAAATATTATGAACGACATAGAGAGATACAATGTTCCTATTTACAAATTTGAAGTTGATACAGAGGAGGACGATTTGGAGGCCATTGAAGAAAACCAAGCGTTGTCTGCGCTACAACCGTTCTCTATTATTTCATCTGATGAAAGAAATAAGGAAGGTAAATACATCAGATCCTATCCATGGGGTACTCTACAGATAGATGACGATAAGATCTCAGATCTTCGAATTTTAAAAAGTGTCATGTTTGGCTCACATCTTCAAGAATTCAAGGATACAACACAAAATTTATTATATGAAAATTATCGTACCGATAAATTATCAAGTGTAACTAAAAATGCGGATCCTGAGGGACAAATTAAAAAGGGTAATAAAACCATCGGTAATAGAGAGAGTGCTGCACCAAGTTTGAGTAATTTTGCGTCTTTGATCAATACTGGTCATTTCAAATCATCTCAATCATTAGCTACAAATTCCAAACTAGGTAAGAATGATCAAACTCAGCTACCAACTACACCACAAATCAACAACAATGAAAATGGTAACGATCGTTCTGATACCAATGAATCGCCAATAAAACAAATGTCAGACGATATCAGAAATGGAAATGAAGAAATTATTAGATCGATAAAAAAAGAAGCACAATCAAATGAGACCGTAGAAAGAAACAAATTAAGAAATATTTCTGAAACTGTTCCATACGTTTTAAGACATGAGAGAATTATTGCAAGACAACAGAAATTGGAAGAATTAGAAGCACAGTCCGCTAAGGAGTTACAAAAGAGAATTCAGGAGCTAGAAAAGAAGGCGCATGACTTAAAATTGAGAGAAAGACTGATAAAACAACAGGGACGTAATCTTTCATCAGCATCTATAACTTCCGATAATAAAAGCTTTGTTAGTACAAGATCAATGTCCCAAAGTCAAATGAAGAAAAACGATACATTTACTGATTTAGCCTCCATAGTATCAGGTAAAGAATGATATATCACCTTAGACAATATGATGTAATATAAATAAATAATTAACAAACAAATAACAAACAAACAAATAACATATAAATTATGGCTTTTTTACAAATATTTGACTGACATGAAAATTGTAACTCAATTTCAGTAAAATATACATAATCTTTTGAATGGTAATTTAGGTTTGCCAAAACATTATTGGCATTATAAATCGTACACAGTATACGTTAATTCATTTTAACTTATTCTTTTAACGTTGGGACTTTCGAACTATCATAAAAGAACAAAAAAATATCAGTGAAACTGAATTATGTATTAAACGGAGCTGAATTTATATTTAACCTACATAAAAACTTAATATAGTAACGAAAATGATATTAAAAGAATACCGTTTTAGAATGAGCCTGTGAAGGGTGGAACAAAAAGAGTAGTAAGATGCAAACATATGTCTTAAAAGTTGAAAAAACACATTACTGAGAGGATGAAAAATATTTAGGCCTATTTGGGATAATTCTGCACATAATTGAAACTTGAGGTAGAATTATTTGAAGTTGAGACAGTCGAACTACCATTGTTGCTGATATTGGAACCATTGCTCTTTCTATTGTTTGGTCCTCTAACACCCAATGGATTCTTGGAGAAACTCAATCTTATGCCTCCCTTATTACTTGCAGTAACACGGGGTAGTTGTCTACCATAAAGTTCGGCCAATGCCCTTGTGGCAAAGCTAACATCATCGAATTCAACAAAACACATAGGACCATGACCGTGACCATGACTATGACTATTTCCATGAGTGTGATTTAAATTTTTATTTCTAAAGGATAATCTTCTAAAACCGTCTTGATCGGCAAACAACACACGTAATTCTTGTTCTGTAGCATCAGGTGGTAAGTTGCCGACATACAATGTATTACATGGAGGGTTTTGATCTGCTGGGTTGGCAGGCGGTGGTATCTTTGACAGTAGAGACATATCCGCTTCAGATACACCAGGATACCCCTGGACACTACCGTTACTCGATTTAACGTTGGAATTTGAGATTATCGAGTTTCCTTTGGAGTATTTAGAGGAATTTTGAATGTTTGTTCCATCAGTCATGTTTTGTGATTTATGCATTCCCTTATAAATATTTGGATTGGATGGCCTTCCTTGCTGTTGTTGCGATATAGCACCTTGAGGTTCTCTACCATATTGTCCAGGCATGATATTTTGGAAGCTATTAGTTTGGACAAACTGACTCGTGTTTTCCTGAGACATATGAGGTGCAGATTGTTGCTGTTGCTGTTGCTGTAACAATTGAATGGAGTTTAAACTATATTGCGACAATGATTCGTTCATTGGCATTGCAGTTGAATTTATATCTATGGACGATAGAACCATAGGATCAGCCATGGAGCCAGCCATGGAATTTGGGTTTGTAGATATGAACATTGATGTATTCTGATTGGAATTGGAATTACGATTATTTTGACTATTGATATTACTGCTGTTGTGATTACTATTTTCTCTATTTTCATCAGTCAATGTCCAATCTAATGCGACGTTTGAGTTCTGAGAGACAACATCATGGAATGCGTTCATACTTGATGCAATTGTATTTGGGTTCCAAATATTCTCATTAATATCATCATTTTCCATCAATAAGAAGGATTTCCCGGCGTCTCTAGTATGTACGGGACCATTCAATGGCAAATCTCTTTGGGAATTATTGCCATTTTTAGATACATTCATCTGATCATGAGGACCAAATGATTGATTACCACCATTTGAATCGATAGCAGTTGGAGCAACCAATGGCTGAGCAAAATCATTAGTGAATGGGTCAGAGAAAGAAAATCTCGATTTTGTCTGTGTCGATGAAGATTGCACGCCCAAACTATTGCTCTTATAATTCGAAGAAGATTCCACAGGAGTGGAACTCAATCTTGGAAGATGAATATTGTTGTAATTTGTTGATGTACTCAATTGATAATTTGGTTGTGGCATGGTATTATTATTATTGTTAATACTGCCATTACTGCTATCTGGTAATATATTCGAAATCACTATTTGGTTTTGAGTTGAATCGTCAATAATTTCAACTGGACAATACTTTTTAAAATCTGGACCGAAAATATCATTTTTTGTAGTTAATATAGAAGCATATAATTTCACTAATGAAAGAGAATCAAATTTAGCCACTATGACTAAACCAGTATGAGGTTCATTCAAAGAGTGAGTTGATCTATTATTGTCGGTTGGAGAATTAATATTAGACGAGTTATTACTATCGATGGTTTCCTCGACCAGCTGAATATCTATAATACCTTTTGCTAAACTAAATAAAATATGGCATTCACGAGGAGTAATATCGACTGGGACATTTCTAATCTTTAAAGAATATAAGTTTTTTGATTTCTTCAAGAAATCTGAATTGATATCCTTTGCATCGGAACCACTAAGGGACATATTTTTCAAAGTGGAAGATAGATTAAATGGTGAAAAATTTTCATTATTAATAAATTGTTGAGATGGTTCAATATTATTATTCATGTTTTGATGCGCATGTGCTTGATGCGGTGGCACAATCATATTCTCGGAGCTTGAATTAAACGCTCTTTGCATAAAGTAGTCAGAGTGTTTAATATTGTTATTTTCATTAATCAACGACGACATCCTTTGTTTGTAAAATAATATATCGTTATTGGAATTTGATATTAAAAGAGGAATAATAGTAATGAATCAGTAATAGAAAGCGGAGAAGAATACGCTAAGCAGACCGTATGATATACGTATATATTATAAAGTTAAAATGCTAAATGTAGGAAGCTGATATGACTATTCGAAATAAAATTGTTCTTAAACGTGGACTTAAAAAAAAAGAAAATCGAAAAGTTTTTGGAAGACGAATATGTATTATAAGTCTTTATTTGGAATATGGATAAATGTGTATTTGTTCAATGAATGACACTTTTCTTCCTTTCTATAATTTGTTCGAGAAAACTGATGCAAAAGAAACAAAACACTATATGTGCTGAATCAAATTTGGAGATGTAAGGGAATTAAAAGAATGTGATTTTTTAAAACAACAATAAAGGTTGGTCTGATCTCTTCTTTATAATGAATAAAACGCAATAACAACGACAACCGAAAGTATGGTAGAGTTAGAATATATATATATGAATGCTTTTAATATTATTTAATATTATTTTTTGTTTTTTGATATGAAATTGAATCGACCTCTATAAAAAGAGAGAAAGAGAGGGAAAAACAGTAACTGTGCAATATTAGATGAAGGTAATGTTATTAATAATATTAATAATTGATCACAGTTGTAAAGTAGTTTATAAGTTGAATATTTTCTTATAATTGAATGTATCGTAATCTAGTAAAACGTGATGGAAAATGTATGTTTTTAATTAGTTTATTTAGACCCAACCTCTTTTTTTGGCTGTGTGCCCTGTCTGCCTCTGACTATGTAAAATGCAGATGCAAAACGAATAAATAAATACGAAATGCGAAACCGTTCATTTTCGCCGCCACCAACCGGAACAGGCAGCGCAGAGCGGGCACGAAGAGCGTGGGCGTGCAACTTCTCATTGCTGGAACAGTTCTTTCATGGGAAACAAATGGGAAACTAACTATGCAATGAGGACCTCGTTCTTGGGCAATGGCAGGTCGGATAACCTGTAGGGGGGGCACACTGCTTAGGGAGAAGACTGCTAGAATACATTGAACAAGGACTACAATTATAGAACAATAACTCGTATGTTTAACTACTATTGACTTCAAGACAATATAATGGAATATACTACAAACAATGTATATATAATATAATAAACTATGTATTCTCGTTCTAGACAGGAGCACAATGCAGTATATACATTCACTTTTAAGTAGGAAAGCAATAGGTCATGTTAACAGTATACTAGACAAGTACACCAGAACGCAATTAGGTGACGGAACGTGGTGTTATTTTCAGTACTCGGTTGCTTATCTTTAGAATTAAATTACAGAACTATTCTTGTTCAACTGTCAGACGATTATGTCAACGACTCTAGGTCTACTGAAATATATAAATTGGAGTAGATAGGGGTTTGTCACATTACTCACGCTACACTTCTCAGCTTGTTCAAGGTATCTGACCAATCAGAGCCGCGTTTTTTATATGCTTTTTTTGGGTGAGGGGAGGAAAAACTGCGTAATTTTTTACATCAAAATGTGCACTGTAAAGCGATCCACTTTCTTTGTTTCTATAGTGTTTCTCTATTGTTTCTTATTAAAGATTATCAGTTTTATGTTCGTAACACCCCCGAAAGGTAAAAAGGGTAATAAAGGGATGCCATGCCATGCCAGCCAGGACCAGGTCAGACTCCTTAGATATCGTTTTGCACGAGGTGGAGCAATGTCATAATATGTGACCTGTTTACCTGTAAAACGTACATAATAAACTAATTAATAGTAACAATGTTTCATTAATTCTACCTGTTCTTACACATATCTATATAAAAATAATAATAATATCACTGGGGTTTCATCTCTACTTTGTATACGAATATATTTCATTAATTGATATACATACATATATATATAACCTTAATAGTTCAGTCATTGTAAAATTAGTAATAGTGAAAAGGGTATCGAAATTAATATATTAAATATGTTATAGAGAGTTTTTCGAAATGAAGAAAAAAATATTAGTAAATTAAATGGTGCTTTTTCTTTTCTCCTTCTTTAAAGTATATTTCCAGAATTAGACATTCCATTTCTGAATATACCAAAGACACGGAAAAGAAAAGAAACAGAATGAACTATTCCTGTGTATAATCATTAAAATTTAACAAAAAATAAGATGTATACAATAGCAATGTTACAGAATGGAATACGAGAAAAGAAAAGTAAAGTAAAGTAAAAAAAGAAGATTATCAACTAAATGATGTAATAATACTATCTTTAATTTTGCTTCTTCTCTTCTCCTTCTCCTTTAAAGCTTTCTTATCTTTTACAGGCTTAGCAGAACGTCCACCAAACATACCACCCATTTTTACTTTATAGCTTCTTGGTACAGTAGGGTCTTTCTCAGATCTCTTACTGAAGGCACCACTGGCTTCTCTTGGTAATCTTTTAACACCTCTAGCCTTCATAGCAGCAATTTTATCTTCTGTCGAAGAGACTAAAGGCTTAGAATTAGATGATATACGAGAAGCAGGGAAAGATACTGAGCTTGAATTTTGAAGTGGTTTTGGCGTGGATGGTGTTGTTGGTGTTCTAGGTGTGGTAAATCCATCGTTAACTGGTTGCGAAATGAACTTACTCATTGGTGGATTGACGACATCAGTAGTATTTTGAATAGGTTGGGTTGTATTGAGTGTCAATGATTGACCACCAGTACTTGGTGCTACTGTTGGTTGGAATTGAGCGGCATATTTCATCTCATTTGAATTTGTCATCAATGGAGAGCTGTTACTGCTACTATCAGTGATAATATTTTTGACTATATTGTTCGATTCAGAACTGTAAGTGGTAGCGCTCTTCCCAAGTGGACTCTCGCTTGTATTATTACTTAGTTCATTAGAATAAAATGGTTTAGTCTTAAAGGAATAATTTACTCCTTCAGTGGTGGAAACTGTTAAATTGTCACCATCCATGGTAACCGTACTCTCTTTAGAGTTTTGAAGAGCCTCGATCGGAGAGTCCTCTTTCACTGGCGTCGATGGGTTGCTGAATAAATAGTACCCAATAATTTGTGGTTGAGTAAATTCAGGTAACCCACCTGGAATATCAACAGTCGAAGAACTTGCAAAATCGTTAGCAGAAATAAATCTTCCTTGAGGTAATTTCTTATCGGTTTGGTTAGCAACAGTATTTGGATTTAATGTCTTTCTAGGTTCAACAACATCATTTTTAGTCGAGGCGTCGTTTAAGTTAGATTGTGGTTGTTCGACTAAGTTGTTATCGTTGTTGGCAGATGGTTCACCACCCTTGGTAGGACCTTGTAATTTATCATTAGTTCCATTTGGCATATTGTTTGTCAAAGGTTTAATTTCTACATCTTTTTCACCTACTGTGGTCAATCCAACAAATTTATTTAAGGATTTCTTTGTCTTAGGGGTCTTTGGGGTAGACAAATCATTCACACTAGTCTTACTTTTTTTCTTTGACAATAATTTATCTTTCCCTTTCCCTTTACCCTTAAGGTCAACTTTAGAAACTTCTGGTGATTTTTTGACACCGAATGGATTCTTTTGATTACCTGGTTGCATAGCCTTAGATAATTTCTTACCAACAACAGGTTTTTGATGTAAGACTTGTTTCTTAGCAGGCTTCTTGCTAAACATACCCTTTACACTCCTAGATTTTTCAGGTGCGGTAGTAGTAGCCAACGGTTTCTTTCCCTTCTTACCTTGTTCCTTTTTATTAAATAGACCCATTGTAGGCTTGAAAGTGGTTGGCTTGGTGGTACTGAATGATTTCCTACGACCACCAGATCTATTCTTGGATAAGAATCCCCTCTTGCCTTCTTGAACTTCTTCGTAAGAGGACTCATCGCCAGAATCACTTTCTTCAAAACTGTCATCACCTTCGTAGGAACTCATATCGGAAATACCTCTGACATTTTCCTCCTCTACATTTTCCTCTTCCTCTTCAGAATCGGTTTCTTCCTCAGAGCTCTCCTCAGAGGTTTCCTCTTCTTCTACCTCGCTCTCAGACTGCATAGTTTCCACTACATATTCTTCTGGTTCACTCAGTTCTGGTTCCTTCTTCTTAGAACCTTTCTTTCCTTTCTTCCCTTTAATATTAGAAGATCTATTAAGCAATATCAGAGCATCAGAATAAATTACAGTACTCAGTGACAATTGTTAGTATTTGACGGAAATAAGACTAAAATAACTTAATATGTATTCTTAAGTTCAGTTTTTGTATAGGGTTGTTCTGCCTCATCTCGTTATTATGTAAGCACTGATCAGATTCGGGAAAAAAATGCAAATTGAAAATTTAAAAAAAAAAAATATGATTTTCCGGATCAAATAATGGATATGTAGGAGGTGCCTATGAAAGAATATAACTCCTTTTTTCCTTTTATAACCATACTTCATGATACATATCTTGTGTGAAAACTAGTAACAGAAATAAATATTTTTGACGTATGATTAAGAGTAAATTTCAAAGGATTAAGTAGAGTTATTTGGGATAACATATCAAATTATCACTCTAACAATATATGGCCACGAAGATCAAACATAACCTTTCTATCGGCAGAACAACTGGATACAAAAAATACCATTATACAGTTAATATAACATACTTTTTAAATAACATCTTGTAGTTGATATTTTATTTTTATCTCTGGCTACTTCTGTCTAAACCAAAAAGTAGTTTTAGTAAATTCGAATAATTAAATAATATGTATGTACTGGATATAAAACCGATTAAGATAGATTGATGAACGTTGATCAATATCAATCCAAGCAAACAAGATGTTGTTGTATATATAAGAATTATGGAAAACAAACAAACAAACCAAAAGAGAAAAAAAGTTAATGGAAAAAAAAGTCACAGAGTGAATAAATCACAAGATTGGAAAATACCTAGCCTTGTTATTGTCGGAGAGGGAACCATTACAAATAAAAAAAAGGATTATAATAATAGCCTTTTGTAAAACACCCTTTCGAATCCAGGTAGACTAACCTCTCTGTTTATACGACATCTGACAACGGTAAGCAAAATAAAATATGATCGTACTATTCTCCAACATGACTTAATATGGTAACCTGTCAGAAAATTGATCCCATAGATATAATAATGTGATGTGTATGCTATAATAGGGGTATTTCTTAGCTGGGTGCGTCATTTTAGGATAATTTTCAACGAAGTTCTTGTTGCATCACCTGGTATAAAAAGAAAGAAGGATATACGAATAATATATTTATTTATTGTATATTTTACCGAATACGGTAATTGTGTCTGTAACAAGCAATAAAATGGGAAAAAAAAACCGCGCACAGAGAGAATCACGCACTAAATTAGGCAATGCTGCATTAGGTAAATAGAAAATATTAAGAACCGAAAGTCACGTGAAATAAAGGTTCGAAAGGATGAAACAGTTCAAAATATCCAAACACAATCATTGACAACCAACATGAATAGTTAAAAAGAATAAAAACAAAATACCAAAAACTCCGAAGTACTTAACAGGATATATTAAGTTTCTTAATGAAATAACTAAAAAATTTCTTGCTGTATTTTATTTATTTATTTTACATACATGTAATGACGATCATACAGTCCTTTTTTTTTTTTTTTTTTTTTTTTTTTTTTTTTNTCATTGCTCTATCTTTACCATAGCACTATCATAACTACCATACTTCTCTTCTATCTCTTTATCGAAACTATATGCATCCCATTGACTTACTAACTCGGCAAGAGTACATTCAATTGGACAATAGATCTTAAGTAGATATTTTTCATTTAATTTTAATCTACCCGTTTTAATCTTGAAACTAAACTTTTGACCTACCAATTTATTTAATTCAGTGGTTATCTTATCAAAATCAAATGCCCCGTTACAAAAATATGTTAGATTTGATCTATCAACAATATAAAGAGGCATGATTCTTGTTTGTTCAATCTTTCCAGTTGAAACTAAATCATTAGATACATTTAGAATCAATATATTTTCAACTTTCAATAAGTTCCATGATAACAATCTTAAGTTATCAACAATAAATAAGTGGTTCATTTTTGTTTGAGTCTTGTATAAGGAAGTGAAATTTTCAGTTTCATTTGTTATATCAAAGGATGCAATGTCGATGTTTAGATTTGGAATATATGAATATATTTTATCATTTGGCGTACCCACAGAAGTGTTATTATTATTATTATTAATGTTGAATATATCATCAAAATTGTCATAACTATATATTTCATCTTTTGGAATAATAATTACAGCACCAGGAATTTCATCTGTTCTTTTTATTGGGAAAAATCTAGCGAAATTTTTATATACCTTATTTTCGAGTCCCAAAGTCATACGATTTTGAGTACAAAAATCAAACGTACGTTTATACAAAGAATGTAAATGACTCAATGCAGTCTTATCGTTATACCACGCTCTTGAGTCTATTACTGATCTTGTCAACGGAGTGCATTCTCTCAAAATTAAATTCAATTTATCTTGGTATACTGAGACCTTCACTGTCAATTCACACACGATCCCATTGTGGGAAAGGTTATCCTTAATACTTGAATCTGCAAGCTCATGAATGGACTTGTTGGTTACCCTTTTCAATTGATACTCAAATGCTTTCAATCGGTCATGATACATTAGCGTTCTAAATCCTTGTGCAAATGAGATTGTAGTATCGCGTGAAAGGAAAGATTTATCAAATAAGTATTTATGATCAGTGAAATTGGATGTGAAATCAGTGAAAATAAAATCATAATAACTGGAATGCTCACATGAATATGATACCAAGACAGCAACCATCTTAATAAACTGTGGGAATTTATCAGTGATACTAATATCTTGCCATTGTTTGAATGTTTCTCTTGGTGATTCAAAAAAAAACCGTTTTTCTACAGGTATTGATTTATCTGATTTCTTATAGGAGATTAATTGTGGTACAATTGTATATGCCGAATTAATCTCTGGGTCCATGTTGGACTTCACAGCATCTAATGATGCTTCAATCTCTTCGTCGATTTCCTGAACAGCAATATCCTTAGTGTCATTTGTCGGTTTCACAACGACACAATTGATATAAGGTTCCAGAAGGTTCTCCTGTATCACATTTTCCAATGGATCATTCTCATTGGAGATCAAATAAATATTGTTACGATTGTCTGATTTCATTGAACCGACAAACTTGGCCGAAGCAAAAGTGCGTGAACCTAAATCCATGAATGCAAAAGCTTTTGGTCTCAAATCATCTAATTTCTTAGGTGGTTCAGCAAGAGGTTCTGCTACCTGGAAATCTGCAGTTTGTGGGCTTGGTGCGGGATGAGACTTGTACAAAGGTATCTGACTCGGTGTGGGCAGAGTTGTAATCGGAACAGCAAGCACGTTAGGCGACTGTTGAGTATCCATAGCCTGAGAATCGAACTCATTCTGGGAATCAATGGTGTCTATTCCTTTATAGATTGGTAAGATCCTACTCACCATGGACACATGTTGTTTTCTTTTATTCACTGATTGATACGAGAGTACAATATTTTTCAAACATTCATTATTTTTGAATTCCACATTATGCAAACCCTTGAACTGAAACAATGACTGATCCTCAGAATCCAATTTACACAATCTTTTAAACAACATCGTAATATTTGGAGTCAACCAGTCATCGTCCGAAAGATGCCCCGATTGCATATAACCCCACGCCCTGGTGGCTTGTGCCCCCAGATTCAGCGGAGTCAGATCATCTAGATATAAAGAGGACTTGGACCCGTTTGTAACATACGTAGCCGAGGCCACCACAAGTCTTAACTCATGAATATGGATATCTCTTCGTTTCCATTCGGACGCCAAGTTATCCTGAGGGAAATGAATGGTGTCGAAGGCCAAAGCTCGTTGCAATAGAGCGAACGCAAACGTTGCATTTCTATTAGCGAACGTTTCTTTGATGTTTATTCTTGCAATGAAGGTGTCGTCATTATCGTTGAATGTAGCCAAATGGAACGTTAATGAATTTTTTGTACAGATAATGGCTTGAAGGACCGCAACAAATCTAATTCTAGAACCTTTGCCTGTACAGATGCGTTCTATGTCTTGCAGATTTTCTATGATTGTATATCCATTCTGTTGCATATTTAGAACCAAAGTATGCCTATAGGATCTTAACTTATCTTCTTTTCACCAAGTATATATATCTATATATATACGTGTGTGGGTGTGCTTGTGTGTCTTTTTGCGATGAGCTTTTCTCTCTTATCATTTACATAGCTTATATAAACAGAAACACGAAAAAAAAAGTAAATAAAAACAAACAAAGAAAAGTCGTGGTACGATGAACAAGATTGCATCAAACGAGGGTGTCCCATATCTAGTAGATAGTAAGACAATACAACAGTAACAGTCATCTTAATCAGATGCAGACATACCACTCGACCAACGATAGAACAGTACTAAAAAAAACATGAGTTTATGTACAGTTACTTCTGAGTCTGAGCATTTATATATATATATAGCAGTGTATACAAATAATTTTCCGAAGTCAAGAAAAAAATATTGAAAAATACGAGGAAAAGATTGGAATTGATAGCAGTCACATATATATATATATACAAGAGAAGAAAAGAGAAGAAGTAATAATCTAGTCAATTGAATAGAAACAGTACCAATCGCAGCCAAAATGAGAATAGTATTACAAAAAGTTAGTCAAGCATCAGTTACAGTCGATTCTCAAATTATTTCCAAGTAAGTAGAGCCTGCAACGCTGAAATTATTTTTATTACAGTAGTACTAACAATAAATATAAATAATGCAATAGTATAAAACATGGCTATATGTTACTTGTTGGTATTTCAATTGACGATACGATTGAAGATATTAAAAAATTAAGTAATAAAGTGCTTACATTACGTCTTTACGATAAAGATGACACGATGTGGCGCCAAAATATTCAGGAGGCCAAAGGTGAAATTTTAAGTGTATCGCAATTTACGTTGTATGCACGTACTAAAAAGGGAACAAAACCTGATTTTCACTTAGCACAAAAGGGACACATCGCTAATGAATTGTATAAAGAATTTTTAATTCAGTTACGTGCAAAATTAGGCGATACCAACGTTCAAGATGGTGAATTTGGTGCCATGATGAGCTGCAATTTAACCAATGAGGGTCCCGTAACAATCATACTAGATAGTAACAGTTCATAAATAGAATAATTAACCAAAATATATGTATATATGACAGTATTAAAACGAGCATGCTCTGGGTTTCACGTGACCGCCGACAGTTCGGCACACCGAGAGAGAGACTTGCGACCACACCCGTGCACCACGTGCTTGCCTCAAACAGGGCCCTATGTAAACAACCCTCCAATGTATCCTTTGCGACCCCCTAAGGGTCCCCGTAGCTTCCAAATCCGCCTCCTCACGATGCCGCCATTCAGTCCAGAATATTCCATGCCGTTCCCAGAAATATCAACAACGAATCTGCCGTCTCTCCGCTGAGCCGTGAAAACACACAGTACCAACACTAGCAGTGCAGCCCTATAAGAAATTTGGCTCTATTCAGGCAGGGCGAGACAGCCGAGCCAGGGCGTCGGCATTATTATTTTAAGGGTCCCGCCACTGCGCACCGAAGAATATCCGTTAGCCGTCTTTCCGTGTGCCAAAGACGGAATAGTCGCAGCTTGTCGCTTTCATTGCTGCTATCGCTACTGCTCTCAAGGGATCCGAACGTGGTGGTGGTGGTGGTGGTGCATTGGCAGCCATACGCAGTAAATAGCTACAAGTATGTATCCCACGCCAATGACCACGCACAATTTGTGGTTCCTCACTACCTGAACCGAACGGCTTGAGATGAGCTAATTAATCTCTGTCGCTCTTGCTGTGCGATTCTTACGTAAAGTTATTCAAGGGTCCCTGTCCCTCTTTTGCTCACTGGACGATGCCCTAACCCCAAAAAGTGAAAAACTGGCTATTACTAATAAACAAAGCAAAAACAAACAGCCGAATTGTAACTCGCTCAGCTCAGCTTCCCTTACTACCAACCTGGTAAATAGTCATGAAATAAAGGATGTTCGGTGGTAGTTTTTGCTTGTGTGACACAGAATATCGTCGTTGCTGCCTGCTACTTCGTCGTTTTGAGACTTGCTTGACACACTGCTTGTTCGATTTAATTCTTAATTCTTTACATTTTGAACCCTTTTAATTAAGTACTGTTTAAGTCTTGATTTACTGCTGCAAGGGTTTCTGCTAACAACACATTAATTAGTGCAAATGAGCTATTTTATGTAATGTAATATGGGCGAGTCCCCTCTTAATTATTACTAATGTTTTTATGGAACCCTTGTAAAAACTTGGATTGGCCAATTAATGGGTCGAAACCTTAGATGATTTTCTTGTCTTATTTTATTTCGTCCTGTTTTCGAAATCATATATAAGCACTGCTTATTTCTTTATACTGCAATGTATTCTTATTTTTTATACCTAACTCTCTCTTTATTCTGCTCACTACAGACTCATCAACAACTAAATCAGTTTTTAATTTACTATTACATTAATTTAAAACAACAACAATAACTACAAAATGATGAATTTTCATTCTAAGAAGAGTAATACTGCTCACAACAGGGCTTCCACTGCTAAACTGGTAGGTTTAGCCACTTTGAGATTCTTTCAATTCGCTTCCGCAGTCCTCGTAATGTCTTTGATTGCCTATGCTATTCACGCTTACGGTTTCCACGGCTCTAAAAAGACCAACTTCGTCTTGGCCGTAGGTGTTATCGGTACTTTCTACAACTTGGCCGTCTTTGTCCTGGCTATCGCTGTTCCAAAGTTGGTCTTTGCTGGTATCTACTTCTTTTTCGAAGTGGTCATGTGTCTGCTATGGTTCGCCGCCTTCATCGTCGACGCTAAGGTTCAAGGTGACCACTCTTGCAAGATTAAACATACTGCCCAATACAATCCAAAGTACGGTAACTTGCAATCATTCACCGACTCAGAGGGTGACTTCAACGCCTTCACTAACAAGTACACCACCAAGACTGAGAAGACCGCCTGCCAATCAGCCAAGGCCTCAATCGCCTTTGCTGGTTTGTCCTGGGCTTTGTTCATGATCTCCTCTGTGTTTGTCGGTCTAAACATTTTGAACCCGGTCATCGCTCATTATGGCGGTAAAGGTATGTTCAAGACTGGCTCCTCCATGGGCACCAGAGTCGACAGAGCCTCTGCCTTGACTTTGGTCGATCCGATCGAAGATAAGTATGCTCCTGAGGATGTTGAAGCCGCCGCTGGTGTACCAAACGCTAACGTCGTTCACAATGAAGAGGACCAACATACTTTGTCCACTAATAACACTGCCCATGACGGTCAAGAAAAATCTGAAACCTCTGAAGTATCTCCAACTCAAAGTGCAGCTATGACCCAAGCTCAAATTCAAGCTCAAGCTCATGCTAGAGCTCGTGCTCATTCTATTTCTCTTTCTCGTGCTCAATCTCGTGAAGATGCTTAATCGAAAGGTTTGTTAGCTTTTTTCCCCCAAACCACCAAATTAATTTTAATTTTTAATACTATTTTTTTGTGTGTTGTTTAAGTTCTTTAACTTCAAACATCAACACACACTCTCATACATCCAATTTGTTATTAGACTGTCTAATAATACTTTTCTTTCCTTGTTAAGATTAGTTTTTAATACCTTCTTCTAATATTTTTTTTCAATTTATTTACATAATTATTATATTCCACCCTCTATTATTTAATTTTTAATACCTAATAAAATATAAAAAACCTTTTTTATCTTTAAAGCAGATTATATTTAGACTTCGTCTCTTCCCATGTATTATTACATAAAATATTCTCTACTCCATACAATTTCCATACATTTTGCATATGGTGTAATCGACACTTCACTACCACTGAACCACCACCTTCAATACTTGTTGAATAATTGAATGAGAATCCAATATTGTCAGCCAATGTCACATCACTATTCAACAAATATTCTATTCGATCCTGTCCCGCTTTCGTTGCATCAATATATGGTATATTGTCACAACTATATCCATCAGTATAGGATTCCACAAATGTTATATAGGGTACCCACATTCTATAAATGGGATCGTATCGCCTTGTTAGAACGAAATCATTCTCACACGTTACATGATCCTGCGACCAACCGTGTTCAAAAAAGTATTCCTGTTTCATCTTTTGTATCAGGACGCCAATCTTATATTGGAAAACCCAGGAAAAAGAACCAAAACAAATTATCAGGGATTCTAATTTATCTTTAACGTACTCTGGTATCGACGATATGCTGTTATAATTACTAACAGGCAAGATATTTGTTGATGTTGGTTGACATATCACGGTTTCTTTGATTGTGGATGTGGCACTTTTATTGCGAGTTAATGAAAACTTACTATTTATTACTGAATTGAGCGGTAGTGAATTATTATTTTCATGGCTGAATACTTCCATTATACCGTATACTTGCAACATCATCGTCAGCAAGATGATGATCTTACTTACTGTGCCTCTAATTATCTCCATAATTTGCCTTGTTATCCTTTACTCATCTTCCAAACTAACCTCCCTAAATTTTTACCAATCTCTATCCGTATCAGTGTTTTGTTATGGTTAGATGAGCCTCCCCCCTGTACCCCTAACTTTATATCCCCTTTAATGATTCAGTATTGTTCTTAAATACTTCTTCTATTAACAAAAGGATTTCTGATCTGTTGCTAGTTTGCAACCAGATTCACAATTTGTGGACTGTCACTGCGCCTTGTTCTGCGGGAATTTCAGAAATTATTTTTCAGTCATCGCAATACTGAAAATTTTATCAAAATGCTCGTTATGTGCGTCGCTTTTTCTGGGTGCTTATTTTAGCATCTTGGCATAATAGTAACTGATCACCCACCAATAAACTAGAGATACATACTCCTTTTAAAATCAGGTTAGTCATGACAGTTTAGTTACTTTGCCTCTGTTCGGGTGATTAACATTGAGATATTGCTATTTTAGTAACAAATATATAAGAAGATTAGTATTCTCAATAATATTACTATTTTTACCATTCGTGGATTTCTATTTTTGGCAAAACGTTATTTTAAAAACCCACAGAATCCAAATATATCAATATATATATAAACTCATATGAAATTATCTCTTAAAAATATTGCCTTACTGTTATTGCTATCGATCAGAATTCACTCTTTACTGATACCAGATGACGATGAAATACATTTAGAAAAGAGAAGAGGCGGTTTTGGTGGTGGTGGCCATGTTAGTAGCGGTGGTTCGAGAGGTTCAAGTGGAAGTTCCAGTAGTAGTTCCAGCACTAAAGGCGGTTCCGATACTGGATCCGTCGTGTCTAGTGGTGATACGCTAGTTGGTTCGAACTCCGGTTCCAGTGGTTCTAACTCTGGTACCTCACCAAAGGCAGGATCTAATCTTGGCAGTACTAGTGGTAATTCAAACTCAAATAGTGGGTCCAGTGGGTCCAATATTGCTGGTGGTGCAATAGCTGGTGGTCTAGCAGGTGGTGCAATAGCAGGTGGTTCTCATCCAGGACGTATTCAAAGTGGTAGTGGTAACTCCACCTCATCATCTACTGCTGCTGCTTCATCTTCATCTGCAGCTTCAAAGAAACATCACAATGCTGCCAACATAAATTATGGTTCAATGCTGAATATCATTGGTGTGAACGGTGCTGTAGTGTCTTCTGCTATGATCTCTGCATTTTTATTGTTATAATCCGTCAAACTTATAACATTTGCATGGACTCTGTTTTTTGGACTTTTTTTCTCATGGATATTTCTTTAATAACCAGTTTTACATTCTTCCTGATCCATTGTTCGTTAATTTTTCATTCTTATATATACATTTATTTTATTTATACAGGTTATGAGTTTATGCGAACGCAGTACGATAACTAATCTTATATACAGCATCTATGCATCCTATTATACACTATTTAAAATCTATCTCGAATATTTAATGACCAGGGTTTTTATATTTTTTATTTCTTTTATCATTATCAATCATTGAAATCATTTGCTGGTGGTGTCCCATCTTCACTCTTCATATACATATCGATAGCAGCTGAAAACAATGCAAAACCAGCACACCCAATTGCAGCAGCTTGCGGTCCACTCTTATAGGCTAAACCAGCACCGGTGATACAACCTGCAGAAACACCATTATATATATCACTCTTTGCTCTTGTGGATTCCACAACACACTCCACACCGGCGTAGATCAAACCAATATACCCAAAATTCTTCGCACTGGAATAAGATCTTTTACCCATATCAGCAAATTGTAATTTGATTTGTTGTTTCATTGGTAAATCGGCCATCTGTTGAATAGGACTTGCCAGATTACCAGGAGTAGGAACGTGTAACGGAGTATCATATGCCATGGACGCCATGAATAGACCCAGAACACCACCTAATGCAAAACCCGTAACACCACTAATTACAGATTTTCCAGGACATGAGGTCATAAAGTCCATCATCATCTGTGCACCCTTTTCACCTTGTTGGTCTGCTGTAAGTTGACTGAATGGGGTATCTTTGTCCGGTGGAGGACGTATTTGTTCCATTCCAAATCCACTGTAAACCATCTTTGTATATCTTTGTTTTTAACTATAGTTCCAAGAATATTCTCTGATATGATTTCAAACTCTATCAAATTATATTAATGACGCCCTCTCTATTTATTTATTTGCTCTTTTGTTAATATACTTTTAGGTGACCTCTTTATTCTTGTGTTCTTCAACTTTACATATTTCTTGAGCAGTCGCGGAGTTAAGAAAATATTTCTTTTGTAAGACCTATCATCCATCAATATGACAAAATACCAACAACCTTGTTATGAATATATATACAGTTTATATAACTATACATGTTCCCAAACACCACATTCAAATGGTGAATGTATCCCTATAGAAACGATAGTTTTTGTATTCCTGCATTTTATATCTAAGCAAGTCTCTTTTATTCCTATTGTATGCAGACCGAAGATTATTCTTTTGAAGACTAAACGTTAGATCATCAATACTATGTAACTTAGACTCCCGGTTTGCATTCATTCTTAGGGAGTCTGTAGACTCTTGCATACTTGATAGGGCCTCATCAATGGCTCGTCCATTCCCAAATAATCTTCGTTGTAAAGTAAGAAAATTTCCGGGACTACTTTCATTTGTTGAACCATTGTTATAATGCGATCTTAAGTATGTAAAACTACTCTCGGGAGCAGTTCCAACACTACTTGTAACACTCTCGATATCAGCCTCCTTCTCACTATATATATCATGTATCATGTCTATATCACTATCATTATCGATAGACGGTGTACTACGCATAGAATTAGAGATGCTTCTCTTCACTTTTGTACGTTTTGATTCACCTGCATCGTGATTAGATGGACCCATTGATTCTGAGGCAAAATCTGTCCTCATATCAAGTGATCGAGGATCTTCTTCAACAACTAGTTCGTTAAAGTTGTTGATTTGGTTCATACTATCGAATAAATCTTCAAATAATTGCGTTTCATAATTAACATCACTTTGAACTAATCGATGGGAAAGTTTATTAGATCTTAGAGCCATATCCAAATTAGATGCATATGTTCTCATTGGCAATTCATAAAATGTTAAATTTTCATCTGGTGGTAAGTCTCCTGTAGTTGTATTTTCATGATCATCATTGACATTGTCCTTAAAACCTGAATCCAACGTTCTAAAGGCTCCAATTCTAATTGCACTTTGGTCAACACTCTTCTTAGGATCCACTACTATCGCTAAGTAAGGATCCTGATATGACTGATTTAAATTTTGTGTACTCATATCTATTTTACTCAGCCAACAATCGTACCCTGGATGTGAATGATACCACCCAACTACATGATTCATTTTATCTGCTTCGGAGAACATCTCATCCATATATTGCACCATATATTCGTACGATTCAGACATCGCATTTACTCTAGTTTCAGTCCCCAATATCGGTAAAGGGAACGACTGGGTTACTATGAAGCTTGAACCATGAGTAATTCCAACTAACATCCCCATTATCTCATTGTCACCACCACTAATAGCATGTTGAAGAATCTGTTGACAGCATAACTTAGATATGAGAACATCGTGATAGTATCTAGGGTTTTGTTTCACACTTTCATTGTTCAAATTGGATTGAAGATCCTTTAGACATGTATTGATTATTTGTTGTTGTGTAGGGTCTACATTGACATATTGTGACGGTTCCCGGTGCTGTTGTGTATAAGAACCATTCAAAGGAGTATCCTCATAATCATCTTTCAATTTTCTTCTCAATGACACTACTGACTCGTATGCTGGTAACATTCTATTTTGTGATATTCTAATCTGGCCACTTCTACCTTCAAGTCGTTTAATTTGTGTATATAAGGATGAAGGTGACTTAAGTAGTCACATCGCGCTTTATTAGTTGTAATCTGAATTTTAAATTTTGTATTTAATTATATGATACAAAAAGAGAAAGAACAATTATGCTAGTTCTCAAATATACAATTTATAATATATAGATATAGATATATTGGGTTTCATATGGGGTCGTAACATATCAAACTTAGTTCTTGTAAGCTTCTCTTCTCAATTCACCAATGAAGGCAAGGAACTTACCAATATCAACGTCAATACCGTTTTGGTAAACGAAAGAAGAAGCCAAGTAGGAAGAAATCAAAACCTTTAGGTAAGAGTCTGGAATGTTTTCTAGAATCTTAGATGGAGTGGCAACATCAGTTAGCAACTTTGGAATGATCTTTTCTAGTAACAAGTAGTCTCTTAGTTTAGTATCGTTCAACCATAGTTCTTCAGAATCAACCAAGTCATCGTTCAATTTATTGATAGTGACAGATAGTTTATCAGACAATTCGGAAATTGGAGTACCAGTCTTTTGGTTGATGGCCCATAGTTGAGCAAATTCTTGTTCAGCGTTGTAAACAATTCTCTTTTGGACTTGTTGGACGTATGCATCATATAATGGAGAAGTCTTAGTTAATTCAGCAACATTAACACTGTCTAAATCTTGACCTTCTAGGCCGACGAACTTGTGAACGAAGTCTTCATCGTTCAAAGCCAAAGAGGCTAGAACTTCGAAAGAAGAGGAGGTAACACCACCCTTATTAGCAGATGCATCCTTGAAGAAGACACAACCGTGGTTTTCTAGTTCAATCTTAGCTGGTTGAGCAATGAATAAGTTAGCACCTTCAACAATGTATGGAACTCTAGACTTGTTGGTCTTTGGATCAATGAATTCACCGACATTGTTCAAAGTGATAGAATTTGGTCTACCACCACATGGGACAAATAAGTCAATGTGGTCAACAAACTTGAATACCTCGACGTGGAAAGTGTTTCTGAAAGAAGTACCGTTAGCAACAATGGCACCATTTGGTAGCATAACATCTGAATCGTCAACAGATACAAAGAAACCTTCCTTAGATAGCTTAGACTTGTCGTAAGAAGCAATAGTAGATCTGCCCTTGGCCAATCTGATCAATTCATCCTTGTCTAGACCCTTTGGATCACATAAGACACCGGAACCATCTAGAAGACCTACATAGGTTTCATTTGGAGTAGACAATTCAATTTCGTTGGAACCCAAATCCCCATCTGGACCACCAGTTTGGAATTTAGCAATCTTAGCATCCTTTAGATTCAAGGTTTCGTAAATCTTGTTGACGAAAGCTCTAACACCTAGAGAGGTCATACCATATTCATCGTGAGGAATACCACCTAGAGATTGAGACTTACCAGTCAAGAATGACTTCCACCATGGACAACCACGAGAACGAGCATGTAGAGTAGCCCAGTTAACGAAACCAGCAGTACCTTCATCTGGACCGAAGAATAAGATTTCTTCCTTACCTAGTAAATCAACATAATTTTCCTTTAATGGATCTCTGATCAAGATATCAATAATAGAGTCAACGTATTGAGTGAAGGCAATGAAAGTGTCCTTTTCGGTGGTCAATGTTGGGTTTAATAAGATAACACCCTTAGAACCACCTTCTGGAATATCCTTGTTCTTACGTTGTTGAGTAGAAGCCAATTGGTAATTTTCGTCAATGACAGTTCTGGTGTTCTTGTCGTAGATATCTTGAGTCTTGGAACAAACGATTCTAATACCACCACGAGCGATATCTCTGAATCTGATGTGGAAGGCCTTGAAAGTGTTACCAACAACGAAGAAGATACCGTATGGGGTATCTGGGTATTCAACCTTTGGAATAATCATAGCTGGGTTCAATCTGAAAGAAATAGCGACCTTTCTGGTTATGAAGAAGTTAGTCTTCAAGATAGACTTATTGAATAGATTCAAAGTCTTTAGAATCAACAAATCTGGAGAGTCGTTTGGAATGAACTTGTTCAAGTAAGCTTCAAATTCTTGGTCGTTTTTGAATGGTTCCAACTTAGATAGTCTCTTGTAAGATAAAGTCTTTTCGATCTTATTGTCATTTAGGTCACGACAGTAGTGGACTTCAGAGAAATTCTTGTATAACTTGGAGACAATGTTGTGGTATTTTTCTAGGACATCGATAATCATTTGTTGAGTGAAAGTTTCGTTTCTTAACTTCTTCTTCAAATTACCGATAGTTTCCCACATGACGACATCATTTTCCTTTGGAGCGATTTGAGTCAATAGGTTCTTGTAATCGTCTCCTAGTCTGTTAATGAAATGAACGATGAAGATGGCGGAAACATGAGCGTAGATGGCTTCTTGTGGAGAGAATTGACGTTGTTCGTACAATTGAACGAAACTGTTGTTTGGAATGGTATACAACAAAGAGGCTTCTCTTTCGATTTGTTGAATGGACAAGTCCAGGTCTTGTGGTAGCAAGTCCTTAGATTGTTGAGTCTTGTTCAAGTAAATGGAGAAGATAACAACGTCATCGTTGTCGGAACCTTGTGGACATAGCTTGAAGTTTTCAACGAAGAACTTGTTGATACGCAACTTGTAGTAATGGAACAAAGAGTTCAATTCAGAGTAGTAGTGCTTGGTGGTTCCTCTCTTGTAAGCAACCAAGAATCTAACTTCATCCTTGTTTTCTCTGGAGTTGGTGATCTTGATAACTGGACCTTCTCTTTCTTGAGATAAGTTGATCAAAGTACCGTACAACTTCTTGTTTTCGACAGAGGTCATGGCGACCATGGATTCGTCAGAGATGGAATCGATATCACCAGAGATCAATTGTTGTGGAGTGATCTTTTTACCGGCGGCAGCTTGGAAAGTGTTTTCGTAAGCGAAAGTGATCTTAACGTCACTTTCTGGAGTCCAGTAAGAAACAACTCTCATAGTCTTCTTGTCCTTAGCATCCAAAAACAAGTCATCTACATCGGCATCCAGTTGGTATGGTGGGTAAGAGTCATCGAAGTCAGCTTTACCAGAAGTGTTGTTCTTACCAGCAGTCTCGATTAAAGAAGAGAAAGTAGTACCAGTGGATTCCATGAAGATAGCATGGTTATCAGTAGTGATAATCTTGTTCTTAATGTTTAGAGCTTTAGCGGCGTCGGATTTCTTTAGACCAGACTTAGCGAAAGAGTCCAACTTAGAGGCATATAAGGAATGGATAATATCGGCCAATAGAGCTGGTTGTTCCTTGGAAAAGAATAGATCGTCAATTCCTAGAGAGTTGTAGAACCATTCGACTTCTTGTTCGATCAAGTCATCTGGAATGAAGCCTTGTTGATCTAGCAAATCGACAACTTGTTCACGTTGAGCGTCCTTACCTGGGAAGGCATTGGCGTGGTAGTCGGACATGGAAGAGATTGACAAAGAAGCAATGTCTGGAACTTGTAAAGCTTTAACTGAATCAGCCATTATTCAAGTATAGAAAAAAAAAAGGGGGTGTTGCAAGCGACTGAGTCCTGTTATGGCAAAAATTGTGCTTGACACAACTAAAAATAAGACTTTTAAAAAAGAATATACATTTACAATTAATAAACAACTAACCAGTTAAAGAATGAATCAATTAAAAATTATTGTGATTATTTAACTCTCTTATATAATATATTTATTATGGAATCATCGTTCTCTTTGTTATAGGCTGACGATCTTTTTAAAACGTTGTCCACTTTCTTTTTCGCCCATTAAAAGTCAGAGTCTCCATTTTATGTGTTTCGCTCTTTGTTTTGAATGCTGATTATATTGATAACCACTAGAAACAGCGATAGCAACACCGAAAGTGTGCGCAAAAGTTGTTTTTGTCGGGCAAACGGCCAAAGGAGGTCTCCTAGATGAAAATGAGCGCGCAAATTTGTAAACAACATTTTGCGAAACACAAATTTGTAACTTCCCCACGCAATTTGTTCTGCACGTGAGTGTGTTTGTGTGTTTGCGTGTGGGCACAATTCCGAGCGGGCACTAAATGCGAAGTCAAAGCGTGGGGGATTGAAGGAAATGGCAAAGGAAAAGGTCTGAGACAGATTTCACGACTTTCCTACGAGGATACTGGGCACACTTTATTATCACACACACAATCTTAGAAGGATTCGAAAAATATTAATAATAACAATAATAATAATAATGATAGTACAACCGAAGTAGATCTGTTTCGCCCTTGGGTTCTTTCAGTTACCAGGTACAGTTGCAATCTTCGAAAGAATATTATTTGAAGTTGATAATAATGATGCAGGAAAAGAGGTCAAAAGATATATGGATTAGGCAACCGGTGTGTGGGTTTATTGATGCTTGTTATCTCCCTCGTCTGTGTGACTTTTGCTTATCTTGACGGTGAGTCACTCGTAGGGAAAGTTGTAACCAACGAACCAGAATGTAGAGAGATAAGAAATGCTATCAACGTAATTTGGCGTGTCCCGGTTACGGTTCCAAGCCTTTTAATGGTCTCTAAAGGCTTGTTTGCGGCAGTGTTTAATAACGTAATGGCGTATGTATATTCCCTGAAATGAAAGAAAAGTGAACGGCTCCAAAAAGATTAAACTGTGTAGTAATTAATATAAATTTCTTACGTATTTTGGCGTTTCGTCTTCATTTTAATCGGAACTTGGACGGAGGTTTGCAATATGAGCTTTAGTTGGATCAAGTCTTGTATGTTCATGGTCTTTACTAGGATGTAACTTATCTTGACAGTAATCTATAGAACAGACCCAATTGTCCAATAGGATCATATCTATCGATGGACGACGGATTGGTGAAGGATCCAGGATTTGTAACAAGATATGATGTGTTTCTTCAGGTAGTGGTGCTAGTAGACGCATCGGTCCTGCAATATGATTACCTTCATCATTATCCTCATCTGCATCATCATATTGTATTATCATATCATCCTCAGGGATGCTGTTATCTCTTGTCACCAATTCATTTAAAGTATTGGCACCTCGACGACATAGGCAGAATCTACGGAATCCAGAATCCTTTAATCGCGGATATTTCCATGGAAAGCTTCTTAGGATCATGCAAACGAATATAATTCCAATGGCCCATATATCTGTTGCTCTTGGATCATATGTTTCAAAGATGTATAGCTCAGGTGATAAATATGGATCGCTCCCCACAATCCCTTTAGCCATTGTAATTGCTGTGGAACCACTTGAATCGTTGTTATTACTGTTGTTCCCATTATTATTTCCATTATCTGTATAGGGTGATTTATAAACTACTGCGGCACCAAAATCAATAATCTTTAATTTTCCCTTATTGTTCACCACCAAATTATCAAGTTTTAAATCTCGATGAGCAAGGCCAATATCATGTAAATAGAGAACACCTTGTAATAATTGCCAAAAATAACAACAGGCCTCGGAGTAATGTAATTGTTCACTCATCACAATAGCGAACAGATCGTATTCCACATATTCCATCACTTGTAAAAGAGTATGTTCATCTTGTTCTATAATCTCTACAGTTGATATGATATTACAATGTTGAAGGATTGAACTAATACAATATTCAGCTTTAATTTTCTTTAAATATGATTGAACGGTATAATTTTCTTCATCCCGATCTTTACTCAAAGTTTCTTCGTATGGATGGAATGCTTTCACAGCAAACATCACATTATCTTTTTTCCTTTTGACAACTTTCACAGATCCACCAGAACCTTCCCCAAGAACGTTCCCAGTATACTCATATTTTTCATCAAACAACAATTTACCATTTTGTGAAGCATCCTCTTTACCATTAAACTCTTTACCCTCGACGATAGTTGCATGACTATCTCTTCTATGAAACAATAGATTCTTAAACATCCCATTATTATTAGTAGTATTACTATGATGTGGATAATGGTGACTACTTGATGATGAAGCAGACATCGAATACGACCGTCTTGCTTTAGTTGCCAGCTGTTTCTTATGACTATCATGCAACTTTGTCAATGGAATTTGGAATCGAGACTCTACCGAGGCAACAATCGGAGAAACAATCTCATTAGACTCTATACGTGTAATGTTATCCGGGAAACTATGACCCATGGATTCTAACCAAGTAGAACAGACAGACGCCTGTCGAGTAGCAGTTGTAGAGCTACCACGTCTTGACGTATCTTTCATATTTGTAATATTTGTATTTTCATGATTTTCATCATTATATGGTAATTGAAACGGAATAGAGCTAGAGAGAGCCGTCGTGTAACGTTGAACTCCCGGTCCTACCGCGTACGGACTACCACTCTCCAAGCTCATTTCACTTTCGGCATCCTCGTCCAGGGATCTTTCAAAATAATGAATCGGCGACCCATCAGCATACGTATATTGAGCGTTTCCAAATATATGGTTATAACTTGGAGGTGCTTCCGACACAGGAATATCTATAGAGGCACTCATACGGTCTAAAAAAACGAACGTTAATAATCTTATTAGATATATAATTATATAATTATCTACAGATCGTATCTACCATTTTCAAGAAAGTAAACTCCGAATGCAAAATCTTTATGCATTAGCCTTTGTGTTCTTATATTATATCCTTTATATAAAATAGTATGCAAAACCCGTTTAAATAAATTTTTCAGATAACTTCAGCTCACATGATCCCTTACCTCTTCCAGTGTGGGTAAAACAAGATTCGCACTAAATTGCTCTCTCTCCAGCGTTAATATGACGTATTACCACCCCGACCCCCTCCTCCTCCGTTAATGGCTGCACTTTCAAATCTGTATAAGGCTGCGCTCTGTATGTGGGGTGTGGGTGCACCCGGGCGCCTCCCCTTTGTGGCGATCACGTAATCGATAAATTTTGCGGGGGAGCAGGGAGGGCTCGTTGGGCGTGATGTTCGTGCAAGCCCTGATACCGGACAGTTAGGGTTCTTGCTTTGAAGTTTTGTACTACATGGATGGATCAATATCAATAAATACTGAGAACAGTTCCTTCCATTAACGGTATTGCTAATTCTTATACAGTTGTATGCCATGGCAAAAGGAGTAATAAAACTTTACTTCTACTACTACTGTTGGTTATTCAAAAATATATCTAATATGCATCGTTTGTTTTATTAAATGAAGTTGTTGTACTATACAGTTTTTTTTATAAGCGATTTCTATCTAAACATCTTGGCTCTGTCTGGATGCATACCGGCAACAGCTGGTCTTGGTGCATTCGTCTTGGAGTCATCAGTTTCTCCATTAGCGGCAGCATTCTCAGCGGCAGCTCTTTTCTTTTGAGCACCGTCTTTGATCATTTTCTCCATTCTGGAATTATATTCTTGTTCAAACTTCTCGTTCTTGGTCTTCAATTTGGATAATCTGTTTTCAGAGTTACCACCACCACCGACAGTTAACTCCACATTGATTCTTTTCCCTCTGATTTCTGTCTTATTCTGTAGCAATGCAGTATCCATCCTACTTTGGATATGTTTACCGTCTTTATCACCATCGAATTCTAAGAACGCTATACCCTTATCACCACGGACTCTGATGGAATCAGGTGAACTTGTCTTGAAATGTGCTTGTAATTCAGTCTGTGTGATATCCTTTGGTAGACTACCAACAAAGATGATAAATCTGTTAGCGCTCTTCCCGTTACGGCCTTTACCTTTACGGCCTCTTCTTGTTTTTCTTTTCTTTTTTACAGGTTCAGTACTGCCATCTGCATTAGTAGTAGTACTTGAAGTTTCTGGTTCAAGCGCTCTCTTCTGACTCTCTACTTCTTTCTCCTCCTTTGTCTTTCTGAATTGTTGAGCTTTCAACTGCTTCTTGGTAAGTTTGGCTGGTTCAGACATGATCGCTATGTATCTATAACTATGTATATATGCTTATTTTAACGTTGTAAAGTGTATCAGTCAACTCCAGTTACGATTGATTGGAGTTCTCTTTAAGTATTTCAACCTCATCGCTAAAAGTGAAATATTTCACTTTCGCCCAAACAGAGAAAGAAAAATTTTCGACATGTGAGGTGTGTGGGTGCACCGCATTATGTTAATCAATTTCAAGGTAATTCTCGTCTAACTTTAGCGATATTTTGTATTATTAGTTATGATGGGACCCATCTACTCATATCAATATACTTTGTGCAACTTATCTAATTGTAGTTCTATCATTTTCACTACCCTAACTCATCTCAAACATTTCCCTTTTCTATGCTAATCATTATCATTATGCCATATCGAAGGATCGGAGGAAGCAAGAAAAAATAAAATAAAATGTTGAAATTGTGTGAGAAGGTGAAATTTCACTAAACCGATAAGAACTTTTTAACACACATCGATTACATTAATTGGCATTATTTGGAAAGAAGTTTAGTTACATAAATATCATCAACAACTCACCACTACAATTCATCAAACAATGCTTTCCTACAAAGCCATGTGCACTCTCGGCTCTGCCGTTATATTGATCTCCACTTCATTCATTATGGGTGTGTTCTACAGTAATCTGGCCTACGATTACAAAGTCTTATTCCAACCAGATAGTGTAACAGCTGAAGATTTCGAAAGAACTTTGAAACATTACCAATTCTTAAACGAAGTCGGTCATCCGCTTCTGTACATCCTGAGTGGTGTTGCATTCTTAGGTTTGATCGGTCATATGGTTAGATTGTACAAGCCAAACGAAGATTTAAAGATGTTTGAATATGGTTCCCTTGGTATGTACGTCATGGGTATCTGTGTGTTCATCACTAACATCAAGACAGGTATTGAATGTTCTTTGACCGGTAACTGGGGTGAAGTCACTGAAAATCAAGGTATCGCCGTGCTAGGTTCATCTAACATCATCTTATTGTGTGTCTTCATTGGTGTTCTATTATTACAAGCTGGTCTATGGTGGGCCAATTTCGATTTAGACACTAGAATGAAACAATTCTATGCTGATGAAGCAAAGAGTGCCACTACTAAGAAAGAACAAGTTCCAGAGAAAGGAAAGAAGGGTGGTAAGAAGCCAGCAGCTCAAAACAAGAAGAAGAACTGAAATATTTATTAGAAACCTCCAGGTTTTACAAATTAATTCTTTTCTATTATTTGAATAATTGATATACGTACGTTTATGTAGATAGATAAATATATGTATATATTAAGCATTTACTCTTCATAATTTTTGTTTTTTATCGTATATTTGAGTCATTACGCCAATCTGTAATTGATCTTGTGTATGAATATGCATTAGAGTCCTCGTAAGAATGTAAGCCTGTCTGTAAGCTCATATCAACAGAACTGTCTGGGTTAAATTGGAAATCAGAACTATCTCTCATAGACACCGAATAATCCAAGGGATCCTCTGGTACCGGTATTTGTCCCGGTACTCTTTCATTGAATTCAAATTCATTTTTAAATGGATCACCATTTTTCTCGTTATTATTAATCATAGCATCATGTGTGGTCATTGAATCATCCATGTATATTGGTCTTTTCCCACGAGTCATAAATGATGGTTCTTTTTTATGCTTATGTCTAACAAACATGTAGTAGAGAACACCAAGTAATATGATCACACCGGCACCAACAACAGATCCAACTACCGACCCTATTATCAAATTTTTGTGCGTCGATGTAGTAGATGGGTCAGAGTCTAGCGAACCATCAACATATGCCTTATAATATGATACTGGTTTTGTCACTACACTAGTTGGTAAAATTATCCCAGAGGCTGATTTTTTTAATGCAGTGGTTTGTAATAATCCTGTTGTGAAAGATGTGTCTGAGTCTGTGAATAGGTATTCTTGTGTGTATATTAAATAATCCTTTGAGGTGCCGGATGATATTGAAAATAATGGTAATATTGAGGGTGTCACTGTTAAAGTTTGTGTGACTACTGCTGGAACTGAAGAACTTGATGTGATGCTTGTTATAGCAGAAGAAGAAGGTGAAACAGTTGTTGTTATTAAGATCACTGATACTGCTGAACTTCGCCGTATGTCTGAATATGATGAGGATGAGGATGGTATTCTGGTTATCGCTGAGCTTATTGATGTTGTGGAAGGGGTAGGGGTAGAAATGATAGTGGAATATATTAATGGTGTAGATGACAATACTGGCTGGATATGACTATGTCCTAAAGATGATGAATCGATTAAGGATACACTCTTGGATGTTGGGATCGTGGCATATACCGAGCTAGTGGTGTTATATGGAACAATTGTTAGTGAGCTCAGTTGGGTGCCCAGAGAAGTACTATTTTGGGTACGAGGTTCTGATAAAGATGTAGTTATTAGAGTATTCGATGACAAAGAACTTGCATCCTGATGTAGATAACCTCCAGTAAGTGTAGCACTTGTTTCAAACGTGTTCCCCATTGATATGCTACCAGGTTGAACCGTTGTGGCGACCGTTACCGTGATGTTCGCTGTCTGCATATGTAGTTCGCTTATGCGGTTCTTGTATATTGTTGTAAAGGGTTGAAAATATAGTTTATTGGTTTTATCTCAAATTATATATGGATTAAATTACTTATCGAAAGAAAGAAGTTGTTTATAGCATGTTACAAACTCCATCAACATATAGAATCCAAAGGTGGTCTGTAGATTGTTTTTGAGAATTACCAGTGAAGAGCAATTCACTACTTCCTTGTTGCAGGCGTAAACAAACAGATGAACTGGTTCAGACGTGACTGATTTGTTTTGATTTTTGGCTCGAGAAATGAAACAAAACAAAACAAAACAAAGAAAAATTTTCAATGCTTTGTTAAGCAACGCGAACGCGTCTCCTTTATTTTTAGTATGTGAATCCGGAGATAATGAGATTGATTGCGAGTAAATCATTAATTGGTAGTGAATAAGCAATAATCACAAGTTTCGTTTAAACCTTTTTTGCTGCCAATGTGGTTTGGATTCAAATTTTACAATTTGGTATATATATATTAATGGTATAGAGGTATATAGATACATAGAGTGAGCTTGGCGAGTCGCATAAGAGAGATCCACATTAATGATTACAGTAACTGACGTAGAGTTACAAAAAAGGGGGTAGTAGTAGCATCCTCAAAAGATAAAGAAAACGATTGAATATAAGAACATAATGGATATATTCAGGGATGCAAAATTAAATTAAAATTATGTGTATGTGCGTAGTTGTAGACCGACACATTTAAAGAGAGAAAGGATAAATGAGCTTCGGATAATAATAAAAATTGGTTGGAAGGCTTGACATGATTCTTGATTATCATTTTGCAGGTTTCTTTTCTTCTTATTATTATTGATTGGAGCAACATCTAAAAACGAATAGAATATGGTATCATTTGCATTTTTGTTGTTGTTAGATGTTAGGACTCTAAATATAGTAATCAACTTCTGTAACTTTATCAGTAGTTCTTTCAAAACAGAAAATGAATTATCCCTCAGCTAGGGGAACGAAAGGACAAAAACAAATCCGATTATTTGAATAAACTCTTCAATTTACCAAAAATACCTTTCTTTTTTGGAGGTTGTTCAGCGGTTTTGGTAGCAGCAGAAGTTGTCTTCTTGGTATCCTTTGTAGTCTTACTCTTGGAGGAGGATTTCTTCTTTTCCTTAGGTTGAGAAGTAGTCTGTGGTTTCTTTTCTTCGGCAACAACTGGGGCAGCAGCAGCAATTGGAGCAGATTCTTCAGCAACAGATGGCTCTTCAGTAGGTGTGTTTATCTTTGGGTCTAATGTTTGAGCTGGTTGAGCTTCTTCGGTCTTTGGTTCGACAGGTTCTTCCTCTTCAGGCTTTGGTTCAACAGGTTCTTCCTCTTCGGCAACCTTCTTTTCATTTGCTTCTTCTTCTTTCAATTCTTTGTTCAATCTAGCGTTCAATTCATCAGCATCGACCTCACTGACTTCCTTGAATTCTTTAATCTCTTCTGGGTTAGAGGTTAATACTGGACCTGGACCAGTTTGGGCGATAGCCGTAGTATCTTCAAATTGAGTAGTAGCCTTGTTTTGGTCAACTGGCAAAGTGTGCATCTCTTGTTCAGCTTCGGTTGCGACAGGAGCAGTTGCAGCTGGTTCGGCAGGAGCCGGAGCTGGAGCTGGAGTAGCGGATTCAGAGGTTTCTTCATCGTTAGCACCATCTTCAGTGTCCTCTTCGGTGGCTTCTTCGGTAACCTCTTCATTTGGAGTATTAGTAGCAGAAGTTTCCATTTCTTCAACTTCTTGAGACATGACGGTCCTTTCGCCAGTCTTCTTGTTTCTTCTAATTCTCTTCTTAACCTTCATCTTCTTACCCTTCTTACCCTTTTTTCTGTTGGAAGTAGAAGGTGGAGCTCTAGCTGGTTTTGGGGTAGGATTAGGAGTAGCTGAGCCACTAGCATCGGCAGAACCAACAGGTAACCCGCCAGCTTCAGGTATTTTTGCGACATTTCCGGAAGTCCCAGTAGCATCGACAGATGTCAAGTCTACATAATTGTTTTCAATTCCGCCTGCATCTGCTTCTTTCTTATAGGAGTCACTTACGGTCCAGTCACCATCGACGATGAACTTAAAGACGAATTTGTTGTCACCTTCAGTCTTTTGAATTGGGAAAGTTAAAGCAAAAGAACCATCTGCTTGACGCACTAATGGCATAGAGCCTTTCCATTCGTCAAAAACACCGGTTAGGACAACATCCTTTGGACCAGCAGGCCATGTAAATTCGTAATTTTTTGTTGTAACAGACATGTTATACTGGTAGTCTTGCTATTTTTCTCTGATAACGTTTCTGAGTGTTGCGTATATTAGATATTCTTAACCAGTTTTAAACAATAAAGTCTTATAAAAGAGGCCAAAGTATAAATAGATATGGATGTAATGTTATATATATCCTTATTAATACAGTCGAAATAGATTTGCTTGATTAAACTAGTTTCTAATTAGTTTTATCAAAATATATTAAATAATCGTAATTAGTTAATGAATGCAGCGGAAAAGTGAGAGGGGGCTGTTATTAGGAAAGAAGGATAAAAAACCAGTGTCATCGCGTTGGTTTAAAAACTCATTGCAAATGAGGCCAATCCCATTTAACTGACAATAGCAAAATTTGTATAGTTTTGTCCGCATTTTCGCTTTTCACTTTTCGCTTTTTTGTTTGTTTGTTTAGGATTTCGCAATATTGTGTGAGCTTAGAATATTTGCCACTGGTTACAGCTCTTACTGCGCAATAGTGCGCGCAGCAAAACTGACAAAACCACAAAAACAAGAGAAAAGACTATGAAGAGAATAAGAACAGCCTTACCGCCCAAATTTGTTTGTTTAGTATAATATTATTTTGCAAATTTGCGTTTTTACGTGCGAATTTGCGTTCTTCGTTTGTTATTCACCAGTGGAAGCATAACTAGACATTATGCGAAATTATTAAAAAGCAAATTTGTTCTATATCCTGGGGCTTCTACCGCCCCCCTTTTTACGGTATTATCCATAATTTTGGAGGGCAACTGGGAAAACAAGGGGGTTACAGGGTAAACGCTGGGTGGAGAAGGGCCATTTGCTCTATATATCTGTTTGTATTATTAAACGAATTGTTTCCCCCCTTTAGAATTTAAACCCTTAAAACGTCTGAAAGAGATGTTATTGCTGAACTGTTGCAAGTGACACATAATACAGTGTGCCTCTGGGTATAGTTTCTTTCATACTTTTTAACGGTTGGCTGTATATTCTATTGATGATAGACCACATAGATAGATTGTGTAAGGACGAATCTTGATGGGCGTGTAACTACCATTCTATATAGTCACTGAAGCTTCATTGATGGTCTATGACAAGTGTACATTCCATTTTATATAGAAAAGTTTTTCGATACCAATCAGTATCGGTTTCACATGTAGGACAGCCAATAGACGACACTTCTCAAATTATTGTAAGGTATATATATTGTTAAATCGTTATAGTGAATCGAATTAACGGTACTTAATATTATATATAAATGTATCCAACATAGTAACGTTCGGGACGGTAGTTATCTCCTCAAATTGTCTCGAAATTGAATATTTCTCTACTTAAAAATACAAGTTTCCTTCTGTTTATATTTATTTTTTTGCATCACTCACATTGATCTAACTCTTAAACTTACTGTCGTTGCTCCATAGAGTAACGAACGTAAGGTTATCCATCATTCATTGACAATTAGTTCATTTTTTATAGGTACAATTTTGGTCTTCGCGTTAATTTGACTGACTCGAAAAAAAGCATCTATTGCCAAATGATTAATAATGACGTGTATTAAGATGAGTTACAATACAATATGTATATCATCTGTTAATACCTGTACTCACTATCAAGATAATTATATACTGGCTATCAAGGAAAAAGAATGTTAGTTGCTGTTAGCGGTACCAAATATAGTGGGGTTGACACACTAATTGATCTGTTGGTCTCAAGACATGGATTTGAATTGATTGATTCTAAAGTTCAAGATCCAGATGCTATTATGGATTATGCTACTAAATATTATACGAAGGACCTAGTATTGAAATGTAATTCGTTAGAATTATGTACAACATTGGAAAAGAGACCATTTTTTGTTCATTTATCTATGCAGGCCTCGATGAAATTACGTATGAAGAGCTTAAAAGACACCTCTGAAACTAAAGATATTGACGAATTATGTACTTTGTTAGATGAACATGATTTCAAATCTGATATAATTGAGTTACATGAAAAGGCTAATGTAAAATTCAAATTGATTAATGATAATGACTCTGAGAAATTAAATATTGTTCTTAACAAACAATTACAAATATTAAGAAATAAGAAACCAAACTCGCCGGAAGAGTTCAACCCACCGCTCAGACCTGACTGGGATACTTATTTCATGAAACTAGCGACATTGGCTGCATCTAGATCGAACTGTATGAAACGGAAAGTTGGATGTGTTGTAGTAAGGGAGAAACGTGTCATTGCTACAGGTTATAATGGTACGCCAAGGCATTTGACGGATTGTTGTAATGGCGGCTGTCCTCGTTGTAATGGTGGTAATTCTCATGAGTTGCATACATGTCTATGTCTCCATGCAGAAGAGAACGCTTTATTAGAAGCTGGTAGAGATAGAATAGGCAATAGTGCTACTTTATATTGCGATACATGTCCATGTTTGACTTGTTCGGTAAAGATTGTGCAGACAGGTATTGAGGAAGTTGTTTACAGTCAGTCTTATAGAATGGATGAGGCTAGCTTTAAAGTCCTAAGAGATGGTGGTATCAAAGTGAGACAACTTAGCGTTATCGATGAACCAAGAATTGTCATAGTTTAGTCATTTAAATATACATATATATTTATTTATAGAATAATAATACATCTTGTTTAATTTTTTTTTAAATTTTTTTTATTTCATTATTACATAGATATCGATATTGTTTGATTATTTATTTGTTTTGTTATAGTACATATTGATAACTATGGGTATGAGAATGTATTCACTTTCCGTAAGCTTCATTCGGCTCAGACAATATGTTAAATTATTTTCTTTTCAAAGGTAAAGTAAAGTTTTATTGTCACATATGTCGTTGTTTAATTATAATTCAGATTTTGCACCATTTGTACTGAGGACTTTTTAGATGGATGGTACAGGTGTAACAAAAAAAGAGGGAGAAGGAGATAAAAGAGGATAATAAAAAATAATGGATAAATAGTGCAACCTTGCATTAATCCAAAACCACTTATTTTCGTTTTATTTACCTAGCTTCAAATTGGATCATTCTCTTAGTTCTAGCTTTTAATAGGATTCTGTGACCACAATCTTTACAACGAACTGGATCAGTTCTGGACAAAGAAAGTTTACTGGAACATTCAGCACAGATGTACTTCAGAGTGGCAGTTCTAGCTTGAGAAGTACCGGCAGCAGCAACATCAAGGTTGGATGGGATCTGGAAACCTTCACGAGACATCTTTGATTAGTTCTATTTCTGGATGTTGATATCAGATATAGAGTGTGTTTTAAAACCAATAAAAATGTGTATATGTTTTATATTATTAGGTAAGATTTCATTTTCAGTTCAAGTAATCGATGCGTTTACAATTATTTTTTTTTCGGAAATTTTTTTTAGTTGGTAGCCCTCATTTTTCGTGAAAGATGACCTGTAAATTTAGGGTTTCTTTCAATGAGATAGAGATATGTTCGAAGTGCTAGATACTAAACCTATTGATGGGTCAAATGCATAAGAAACAAGTTACTATAGAATGACATTTTGACAGTAGGGGTAGTTTCAAAATGTAAAAGAATTTGAAGAAGGTTTTCTTGCCCTCATTAGTTTGCTTGGGTTACGAGACGTTTATTGTAAGGGCACATTCCGCAAGATAATATGTAGATGTACTGTCTTCCACCGTAACATATAACTACAGACATGATTTATTACTTATTATTTTATCAACAAATCAATGAGGTTTTATCACATATTCTTATGATTAGGTTTTTCAGCAAGTATTAAAATATTTTGAAAAAATATTGTTTATGTTTTTGACATTTCGGAGTAATTTCTATAACAAAAAGTTAGTAAAAGTTTATATTTTATTAAAATGATTACATAAAGTTTATGTATTGTAATGTCTTGACGAACGTATAAATGAGAATATGAGTAAAGTACAGAAAAGTGTATACTATAGTTAATGATAATAGAGTGGTAAGATAAAAAATTTGACAGTCATGAATGCTATCCTTACATTAAGGTCATAGTAGCAAAAATTGTTTGTGTACTTGTTAAAGTGGTAGCCGCATCAATTGTCTGAGAAGAATCAGTAATGTAGGCGGTGCTGTAATACTCATCCTCTGGGTCATCATAATAAACAAAACAGGTACCATCTTCGACTTCAGTGGTTGAAACAGTAGCTAATGAATAGCTTGAACTTGATGTAGAACTAGATATACTAGTGATTGATGTGGTACCAGTACTAGAAGTGGTGATGGATGGAGTCAAGGTTGAAGTTGAACGTGTGACACCTTCCATATTTTGAGTTTGAACCAGAGCTTTAATAGAACTGGAAGAAGGAGAACCAGACAAGATTGTAGTCTCTGTAGGTTGTTCTTGTGGTGAGTTCGATGTTTTTTGAACTTGAGAAGAAATATCAGCGACCGGTTGTACGACGGACGAAGAAACTATGGTAGAAACACTGGTGGTGGCGGCAGCTGGGGCAACAACAGAGTTAGAAGCTTGTTGTTCAGATTCAGCATCTACAGAAGATACCAAAGTAGCTTGAGTAGTAATTTCCTCAGTTGTAGATGTAACTTGATTGTTGTCCAATGTGATAGCCTTTACACGTGTAGTAGTATATGTAGAGGTTCTGACAATGACTGTTGCTGGTTTAATCGTACTAGTAACGACAGCGTAACTGTATACTACACCATCGGATGTAATAAAACGAACTTCATCAGCAGCATTTGAGAATTGAAATTGTTGAAAGATTAGAAATAGGTAAAATAATTTTGAAAGATTGAATAGCATAATAATAAATGTTTAATAAAGAATGAATGAATTATTTTTTTATTGATGTTGTTTTTTAAAAAATAATTGAAGTAATATTAGAATTATACTTTAGTTGGTTTGATCTTATAGTTTAAAGAGTGACTTGGGTAAGATTAAAATTTTAAATAAGAAAAGGTTTGGAAAGTTTTGAATTTAACTTTAAAAAGAGAGTAATTAGTTGGAAATTTGATTAAAAAGAATGAAAAGGTTGATGTTTTTTTAAAACGATTGTAATTAATATATTTGTTTGTACTTTTTTGTTTATATTTGTTCTATTATAATGACCAGAATAAAGACGAGTGTTTAGCTAAATATATGTTTTTGGAGTTTAGTAAAGAAATTTTGATTATTTTTTGTTGATATATTGTAGTATTATTCAAATGTTTTTTTTAATAAGGAAAAGAGAAACAAAAAAATCCAAGAAATGAATTACTTATTGAAATAAAAAAGCAAATCTTTTTATATGTTCATTGTACAATTCGACAAGTCTAATTGATAACCGTCGTCGTCAAAATCTTTCAATTCATTTTGTCGAGACATTCCTCTTCTATCGGTAAAGTATTAGAATTCATTTCAAAGAAAAACGCTGGCTATTTTATTTTTCGTAAACGTGGTAAGATATTAAAAAATAGGGGTACGATACGTCCATGAGAGTATGAACCTACTAAAATAATTACCTAATAGTATACGCTCTTCTTGTTCTCTTCATCTGAGTCGTATTGAAAGAATTCCTTTAGTATTGCATATGTTGTTGTTATTAATGTCGCGAAATGGAAATATCAACAAATAATTAACCAGCAAAATCCGCCTTAGGCTTCGCATCGCGCAGCACAATGGAAGAAAATGAAAACAAAGACAGAAACCCTTAAAAAGACCATTTAGAAGGAGAACCAAACAAACAGAGGAAAGAACACAAGAACATAATTACATTATCATTGCGATACCTCCGTGGAAAATTTGTAAATTGCCGACCTGTAATTTACGTTTGGGATATATACCGGTTAGCCAGGTCGTACTATCAATGTTACTAGTATTCCAACCTTTCACAATCCCTTAGCACTTAAGAAGGAAAGCATTGGACTCATGTCCCTGTTAATCCAGCCAAAGCGAGGTTTGTTCACCAACTGATCTATAATTTAACATGTAACCTATTTGTAAATGAATGCAATGGTTGTCCCAAAAGAATTTTTTTAATAGGGCTAAACAGTTCTCATGGAGGCGTTGGATTAACACGCATTAGACTAAACGAGTCTATCTAGTTTTCATCTTATATTATATTTTAGCATTCGGATTGATAGCAAGTTCTCGTAACCTGTAGTTGCGACAATTTTCTCAACGCTTAGCTTTCTTCTCCAAAAATAAGAGTGAAATATATATATATACATTTCCTTTACAAGTACGAACTAATAAAAGATATGAATCCTATACACCCAACAATATCTTCTAATGGCAATGCCCATATTTCTTTATCTGCCCATTGACAGTTTTAGCTAATTTTTCTAATGTTCACTGCGTTGCCATGGTAACGGTGCTCTCTCTATTCAATAAAAGTTCTCTTCAAACAAGAAAAATTTATGTCAAAAAAACAAAACCATAATTAGGTGATAAGATCAACTGCCAAATCAGTGTATCTAAACCTTTAACTCAATACCGTTTTCTTCCAGTTTCATGTTTTAATTGGTATATATTCTGGTACTTTTTTTGTTAACGTTTTCCTCAGTTTCTTTCGGTCGCATAGTCATTGATGGACTAAATAGGAAAATCATCTGAGTCTAATGAGGTTCCTTGTAACAACACAATACAATGAAAAAGTTTTGCACTCTTTCTTTAATGTAAACTAATAATGTCTTAACTAGGTAATTATGATTTTAATGAACAATGATATACTCAGATTTTTTTTTATATAAATGGACATTATTTTGGAATTAACAACCTCTTCATATTTCCTTGATGAATTAGCCACTAAAGGAAAAATTAGAACACTAATTTCGTTCACAACAAATACACATGACTTACAAATCAGTTATTATAGGGCTTTGCTCTGTAGCACTTGTATCCCTTTTACCGCCACTAGCATGGCATTCGCATTCAAGAAACATACCTGCAATAATTTTAATTACATGGTTGCTCATAATGAATATCACATGTATTGTAAATGCAGCTGTATGGAGTGATGTTGACTTTATGAACCGTTGGGATGGGAAAGGCTGGTGTGATATTGTTATCAAGTTACAAGTCGGTGCAAACATTGGCATATCATGTGCCGTTACAAATATTACTTATAATTTACATCAAATTTTAAAGGCAGAAAATGCTTTACTTGAGTCCAACTCTATTAAGAAAATTTGTGTGGATCTATTAATAAGTTTATTAACACCAATAGCTGTGATGGGATTTTCCTATTTATTACAGGTATTTAGATTTGGTATAGCAAGGTATAATGGTTGTCAAAACTTGCTTTCGCCTACATGGGTTACAACTGTGTTATATACGATGTGGATGCTAATCTGGTCTTTAATTGGTACAGTGTATGCCTGTTTAGTTTTATACGTCTTTTATAAAAAGCGTAAAGATGTTAGGGATATTTTACACTGTACAAATTCTGGTCTTAACCTAACTAGGTTTGCCAGACTACTAACTTTCTGTTTCATAATTATCCTAGTCATGTTCCCATTTTCGATATTCACCTTTGTACAGGACTTAAGACAAGTTAGTGGGACATATAACTTCAAGAGTACACATTCTGATTCGTTTTGGGGTGTTATTATTAAATTCGATCCTGGTAAGCCCGTCTACAGTGTCTGGCTGTACGTTTTAATGTCATACGTGGTGTTCTTTATTTTTGGTTTAGGAACAGATGCATTAAATATGTATTCCAGGTTGTTACGGTTTATTGGACTGGGTTCTGCTCTTGATTTTGTTAATCAACGCATTCAAGCACGTAAAGCTCACAGAATTGGTAAATTGTTAGGAAAGTTAACAGGAAACAACCAACAACCAAGAGAAGATTACGTTAATGGATTTAGTCCAACATCAACAACACCCACTTCGAGTAATTACGTCACAGTTGATTATAAGCTCGGAAAGGGTAATGACTGGAAAAACAAGTATTCTACAAGATTTAATCCATTTGAAGATGACGAAAATTCCGAGGCCATTGCATTCGATCAAGATTTGGAGCTGGGGAATAAAAACTTCATGCCATACGTTACAAAGGAATATAACTTTATGGAAGACATTTCTTTAGAAGATTTGTCTAGTGTGACTAAGTACAACACTACAGACTTATCTACAACAGAGGAAAAGAATAGCTTTAATACATACGATTGTTCACCTAGGTCTGAAGAGGATTGAGGACTACAAATAAACAAAAAGTAACCCCCAACCCAAACTTCTCAAGTTAATACTTATTTGTATTCTAAGGGACAATAATACATACGCACACATATATATATTCCGTACCCAAACTCAAATTCAATGACGATATCCTAATTGTTAGATACTTAGAAGAAAGACTGTTTTTATATTTAATTAGTGACATTAAACCCGCACATAAAAAATCGGCTTAGTTTTTTCTTGTGAAGGATCAAAATAGGAAATAAAGGAAACACATGTAGTCAATAGTCTTAAAAGACAAAATTTATGCAGATATATGTAATTAAGTATATTGGCTAAGAAACTTGATCTATATAGGATTTGATAGAAATTTTATTTTTCAAATAAAATCACAGCCTTAAGGAACTTTTTCAATTGACCTTTAGGATATCTCTTTGGCAAGCATTTTGATCATGGACACATCAGTTTACTCCCATGCGCTTGACGTATGGTCCAAAGCTGACCTTACAAGTTTACAGAAGGAGTTGGATACCAATGTGATAGTAGTCAAAGATAAAGAGAATGAATCCTTGGAATCGAGGAAAGTACTAGCCACCGAGACTAAATCTTTTAAAAAATTGGAAGAGAATGAAAAGTTGACTAATATTAACAAGATAATTAAAAAATATCAACTCGAGGTAGATAGTCTAACGAAAAGATCAAAATTTGCTGAACAAATAGTCTTTGAAGTATATTCAAAGATCTCTGAAGCTCCTGATCCCAAACCATTATTGCAATCATCCCTTGATAAACTGAGTAAAGTAGATAATTCCAAAGTATTGGGTGAAAAAGTGTCTGAGTTGGAAGACAAGTTGGCTAAGTACGCCGATTATGAATCTGTTAAATCTAGATTGTTAGATTTGGAACAGAATTCTGCTGTTACCTTATCAAAGAGATTGGCATCCAAAGAACAAGAATTGAATTCAAGTTGGGAAGAAAAACAAAGAAATTGGCAAGAAAGAGAATCTGAGCTGAACAAACAAGTAGAATCGCTCCAAAACACTAATAAAGCCCTTGAGTCTAAAGTGTCTAAAAAAATGGATCTTGATAATAATGACGAGTCTAATGGAGATGTTTCCGGTGAAAATAAAACTGTTTCAATTACTGAGTATAATTTCATAGCGGAAGAATTGGAATCCACTCAATCCAGAGTCTTCCAATTAGAAAAGAGGAATGAAACTTTAAATGGAGACTTGGCTAAAGCCACGAGCGATAACGAAAAAGCATCTGAATCAAAAAGCAAAGACCTTAAGATCAATCAATTGGAAAGTGAAAATGCATTGCTTAGTGCCTCGGTTGAGAAAAATCATAACTCCCATGAAAGATCCATTAACAATTTAAATGAACAATTATCCAATGCTAAAGTTGAATTGAGCACATACAAGTCAGAGAATGATGTTATTAGGTTGAAGTTAAATAACTATTCTGATTATAACAAAATTAAAGAAGAATTAACTTCCTTAAAGAAAATTGAATTTGGTATTGATGAAGAAAATAATGAAGAAGAGACTTCTGCCAACAATAAAAGCAACGATGGCGGTTTACAAAATACATTAATTACCACAAACAAAAAATTACAATCAAATTTAGCTGAATTACGAACTAAGAATATTGCATATGAGGGTGAAACCAAAAAACTAAAGAAACAACTTGGAGAAATGAATGGAAAATTAGATAATTTACAAAAATTAAATGGAAAATTAGAAGCTGATTTAGAAAAAATTGATGATATTGATGGTAAATTTAATGATACAACAAGTATGATATCTGGGGTAACCAGACAGATAACTAACCGTGTCGGTCATGGGGCCTCATTGTCACCAACGAGTTCCATAATTGGTATTCCTGAAGAAGGAGAATTACAAACTGGTAGTGGTAATTCACAAATCCTTCCAATTGTTACCAAACAAAGGGATAGATTTAGAGCAAGAAATACCGATCTAGAGAAACAGGTAAGGCAAATAATGGCCGAAAAGACTAAACTAAAGACAGAGAAGAACAAACTTCAAGAAGATAATAGCAAATTATACGAGAAGGTCCGTTATTTATCAAGTTATGATGGATCATCGAGACATGGATCCGTAGTCGATACTGACTTGGGAAATATCGATCAAGAAGCTCAATATTCTAACAACTATGAGGCATCCTTACATCCATTAGCAAATTTCAAACGTGATGAATTAGAATATTACAAAAAGAATAAGTTATCAATGTTAGAAAAGTTATTTATCAGTTTTGCAAACTTGATCTTACAAAATAAATCTACAAGAATGGCATTTTTCTTTTATTGCATAGGGCTTCACGGATTAATATTTATCATGTGCATGTATGTAGCCAATATCAGTGGTTATATGACACCTGAAGTTGCTATTGTAAAGACATCATCATCCGGCTCTTCACCGTAAGTTATGAATTCCTCTATTTATTGGTTGCAAATTCTATTGTAATTCTGGGACATTCTAGTATTGCAATGTCGTCATTGCCAAGCCGATTAAAATGCCATTGAAATAAAAGTTTCTACATATAATTGTATAATTACACCTATATACTGTATTAGCCACTCAAAAGGTTGGTGGCTTTTAGTGCATTTATTTAATCGAAGTAAAGTTAATATCTTAGAAAAGTTTATGTTGTAATAAAGGGAGTGTAAAACACCCAACTGCCTAGTAATATTATATTATATTATATAGTTAGAATGATAAAGAAATACAGTAACACGTCAATATTCATATAAACAATGCTTAAGCGGTGATACGCTTTTGAGAAGCGATTCTACCTCTTTGTCTGGAAGTGTATCTGACAACCTTCTTTTCAGCAGCCTTGGCAATAGTTTGTTCCTTTTCAGTGACAACTAGTTCAATGTGAGATGGAGAGGATTCGTACTTGTTGATTCTACCGTGGGCTCTGAAAGTTCTTCTTCTTTGCTTTGGAGCTTGGTTAACTTGGATGTGAGAGACATAAAGTTTAGTAGCATCTAGACCCTTAGCCTGTAGAAAAATAATATTAGTAAATTCATTAAAACGATCTTTGATCGTAACAAATTATCTTGATTGTTAGTAAATTTATTCGTCATAGAAAATGGCAAGAAAAAAAGGAATCTAATTTTTGTTTTTCATCATATAATCTAATACTATAATCTAATTCTTAACATTCCATAAGTTATTTTCAAAATATCATAGGGATACATTTTAATTGGCCCAAAGTTGTTCATGTTTATATTTTTTCCTTGTTGTCATATTTCTTTAAATTATTTATATTCCACGAAATTATCCACAATTTTGTTTCATGTTACCTCTTTAACGTATCAATATTTCATTATATCTTTTCATTCTATTTTTGTTTTATATCACCACACATATTATTATCTCCTCATACAATTTTCTTTAAATTAAAAAACACAACAAAATTTCCATTAATCAGTTAATAATATATTACATACTTCAGCATTAGCGGCAGCGTTTTGTAGTAGACCTTGGATGAACTTAACAGACTTTGCTGGCCATCTAGCCTTAACAACACCGAACTCCTTACCTTGAGCAGTTCTACCAATGGAAGAGTTGAATCTTCTGAATGGGATAGCTCTTTGGTGGTCTAGAACTTGTTCTAGATACTTTTGAGCTCTGGTTAGTTCCCAACCAGAAATAGCTTGAGCAGCTTCTCTGGTGTTCTTGAAAGAAACACGTAAGTAGGAACCACGAGCAGAAGCAGACTTAGCTGGGTTAGTAGAAGTAGCACCGTATCTAGCCATTTTTTGTATCACTGATCTATCCTTTAACTTCGAATAAAAGTATACAAAGTAATTAACTAATTATTTAATCGTGCATCTTCAAATAAGCCTTGAAGTGTATTAACATAGCTATTATTTACTAGTTCAAACTAGTGCATGTAGATTGTAGTAGATGGTCATTGTTACAGCAAAAGATAGTTGGAACGACAACAAATTGCGTAGAACTCATGAAAATTTCCAGACCAACATGGAAAATTATCAAAGAGAGAGGGTAACCGCCATCAAACTAACGACAACCGTTTGGAAATTTCAGTTGAAGGACTTTCGGATTAGGGAAGTCGACCCTGGGGAGTCCTGGGAAGGGAGAAGGAGAGCAGGTGGCAGTTCTGACGCCGGTGGCTTCAACTACGCCAACCCAGTAGGGATGGGCCGGGGTGAGACCCAAACTCAATTTGCTTAGGCAACAAAGATATTTTCAGTAGACAGAGCGCCCGTTGCTAGAGAGAACACTATTGAAAATCCCGGAAAAAGATCCAGATATCAAAATTATTATTTTCACATTTTCTTCACGAAAAACAAAGAAAAATTTAAATAATGTACGGATGTTAGAGGTGTAAGGATGTAACAGTCCAATAAAATATATTTCTCCAGTAATTTCCATCTGTCAAAGAACGGTAAAACTAACGCCGCTAATATTAATAACCAAAACATTTTGATGACATTCATTACAATCACCAATACAATTAGTACCAAATAATACATAAATTTTAGAATTTTTTGTAGAAGCTACAACTTTTTCTTTTGCTTTTTACTTTGAAATAGTTGAAACGTTTACTAGGTCTGAACACAATTTCAAAAAACATCAGCTTCCGTTTGTAGGTGTGATATTTTTTCTTCTATCCATTTAAAACTCCTTTAGGATTCTGCAAAATGATAATAAAATAATTAATGATTGTTCTTGGTTGTTTTATTGTTACATATTTTTTGTTATTTAAAAATTGCGAATATATTATATCACATTCCTTGAATTAATTTATACACTTGTTCTGCTACTAGTTGATTAGTGAATTCGAATAATTGATCGTTAAGGTCTTGCGAGATTACTATACCAGTTCTACCTAGTCGTCTTATCTTGTCCAGATCAGTTGGATATTTTTGTTTCTCTACTGGTAAATGTTCATTTGATTTATTATTTACAAATTCAAAATTTATACCTGTTCTTATGTTTTGGGATTCTAGGGATATAATATCAAGGGAACCAACATCTTTGAGGACCCATTTTTGTTGGATTTTTTCATGACGTTTTGCTTTAATAGCAGCCAATAATAAAAGTTGGAATACCTCCTTTGAATTATCTTCAGTCTTATCTGTTTCCAAATCTGATTGATACGTCGATGATCTTTGTAAAGCATCACTGAAACACGAAGATGTAGCTGTAGAAAGGGTTCTCACCGTAGACGATGAAGATAATGACACGGGTATCATACCATTAACACAATGCAATAAAGTATTCGTAAAATTATCGATCTTAATACAACGCACACTAATTGTTTCGATAGTATCTTTTATATCCATTGCACTGACAATGAAATCTGATGCTGGAATTTTCATTTGGATATCTTGGGCAGTTGACCTGAAACATTTCCAACCATTACTTATCTTGGCAACAAATATACATTGAGTCTTAGACTCATCCAAGAATATAGTGAGGACAACATGCTTGTTTGGAATTCGCGAAATCACCAAGTGTATGTTTGATTGACCTAAACTCATCCAATCTTTACCACTCCAACGAGTAACTTTAGTTGATACTTGTTCTATGATAATATCGGAAAGATCGATATTGTTTGGTACCTCGACGCTAGTCTTTGTTTTAATAGGGGTATGATATTCACTTACAGCCGATTGTGGAGTATTAGATTCTGATGTGGAACTATTGGTGAAGATCGAAGCATTACCAGATTCAAATGTATCAATACTCAAGTTTTGTTTGCCGCGACTTGTAAATAAGCTCAGTAATGATGAAGATGCAGGATTATGTAACATCGGTTTATACAATTCTGCATTTGGATTGAATATGGAATTCGAACTAACATTAACAACAGTAGTGTCTTTATCTAATTCTGAAGATATCACACTCTCTAGATCGTCTTCATTACTACGATCAGTGTGACTAGAATCTACATCTGCAGTTCTCGAAACAAATAATTCTTGTGGAGAAGTAGCCTGTTCTTTTGTCACGATTTCATCAACAGAAAATACATGGGATTCAGAACGAAGTTGACTGAATTTTGGTGATAATTGAGGATTTTTTGGAGATAGAGCCATCTCAATGCTTTGGTCTAATTCAATTAATTTCTCATAACTTAATGATTCAATATCACGAAGGGAAGGTTGTTGTGATAATTCAGATCCACATAAGGATGGTTCTTCAAGCAATGGTGGAATTTCTATCAATGGTTCCTTTTCAAAAACAGAACTTTGTTTAGAACATTCATCTAACGTAAGGTTAGACAATCCGCTAGACAGTTTCTTTGTTTCTCTGGGAAGTCTGTCAGTGGATCTTCTCTTCGTAACACATGTGATATTCGATTTATTATTGCCGAACTGCCTTTCAAAATAAGGTTTCCATATGGTAGGCCATTTTAATGGATCCATGCATACTAATTTCAGAATAACATTGTTGGCAGTAATGGTTTGCAATTCGACGCTAGTACCTGAAAATTTAATTAATTTCAAATCATTCGGTTTTAAAGTTTTAAATATTAGCGTCCTTCCAACTTTTAGTAGGTGATAGTTCTTGTGTATCAATTCATTTAATAAATCTTTACTAGATTTAAATATTTTTGGTAGCCTTCCAGAATTTATTCTTAGGATAGCTAGTTCTCCTGTATTCAATTGTGCAAGATCTACTAAAAGATTATCATCATAAAATTTATTCTTATTCAATTTAAAGGGAGTATGATTTTCAATATTAATAACATTAAATTTTGGAACTGTAATTTTATCATTTGAATGAGATAACAAGTTGTAAACTTCATCAAATATCAAATTATTATTGTTTAATAATTTATATTTAGAGAAAAATTGGTTTTCAAAACCAAATATTATCTTTCTTAACTTAATAAAACCATTAGAAATATTACCTAAATCTGAGAAACTTTCGAAGATTGTCAACCGTTGATATATTTGAATGGTGCCTTCCACCAAACTAATGTCCCCTGTTCTGAACAACACAACATTTGTATTCATTATGATATTAGTGGCGTTAGTTAACAATTGTTCATAAGCTTCAATTAGTTTTGAATCTTGTAAAAGACTAGCTACTTCTTTACTAATCACGCAGAATATATCTAATTTTTCAAAAAATCCAATATGTTTACTTAGAATGGATATACTTGCTAGCTCTACTTGTTTCAAATCGTTCAATACCGACGAAATGGGATCTAAGGCTGAATATGTACCCTTTTCATAGTCTTGGCATTTCTTAGAGAGTCTTCTAACGGAATGAAGAAACTTCAATTCTTGCTCTTTAAAATCTTTCACTGATACCAGTTCATCCATGATTCCTTAATTGGGTTCCAAATCTCGAGTTGATTGAACTAACTTCTAAAAACAGATTGAAACAACAGTTGCTGTTATATATAGATAGTACTATATTTGATCAACAAAAAGTACTCTTTCTAAACTTGGAAGAAAAAAGAATAAGTTTATCTAGTCGATAGTAAATGAAAGGATTGGTTGGCATATCGTAATTGTTCATTTACAGATGGCCCGCATTTTGTTTTCCTTTTACGGAAATTTACTTTCAGGAAAGGAAGACGCGAAACAATACATATATACGAAATTTGGCGTCCCAAAAGAGAATAGCCTCATCTCGATTTAGAGAAGTACAAACTAATCTTTCCTGCATCGCAGTTGCTTTCACGGATAAGTATTTATGTATTTAATATGTACATGTAGAGGAGAAGGAAATTGGGAGTTGTTATATAAAGTTTACTGAATTTGACTAGAGGATCCAACTTGAACCATATGAACGGCCCTGCTTCCGGCATACGCCGTACCTACAGCTTCATCATTATCATCTTCTTCATTCTTGTGGAATTCATCTATTTCATCCTGACCAACTACATCGTTAGCATTGATATACGGCAATGGCTTCTTTTCTACATTGTCTCTTGTTTGTAAAGCTCTGATAATGATGGATGTAATACCACTCGCGACTGCAGTGGCAATCATAGCATAACAACCATTCTTATAATGTGGTACCATCGTGGCAGCATAGAAAAGAAGAGACCACCAAGAATTTACAACACTTGAAAACATGTTCATTGAAGCCAGTACGACTGCCCTCTCTTGTAAATCCTCATGACATACAACATTTGCCCATGCAAAGAAGACAGCTTGTCCAGCATATGCAATACCACCAATGTATTGAGCAGTAAACATAACGGCTGGCGAAGTTGCATTGCTACGAATCATTATTGCCACGACACACATCACAACTGCTATTACCATAGAAATATGCCAATGTCTTGCGTGTTTTACTTTACTTAAATATAAAGCTGACATTACCGTAGAGATAATACCTACAGCATATATCCCAGATGGGAAATTGTTTCTGTTAGAGAGAGAATAATTCTGATTAGTTAACCATAATGCAAACGTAGTATTGGAAGCAAAACTTAGATTTTCACCACCAAAGATCCAAACTAAAGAGAAAAGATACCAATGCCATCTTTTCAAAACTCTTGGTATAATGGACCAATCTAACGACGTAGTTTCATCTCTTGCTGGAAGTCTTCTCCTAGCAAATTTCAACTCTTGTTCATTAAAGATATATCTGGACATTGAAAATTTGTTTAAAATCCCATCTCTATTGGAATCAGGTACACCTGGGAAAAAGATAAATCCGTAAATGGCAATAGGAATAGTTATACAGAAATCAATGATGAAAAGCCATCTCCAACCAGCTAAGCCTTGCAAACCATCCAAATTATTGAAAATCTTCACTTGCATAAACCCACTAAACATGGAACCGATTAGACCACTACTCGTGAAGATAGCTGATCTTATCGGTAATTCATTTTCTTTATACCATGAACCCAAAATTAAATGAGTACCAGCAAACGTACAACTCTCAAATATGGCTTGAAAGAATCTTAAGACACAACAATGTTGATACGATGTGACTCTATACATCCCTAGGGTGAGAAGCCCCCAACTAAAAGTACAAAAACTTAACCAAATACGCGGAGGCACTACTAATAACATCAAATTATTTGGAATCATCCCTATAATGTAACCGACAGTGAAACATGTGTTAGTGATATTCAGTTCATTACCTTTCATGTCCAGATCCTGCTTCATACCAGATATGTAAGCATTGGAGAATCCCACACGATCCACATAATTGATCCAATATTGAAGACAGACGAATGAAAGCACGAAGACATCAATCTTGAATAAGAGAAACCTTTCTCTGATCGGTTTTTTGGTCGATTCACTAGAGGATATAGTTTCCACATCCTCTACGACATCTGAATCCTTTATCATATTATCCTTATCTGCTATGGCTACTTTCACTTGCGATGACTGATGATGTTATTACTCTTTACGTCCCTTTTTTTGGTTGCTGAAGGATTCTTTATTTGTGCATAAATATATATGTCAAAAGAAGAGCATCGCCACCTTATTTTAAACGAAGCATGTGAAACATCGAAAAAGATGAGTTAACTGGAATGAAAATGGTTCATATATGTACAATAGAAAATAATAGAGTTTGTCTTTGCTGTAAGGATGCATATATACGAGTACAAAAAGAATACAAAGCTTATATATACAGATAGGTCAATATATAATGGACCACATCCTTTCAGTGGGAGGGAATAATAAAATATCCTTTAATAGTAGTAATAAAAGGATAAGGTAAAAGAGTAATAGAATAGTTATGACAGTATTAGTGTCTCGCAAATAACAATAGAGAAAAAAAGTATTCACCAGGGTATACATAGAAATATCATACGTTTTGTATCTACTCGGATGTAGATTCAGCAGATTCCCCAGCATCTGCTTCTTCTTCAGGTTTCCCGTTCCTCAACAGGTTGAAGTCCTTTTGAATCAAACTCAAAACGGTAGCCTTGCTACCATCTTCTTTCTCGTAAGTGTAGTTAGCGGCATCTGCTTCGATGTACACTAAAGCACCCTTTCTAACGTACTGTTGCAAAAAGTTCATCTGTGGTTGGTTGAATACAGTGACGTTGTACCAATTGGTTGGGCCGTCCTTTCTTGGCTGAGAGGCAACGGCATACTTAACATATTTGACGTCCTTTGCAGAAGTGTATTCTGTGAATGGGGTACCGATACGTCCCACGATGGATAACTTTGAGAAATCCATCTTTCTGGCAGAGGCATGGAATGAACGGAATTGTAGCATAGACATATTAGATAAAGATATATTGCGGTTGTGTGAGTGAGTTTGCTGTTCTTTTCAATAACTCAATTGCATTCAGTAATGTTTAATTTGTGTATATTATTTATGTACTTTTATATATATTTGTATACTTTTTTATATGAGGTGAACGCGTTAAATAAGATGGGAGTCCAACAAGCAAAAAACAAACAAAAAAAGAAAAAATGTTACCTGTCACAATTCTATACAAAACACACACACATACACAACCAAGTAGAGGAGGGATGGGGGAAATATTTGCTATTATTTGTCGCTGTCCATTGGATGCTTGTTCAAATACTCGACATGTTCATTGATGTATTCACACACTTTAGGCCAGTCCTCACTAGAAATCTTCTTATTCAGATATTTGAAGTTCCTATGGTTTAGGGACATGTCTGCATTACACAATTGTCTTTGCAATGCTTTGAAATTGAACATTTCAAAATCAAATCCATTGTAAGATTTCTGGTTAGTGAAACCTCTGGTGTGAGCTCCAGTGCTCATTAGGAAATTCTTCTCATCATACATAGACCATGCGTCAAATTTGTAAAAACTTGCATGTAAAAACATCACATCGACGAAATTTTCATGGGTTTCACCTTGTGTTTTTAACATTTGTCTCTTATATGTATTATCCAAATCATAATCTGGATCAAATTTATTGTATTTCTCTGGGTTTTCACTCACTGTCTTCTTTAATTTCAGATGCAATTCATAATCCTGAATGAAATCATGTTGCAATAAACCCAACCCTTGAAAAAATTTGGTGTCATGATGGAACCCATCAAACTCTATTGGAGTTCTCACTTGGTAATAAGGCAGACCCAAAGCATGAGCAGCCGAGATAAATGTCTCTTTGTCACCTTGCCCTGCGGTACCTTGAGAGAACATGTTGTAATACCACATAGGACCATAAATATTGTAGTACAATGCTAACAACAACGTATGCAAATGTTTTTGTTTGTCCACTAACATTTGTCCCGATTCACTGGCAGGATCAGCTATGGTCCCTTCCAGATCATGGAATGGGATATGAGAATCCTTAGACAGGGAGTCAATATTATTGGAAGCCTTATCATAACGAGACACTGGGGAGACATCATCGAATGAGTTACGAACTCTTTTATTTTTATTATATGGAATATCAGCAATATCATAATATACAGGGGCGGTGAATCTTCTCCATAAGTCCGGCCATATCACTAGACCTGTGTCCTTGTAGATCTTTGAATCAAATATATGATCTATATTTTTCATTGCAAAATTATCAGCATCTATAAACACGATATCTTTGAAACTAGACATTACTAGAGCCATTGCTTTAATTTGATAACTTTTCACTTCTACGCCTTCAACAATATTCGGTGGTAATATATCTTTGAAATATATACATTTGGCATTGAATTTAGGAACCACATTATTACAAAAGTCATCATCACCTTCATCGCTTGGTGGTATAAAGACTTCAACAGGTAAAGTAGTTCCCTTGTGTCTCAATGTCTCTAGCATAGTCAATAATAGCACGGAATATCTTCCACCACCTACAGTGACGATACCTTTACCTTTAACATTCAATCTCTTGATAATGTCCACGGGGAATTGTTCAATAATTTCTTTCATATAACCATTATGAGAATCATGAAGGTTTTTAAATTGATTATTATCTAAATGATAACATTCACTTAGATGATAATAAGTCAAATGGTTAAATTTCTTAGCGTCATTCAAGCCATAATTCCCAAATTTTTTGCAAGTGTTGCTATTCATCAAAGAACTAGTCTTTTCAGGTGGATTCAATGGTTTAAAAAAGTCAATATCTTCAAACAATTTATTATAGAACATGTAGGGTACATTCTTAGAGACACTATTATTTGTATATCCATCCAAATTCTGATGGTGAAACACTGAATATAAATAGTATGCAATGGCCAAACATACAAATATTACAGTGAGTCTCCCTGTACGTCGCATTTGTCTAAGATACAGCATATTTGCAAAACAAAAAATCTGGTTTATATATGTATGACTGCGTATACTCTTTGAATGTGAACTACAACCAAGATCCCATCATAACATAACAACAGAACCTCTCTTTATCTACACCCAGATGGATCTTCCATGTATCATTTTCAATCACAATACAGATGTCAAGTGCCTTTGGATGACAATAGCAACTCGAGATTACAATGGAAAAAGATCCAGCGACCAAAAAAGAGTTTCAACAAAAAATTAAAGGATGAAAAGCAAGATGGCGGTGGTGCAAGGGTGGCAGGGTCTGAGACCTAGGGTTTTGCCAAAAATACAGGGTCTGAAGTTAGGGTTTGGTCACTTTGGTCGATAACAGGCGCGACACAAAAGGAAACTGGCAGCTTTGCTGACCTAAACCGGGAATTTGAGTGATGGTTAAAGGCATGGTGTTGAACCGGTATGCTCGAATGAGTAATGGCTGATCTGTATATAGTGTCGGTATTGCTATTGTCGTCTAGAGCTGTGACTAATTTGTCCGGACGTAGTGCTGTCAACTGTAACGGTGATAATGTTGCGTTGTGGTAAAACAAATGCACGAATTTCATTGCAAAACGTAGTGCAATCGAATTATTAAAGCATGCAGTTCCGAAGATGAATCGTTCACGTGTTGAGGAAGACAGCGATAAAATCCGTAAATTGTTTGACTATGCAGTTGCTCTAACTTTATGTATGAAATCTCTGAATTGGACCGATAATTACACATTAAGAAATATGATCGGGGCCACACCAAAGAACGAAATCAGCAATTTAGGTTCATTATAAGTGAATAATCTAAGTATGTCGCATGCTATTTTAAAAATATACCTGACGGTAGAGAACCGGAGATAGATCTTTTCCTTCTATTAGCCTCTTCAAGCTTTGTACGTTTTAATTCTGATATTATTAATGTACGATAAACTATATACTCTTCATACTGTATATAGTTTATATACTGTAGAACATTCAATGTTCTCTATGTAGTATATTAAGAGCTTCTTTTTATATCATTTTGAAAAGATCGTCATTTCCCAGATCACGCCACGTGTCATCACGTGATGTGATGATATCAGGTGATGACACATATGAGTAGAAGAGCATAAACGTATTTATTTACCCATATTGAAATCAAGTGTAATATATGCCACTCTTGATTTCTGACAATGACATATCCTTTTGATTGACTAGATGATTGTATCGAACAATTCTTAGAAGATGTCAATTGTAAACCGCTGCTGGAAAAGAATGATGATTTCCCAAAAAACAGTATTGCAAAATAATTAGAAACGTACAGAATTCTGTGATGCATATTGACAAGATAAATCGAAAGAATTGAATTAATTGGGCATATGACTGCCAGGTATTAGAGAGTAACGAATATATATGCAACTAACGTGTTCCACCTTACACAATTAATAACACTACTTAGCATCCCTAAGAATCAAATGTGTTTGCTTATGAAAAATTAGAGTAAATTGAGGTGTTAGTATTACTTGTTACTAATCTGTTCAGACTATAAAATATTTTTATTCAATGCTGGAAACTGAAAAAAGTTTATATAATCAAATATAGATGGGCACTATCAATACTTTGAGACGTGTCTCAAATCTATATAAAATGTGAGAATTGAACCGTTAAAATGTCTGTCACCAGTAATGGTACCATCCATTTAGAGATGGGGAGGACATTTCATTGTGTTTTTTAAATTATTTATTCACGATAACTATATTTTGAGGTATTATCTGGATATCCCATCTGAAAACGGCAATAGCCGGCGTAGCAGCACTAAGCATACTGACATTTATGATGGGGAATTATCATTGATCAGTGTTCTATCCCAGTACCACTACTTTTAAAGCTGAAAAAGGAGTACAGATAGTGGTTTATAGAGTAAGATTCGTATGTTCTGGTTACAATATTGTTTTTCTACTATCTGGGTCCATGTATTTAAGGGCTCTCTACTACCTTTACCAACTGAAGTAATTACGTAATACTCAACAAAAACAATTTAGTACCACCAGGATGACAACTACAGGAGAACATTTTTAATTGTGTATATAATTATGCCATATTTTATTTGGAATAATTTAGTTCTTTTACGCAATACCTAATAATTCCTCCTATGTTCTACTGGTCTTTTAATAAAACCTAAAATTATTTGTTTAAATACCAAAAATATTTATACTTCTTTATTTTAAACGAATACCTAAATGTAACCTGTACTAGGAAGTATAGTGGCTAGTTCAAGGTTCCACTATACCCTAAACCAAGTGCCCAGGGATATTATATTTTTCAAAATCAAAAATAAAGAAATATTGTAGGCATCTTCTCCTTTATTACAACATGTTTCTCTTGACTTCTTTATTTAACATGCAACATCAACGGCCCATACGTCAGTTGCAGAATAACTACCTGTATATAGCGGCATACGGCCTTCAAAGCAGCTGCACCTCGATGCAACTATTTCAAATTCTCGTGATTTCTCCTATACACCCATTTAAATCGACAGAATCACTATACCCTGCCACGAAATACACATCAACACAACTAGCTATAGCAACAACCAAGCAAGCGTCTGTCACATATTCATGTCTTCCTTTGCAGACGTTTTAGCTCATCGAGGGACAGTTCCCTTTTTGCTTTGCGCGACGAAATTTTCAGTTGGCGAAAACAATTTAAAGCGAAAGGAAACCAACCAGAAGAAGAACAACGTTGATGCATATGAAGGTTCTGCAAAGAGAGGGAGAGAGGTTGTTGACCTACGCACAAGATCATAGTATATCTGCGACACAAGCGACTACGATGGAAGAGGATTTAAAGGAATACGAAGAGTTGAAACAGACATTGAAAGCTGCTCTCAAGGAGAGGAAACAGTACCAAGATGATATCACATCGTTAGAACAACAAATATACGATAAAGAGACAGAATACTTCAGTAATGTGTCGCCAGAGACAGGCCATCTGATAAGTAACTCAGCACACACCATACAGGGGAACATCATCAAGGGATTTGACGGATTTTCAAAGACCTCGCATCATCAAAGTTCCCATGGTGGTAGTAGCAACACTAACAACGGTCACAGTAGCAGTGGCAATGGTGCCACGGTGGTGATCGATCCATTGAACACAGGTCTGCCAAATAAGGACAGGATCTTCTCACTGAGTGACTCCGACTTTGTAAACCAGTTGAAGCAGGATGGACTACTCCCGGGTCTGGATGACGACAATGTCATTGAGTCAAGCAAGTAACTTGAACATTAAGTAGTTTTGGACCAATCACAATCAAAATTTGGCGGCATCGCGTTGTTTTGCCAAACGAAACTTTTCGCCCTTCAAAATAAAAAACAAAGCAAAGAACAAGAACAAAGAAGAGAGGGAGATACCTTAAGTTCTTCCTTCGAACAGGACAAAAAAAGGGGAGGCACTTGTGTTTGGATTGGATTGAACTAGGAAACTAGATTTGAAGTAGGAAAGAGCAACATTTAACTCGTCATGAAGAGATTTGTAGATGTAAGCCGTGGATCGGTGCGGTTTAGTGGTCGTAGAGGGCTTTCGACTGATGATTCTCCTTCCCAAGCTGGAACTAGAACTCTGTTTAAATTGATTAATAATCCGCCCACGATGGCGAGATTGTCTGTAGCCCCTAGAGTACCTATATTTATCCGCCAAGGATGTTTGGTCTCCCTATACAACAACAATATTGACGGCAACAATGGAAGTGTGTCTGATTTGTCGTTGACTAAACAATTTGTGAATTTATGGAGTAATATGATACAGTATTCATCGTTAAAACCTTCACAGTTTGTGAAATTGGTATCATCTTCGCATTCTTTTAATGCACTTATATCTACAAACAATGCATTGAATAAGAACAGTCAAACATCCATGTACCATTTGAATATTAGTGGAGAAGAAGATTGGCAAGTATGGGGTAAGGATTCTATTGTAGCATATGAACAGAATACATCGTTGGAGTTATTACCAGCACGATCGTTGCAATTCAATAAATTTATTAATCAAAATTTTACAGTACTGAGAGGACGTGGTAATTTATTATTGAATGGTGTAGGATCCATTATTAAGATGGAATTGAAAAACCCTTACGATGAAATATTGGTTAATTATAGAAACTTGTTAGCCATTAGTGGGAAATCTCAAGTTGATATCAGAGACTCAATGGCAAATCAATTGATCTCACAAAACAAGATTCAATTCAATTACATTCCAATACCACAAATCAAAGACGAAAAAACAAAAACTATAACGACTGCGTCGTTGACATCATTCGCAAAGGCAATAGTTATAAGGTTCGGCCAGTACTTAAGAAAATTATATGACGTGTCTAAATATGGTACTCCGACTAATTTCATTCAAATTAAGGGACCTAGAACTATCTTGATCCAAAGTTTCAATAACGCGATCTTAGATAATAATTCAAGCTATGAATTGGAGCCATTATTACCGGATCAACCAATGAAACAATATATTCCAAAGGAAGTGAAGGATGATTTGACAAAGAGTAATTTAAGTTTTGCGTATGTTGAACCAAATGGTAGAGTTGAATTTAAGAAAACTTTGACATTATTAGATTCTGATGACAAAAAATAAGAAACAAACAAACAAAACTTGTCGTACTATTAATAATAATACTAAATAGAGCAATATTTAATACACACATACTTTTACTTTCATATAGATATATACGAATTACAGTATAGATTCCTTTACGGCTTGACTGTATTCACGTATTTCCATCGTTACCAATGATGAATGAAAAAATCAACATCAGTATTCTCGTCCTCATCTTCTATAAGTTGGATATTTGAAACTTTATCCTTGAACCCAACAAAATTGTAATTGTAATCGAAGATGAAATTCATCTCCAAATTTGAATGTTCAACGTTATCATCTTTCAAATATTCTTTAACCCATTTAGTGACTGCCATATCACTGGTCTCATCCCTACATTGGGTTAAAAATTTCACTAATGAGGTACCTCCAGTCCCTACATGATTCTTATTGTTATGAGTTGTTGCTAACCCATTCCTCATAACGTTTGTTTCATTCATTCTCTCAGCTCTAGCCGGAATCAGGATATAGTTCTTGATGATACCTAAATGAACGTCACGGAAATTCTTCATCATTGAAATACAAGTATCATAAGCAAATCTCTCAGCAGATTCAGAACTTTGTTTTAACACATATTGACGAATGTTAGTCTTTTCACCAACTTCTTTCAAAAATGACCTATGTGGTTGTGGCATATATTGGCGCATGTCTAACAAATAAGAATTTCTCTTAAATTGAGATTCATTAGTAATAGGTTTTCTGGGATATTGTTGTTGTCCACCGTCTGAAAAATGGGTAACCCCTAGTACTAAATCAAGATATTGAATCAATGAACTTTGAGCATTGGAACCACCAGACCATTGTTGATATTCACCATTAGGACCATATTTCACACCATGTGGAAGTCCTACTTTAGCCATATTCTTCCAACCAGCCAAAAATGGTCTAATTCTAAAATAAAATACATAAGGATCACATTTCTCATCCATTCTCTTTAAGATATCTGTTAAGTTATCAATACTCATTGCCAGCAATTTCATAGATTCTATGAAGGAAACAGAGTAGTTTGCAGTGACTGCATCTATAGCTTTCAAACCATGCTCGACACATTGTGCACCTATTTTTTCAAAATAAACACTAATCAAATAAAACCAAGCCTCATCAAAACTACCTGTAAATGTTAGACCGGTAGTTAAATTCTCCAAGCTTATTTCTTTAGTGTTGTCAACTAATTTATAATTCCATAATACAACACTTGAATAAGTAGCAACAGGTGGTAGACCTAACTTCTTGGACACTTCCAATAATGGTAGAGCTAAAGAATCTGGTATAATTTCATTTGGAGGATTGATGGACCAAACGTAACCATTGATAATAAATGTAAGTAGGACATACCCCCTTTTCAGTTCTTGTAAAGAAGTTAACTGGTCGATAGATAATAAGGGGAGTCTATTTTCAACTTCAGGTTTCAATTGATTAGTTAACAATAATCGGGGAATATTAGTGGCCAAAGTTTCCCATGGTTTATAATATGTGTTTTCTAGATGGTCCAATGGTAGCTCCGACGACAGAAACCCATTTTTCTCATCAACGTCAAACTTATGTAGATCTAAAATATGAATACCTCCTGTCATGATAAAAGAGAAATAATATATATATACTAGTACTTATTATTTTTTATCTCCAAACTTTGAACACTGAGGATGGGCAATCACGATTTATGTTATTTATTCATCCTATATATATATATACAAGTGGTTAAGAATAACATTCGAAACGTTCAATGGTTGTTTGTCATTTAAATTTATATTTATTTTATTTCGTCCAATTTGAGGATGTCACAGAAACATCCCAACACCACATATTCAGCTTTATAATTGTCAACCAACTGATTGACAACTTCCAAATTAACCCAAAAGTTTGACTCCTTCTAGGATGTCAAATTAATGGAAGTTGTCTATCTAACCGTTCAAAGTTCAACAAGTTACTGGTCGACGTAGTCTATAACTCCGGGAAGGCATACTTATCGGATCAGCTTATCTGAGACAACAGTTGTTTGCCGGGTGAACAACAAACAGGAATGGTAACTTCGAATGAGGGAATAATCACCTGATTTTTTTATTTTGAGAGTGACTGAAGGTTCTTCTAAAGACAAGAGTACTACTGCAAACAAACATAACGCTAAACGGCTACTATTATTAATCTGACAATGTGTCATATTCGATATATACAATATATATTTATATATATTTATGTGAAAGTAACTAACTACAGGAAATGAGGTGCGGATTCTCATTTATATATTGATTGGGTCCGATTCTAAGGAGATGGAATGGTATGAAGAAACCAAAAAGAGAGATAAAAATATGTCAAAAGTGTCAAAATGGTTACTACTGCCACGTCGACTAAACTAATTGAATCAGTCACTCTCTGTTTGGCATTACTTGACTGGATTAAGGATTAACAAAAAGATTTTTTTTTTCTATTGGTATGAATGTTCTATGGGGTTTCCGCCAAAGTATGAATAAAAAAACTCGTATACTATTTACCTGTTGTTTGTTTGGTCATGAATTCCTGAAAATCATTTAAATATTTTTGATTAGCATCACATCTTTGGTTTAGGATTCCCTCGCTTGTTGTCCTTAGAATTGACTCTATCTGTAGGTTATTCTGAACCCAGCCACAAACACTCTTCCATTGCCTGAAACGAGCCTGCTGATCCGTCTTCCAATCTCTCTCTGCATAAGGATCTATTCTTGTAGCCACTTGAGGACCGTTTGACTCCTGGTCGTTTAATATATATTTATCATCCAATTCTTGTTTCATTAAAGTCGCCTGCTCTTGGCAATATGATATAACTTTACTACGTTCCTTCCAATTGGGATACAGTTCGGTCCTCACAAAATCACCACATTTTTCATTCTTTGAACGCAGTGTAGAACCTTTCTCTGTAACGTTATTTATTTTCTGCTTAATAATATCATCACTTCCATGCCTCATAGTTCTTAGAAACGAATCCAAGAGAGTGGGATCAATACATCGAGCTCTTGTGACAGTTACTTCTGTAACAGTTGTATCTACATTAGGAAAGTTTAAATTAGATTCTAAGAACACCTTGGGTGCTCGTACCGTTATTGATTGTTCGCTCATATTGCAGATATAGTAATACAAAAAGAATTATTCTAGTACTGGTACAATACAGTGATGATTGTATTGGAAAACCTATATGGATATAACGTGATATATCTTAGATTGATCCCTTAATATCCTGTGCTTTTGTTCTGTTGTGTTTAACATAAAAGTTCCACATTGCGCCTTCAACAATATTTGAAGTGCCGATGTCCTTAATTTTGTTTTTTTATTCATCTAGAAACGACTAACACATACATCGCATTATCATTCAAACGTGGAAACAAAGAATAATTGTACCTCTAAGATAAATATTTTCTTATATTTTAGTTCTTATGTATTATTATAATCAATCGAGAGAGAGTTAAGAGTCATTGTGTTATATAATATATATTTATAAACCGAAAGAGCCTTTCACAATATCTTTCCCTGTCTGTTCCATCGCATCGTTCATTGCTTGACCAGTAGCCGTAGCATAATCATTAAATTGAGTCTCAATATTGTCCCAGTGTGTTTCGACAGTACGAGATATCCCTCTCATGTAACCATATCCAGCATTATGTTTGTTAGCGTGTCTTATAGGTTTTTGATATGCATGTTCCGAAGAATGAGGTTCTGTCGACAATGTTCCTGCTGCAATCGCGCTCTCTTTATATCTCGAATCAGGACGGTTTTCGCCCCCTAATACCAGAGCCAATTGTTCAGGTGTACAATAAACTGTACCTCTTGCCCATTGTAGTGAATTAACTTGTGGTCTATAAGTAATCTTTAAATTTGGATTGTAAAGAGTATCAACAACTGGTCCATTTGATGAAAGTGTAGGGCTACCAGGGACAGCATTACTTTGTTCATTAACAATAGATAGCAAAACAGATAGGTATTTACCTATTCTCATAAAGACGTCACCGTTCTTGATAACTGCTGTTTCTGTTATGTAATGTGAACTCACAGGGGTAGGTGGGTCCATAGATTTTACTTCTTTTAGGTCAGGTAATGAAAGGACTTTTACAGTTGCATTACTTAAAACAACAACCAAGAAGGTAGTTATTCTGGCTTCACCCTTTGATCCATAATTCAAAATATATGATATATCAGACGCAACAATTGGATGTCTATATGATTTATGGTCTTCTTTAGATTTTCCCGGTTTAACAATTCTAATATCATTCTTCCCTGTAACAATAACATACCCAGTGACACATGATCCCCTTGTCAACTCTTGCATCTTCATAATAGTACCTTCGCAACTACCTCCTGAAGCCATTGCATAGGAAGATATGTTTATGATTGGACCACCATCATTAGTTTTCGAGATTGCGACAAAATCTACCGAAAATCTACCACTACCACTTGGTAAAATTTTATATGTTATTAATTCACCAGAATCTGTACCACAGTACATCAATATACTTGAATACCCGTCGCTTGAGTACTCCATAATGGATATATTAATTGAGGTAATGCATGTTCCCCTAATCTTTGGAATATCTCCCACTTGGCCCATATATATTGCCGCTGGCCCTCTTCTATCAACAATTATTAAGGCACCGCTTGAGTAGGCAATTGCAACAAATCCAATGTTACTATTATATAAAGCAGTGACCTCGCCTCTCTTTGCATTAATCACTGTGCTAGGCATAAATCCCTGTTTGACATTCGGAGGTGCCCTATCTCTCACGTCTACCAAAATATCCTTGGAATCCTCAAGAGAGAACCTTCTAAACATCATATCAAGCTCGGCATCTGAGCTTTGTTTGTTATCCTTAAAGAACTGATTCATTTCAAATTTGTACAAAATAACTTCACCTTGCTCAGTGGCAACGGCAAGTTCCAATGTTTCTGCAGCAAAATGTATCTTGCAAATAGATAGATGAAGAGCTCTGTTGACAACACGGCCTACATTAACCTCAAACACACATTTATCATCTAATTCATTTTGAGCACCATCCCAAATCCGGACAGAACCATTAGTGTGACCTGTGGCAATAGCCGTTCTAATTTCAGATGGTCTCATACCCTTCTTAGATGAATTTCCACCTTTCAATATTGATTCATTCACAGTAGAGTACGTAGACATCAAACCTAACCATAATTTCTTAGGAACAGAGAATGCAGTTGAAGTTGTAACTATAGGTCTGGTCCATGATAAACTTTGCGATAATAAACTTGCCTTTGAAGTGAATGAACCAGATTGAACCAGTAATGTCTCCATCTCACCATCATCTAATAATGCCAGGACAAATGCTGGATCGTGACAACCTCCAAAATGAGCAGATGCTCTTGGTAATGGTAATATATCTACTAGTGGTGCCCTATTTACTAATGGACATAATTTTTGATGTTTGGGACTGGCATAATATTGTTGCATTGCATCGTACGAAGTTATGGAATATAATGGGGTACCACCAAGATCTAGAATAGTTATACCTTGGCTAGTATCGCCCCTAGCTAAACTTTTGGTAGCGATCAATAGCGAAGTATATTCAGGATTATTCATACATATCCAATACACTTTAAAAATTTGAGGTGATCCTAGTGCGTCCATTAATATCTCTCTTTTAGGATTTGGAATGTTAACATCTGTTTCAAATAGGGTTCTTGCTTCAATCAAATGGCCTGTATTAGCGTCCCAAAATACCATTGAGTTATCCTCATGGACAGTTAAAATGTGCAAAGAGTTTGGATGATATAATGATTGAACAACTTTAGGTTTTCTGTTCGTATCAATTTTTTTATCAGAATTGCCACCACCTGGAGCAAACGGTGGAAGTTCGTAGACAAAACTTTGTTTGATCTCCATTTCTACCAATGAGTACACGACTGTCACATAATTATAAGAGATTAAAATATTTCCCAGGTCTCTTGGATTCCATCTAACTGAAATGACAGGTGATATGATTTCCTTAGGAAAGAATTCCGATTTTTGAAGATTTTCAATGGTGACACCAGAGAAACTGTTACGGTCAACATCGTACACCATAACAGCACCATTCTGTAAACCAAGAAGAATCCAATCGATACCGGGGTCTGTCTCCACGCATGTGATATGACTTGGAATAAATACTGATGCTAATACTTTCTTTGAGTATAGTGATAACACTAATAATGTATCCTTGGAATCAATAGCAACTAAATATATACCTTTAACAAAATTTAATGTACGGATAGCACCCTTTACTGATAATGTAAAAACTACTTCAACTTGTCCCTGACCAAATACATGAATTTCGTTTAGATCAGTGGCAACAGCCATCAAACTCTGTGTGAAATCGAAAGTGTAAGCAATGATCTTACCCTTAATCCCAGAATATTTAACCACATGTGAGTTAAATAGCTTAGCATCGGGCGATTGAGAAATAGGACTTACTTTCTTAATAGAACTGGAAACACTTTTAAACTTCCCATCTGAACTTGATGGAACAATGGGAGAACTGCTTGCACTTCTGTTTGCTGAACCACCTGATTTGGGTGACTTAAAGGCTTGAGACACTTTCTTAAATCGATCACTTTTAAACATTGCGCTAGTTATGTATATATAGCAATTTTACAATACAGTATGTTTTCACTTTTAAGAGGCTCGATGTTTGGTTGTAGCACTTTCAATATTGCCTCTTGTAAGTGACTGTTCCTGTTTGTTTTGTTTTATTGACGTTGGTGAGCCTTCGTTAAACAAGCCATCGTTCCACCTTTTTTGGTTTTTTAAGCTTTGCCGGTTGTTTGGCTAAAAAAATAAAGTGGTAGTTGAGCCACGACCATACATTCATTTTACAATAAGGTGATAACATAGACATTCCCAAAGTCCCTCATGTCTTTGGTTATATGAATGATCCACTGTAGAATATGCATTTGGTCCTTGTTTATTAGTCATTATTGTACACAGGTGAATTATATAAATATCTATATATATATGAATAGTTATCATATTTTTTGGGCTCGTAGCAGCTTAATTTATTTGAGTCCTTATGGATATTCTGTTCACAATTCAAGGTTCTCCGGCATGAATGAGAACCCACGGAATTCTTCTTGTTGGTTTGTTGTCAGAACAGATGGAAGAGGAGTCAATGACGGTGGTGCAGAGGTAAATTCTTGTTCAAAGTAAGAAGTATCCTCAGCAGATTTGATATCAGGCATATATGGAGGTTCGACACGTAGAGCTAATACATCATCAAAGTTGATGTTGCGGAAGAATGGTTCTTCCATAACCTCTAATGCATCACGAGGTCCACCACCAAGACGCTTCGATGGATCTTTGGTCAATAACCCTTGGAAAATTTGAACAATGTCCCCGGCCATATCGATTGGATACAATGGTTCATCTGTTAAAATAGCATTGAACACTTCATCTTCATCGTCACCAGAAAATGGTGATTGACACAGTAACATTTGGTAAAGCAAGACACCAAATGCCCACCAATCGACAGCTCTACTATACTCTTGGTCTCTCAAAATCTCAGGTGCCATAAATTCAGGCGTACCACAGAATGTGGAAGTCTTCTTACCATACCACATTTCGTCTTTACATAGACCATAATCGGCTATCTTAATATGTCCTTGTGGTGTCAACAAAATATTTTCCAATTTCAAATCACGATAGATAACACCATTATCATGGAAATATTTTAGCGCTAATAGGACTTCAGCTGCATAGAATTTTGCTCTCCTAACAGATAGTCTTTGATTTTGAACGTGCCACATTAGATCACCACCTCCAATAAATTCCATAGCAAAATAAATACGATTTTCAGTTTGGAAAGAACAGTATAGATTTGTTAAGAATGGATGTTTAGTTTTTGTTGCCAGTAAGAATACCTTCTTTTCAGCTCTAGCACTTTCAATATCATGGTTTTGGATAATATTATCTTTCTTCAATACCTTAATAGCGCACAATCTTCCTGTGTTTTTCGACTTTGATAATATAACTTTACCGAAATTACCTTTACCTAGAACTTTTAGAAGAATGAAATTATCAAGAGAAACCTTCCGACGTCTACCTGACTTTCTCTTTTGTTTAGTACCTGTATGTGCCTTTTGAGGAGAAACACAAATACTGTTCCTGGCATCTTCTGGTATATCATGAAGTTCATCTTTGTGTACCAAATCCGAAGTTGTATTCTTTTCTAAATGATCTTGCTCTGTATCACGGAACGGATTAGAGTAAGTTCTTGGCGATTCCTGTGGCTGCAGTTCGGCGGTATGGCTCTCCTCTATTTCATGGATTCTAGTTGTATGCAACTCAAGTGGTTCGTTAATCATATCTTCTTTTTCTTCTTCTTCTTGTTTCTGTTTGGCATGCTCAGCCACCTTTTGGTCATGGAGTTCAACTTCTAATTGGCGACGTTGCTCTTCCCATAGCTCGTTCTCTTCTTTGTATGGTTGCTCAATATCTTCCTCTACATTATATCTATTATAGTCTTCTAGATTTAAGTCACCATTTTGCGGGACAGTTTTAACAGTATCAGCAGTTGGATCCAAAGTTCTATTGTTATAATCATTTAATTCAGATGACTTTTCATCACGCTCTGCACCTCTAGTAAAATTCAAGTAAACCTCATTTTCTTCAATAAAGTGGTTTAATCTATCAGTGGTGTCATTGATCTTACTTGGTGAAGCTTGAGCTGATGAATGATATTCTACCTGTGGATACTCTTGGTTATGTGATGTAGATTTATACACTTCGGAGCTTGGAGATATATTCTTACCTTTCTCCATAAATACGGAAGCGTGTTTAGCAGGAGAAGTTACATCTCTATTAGCTTTATATGGCGATAATTGCTTATGTGATTTGTGTATTTTCTTCTCACCCTTATTACGTTCAGCATCTTGAATAGTCTTTAATATCTTGTTCGCCATCTCCATTGACATACCGCAGAAGTCAGGAACCAAATGGACACATTGCGTATGGCACATAACACCACATTCTGAACATTTACGGACTTTTTGTTTACTCCATGGTAAGATGTACCCACAATGGCAACACCACTTAGTACCACGGTTAGAACATGGTTCAAATCTATGTGGAATACGATGATTCAATTTAGCTTCATCTGGATCTGTATCTGTAGAGATTTTGGCGATACATTTGGTGACAACTTTAGTATAACATTTCTTATGACATAAGAATTTACAATCTTGACATTGGAAACCTGTATATCTTAAGAATTCACCACAATAAGCACAACACATGATATTGTAAAATGATTTTTGAACAAAGTGGTGACCATGTTGCTCGAAAATTTCTTCTTTACGGTTCATGATAGCACCATGACGATGTAACCCACCCACTATATTTGATCTAACAGGTTGCGAAGATTTATTAAAACCTAAAGTCATTAATATTTGGCCAGTAGGTTCCATAATAAACCAGCTGCTACTAGTAATTTGTTGTCCTTCTCCAGATGTTTTTGTTTCTTGGTTGGGTAAAGTGGTTGAGTCAGATATGATATTAGAATTTGCAGATGGCGTATCAATATTTGCACTACCAGAAACACCAGTCGTGGCCGTATTAGATTGTGTGTATCCAAGATTTGAAGCGCTTACCCAACCTTGTTCATTAGTTATGGCAGTTTTCTTTTTACGGATTTCTTCTGCAATGTCAGATAACAATAACCACATAATCCCTACAGGCGTGGTAATATTGTTGATTCTATCATAAACAGTAATTTCAATTTCATTCCCTTTACTAATATTAATTGAAAATTCTTCATTCCATCTATCTGTCCTAGACAATTTGGTTCTTGCTTTAACTGTATCATCTATTTTGATCTCTACAAATGAATCGGGACTTCTGGCAAACATTGGTGATTGGATATGATCAACATCTCTGATGCCATTCACCATAATCTTTAGCACACCTGTAAGTGGTTTTCTTCTAAATTTAGGTTGTTGATTGGTTATTAAATCATTATCGTTGTGTTTATAATGCCCTAAATCAATATTAAGAGCTTGATATTTTTTCATTGCTTTCTTAAGCATCATGATTCTATGTTTAGATTCAACAACACCACCTTCAGCTGCAGAACTACTACGTTGATCTCCATCTATCTGATATAATTTAGTCAATTTTGTATTTGCTTCTTGATATTGTTCTTCAACTTGTAATTTAAACTCTAATTGTTGCAACATATATTGAATTCTTTGGGACATCGATGGACAATCATATTTTGTTAAATCAAGTCGGGAGAAAATATGTTCATTAGGAGAGATTGTTGATAGGTATCCATATTCGGTGTTCTTCCCGAGTTCGTGGGTATTGTCTTGTTCGTTATTCTTAGCTTCATCATTTAAGCGGATCTTCTTCAAGGTTTCTTGTAAATATTGGATGTTTTGTTTTGCTTCTCTAATGTTTGTATTACATTTCTGGATAACCATGGAATTTGAAGTTTTTTTCTTCAAGTTCTTGGCACCCTGAATGATGTTCTGCTCCACTGCAATCTTCTTGTTGATATCATGTTCAACCTGGGGGATCATGATTCGGTATTACTGATTCACTTTCGGTTATTAATTATTACTATTATTCAAATTCACCAAATGATACTCAATCACTAAAATTATTGATATCTTCACAAAGCAGACAGCGATGACGATGTCAAAGGAGATAATCAGTGTCAGTAGTTTCTCTGTTCAGGATGTTTTATTCACTTCTCCTTTATTCTGTAAAGGTTATGAAATTGTGTGCATTTCCTGATCTATCGGAAAACAAGGCGTTTTCCCCTCCTGAAGCTTCGATTTCGTTTCAGAATTTAAATTTTGTAAATTTCCAACGTCAAACATACGCGAAGTCTGTAAGTGGTGGTGAACATAGGGTAACTATTACAGTCATAAAATTATATATTTAGTGATCAATCGATTGAGGTGAAGAGTTTGGATATTGAATGGATCTTCGAAACGTCTAACTGGTTGATAAGTATATATTTATATACATATGTATGTATGGATATTCTAGAGGGTGTTACACTTGCAACTGCATCCCGGAGTAGGACAAATGTTGTGTCTTGCAAACCACTCGTCTGCGTGGCCAGCATGCATACCATGGTTGCATGTGAGGCAAAAACTAAACCATTCATGGAGTCTTCTCTTACGTCGATTATAACCTAGAGATGCTATTGATTGCATCATATCGGTCCCGTCTTCTTCTTGGAATTGTAATTGTTCCTCACCTTCGTCATCATGTGAGACACCATTGATTATGAATGGCAAATTCGAGGTCCCGAGAGGCATTAAACAAATAGCACATCTTGGATATGGAGTACCACAATGTGGACATGAATGTTTGTGCTGCACCTTATTGGGATTGTTATAGTTCCCAGAACCAGAGAAAATGTTTTGTACTGGCAATTTTGTATTTGAATTTACTGAAGCTGCATCGTTGAAATTGTTTCCAGGTTCACTATTATTTGGGGTGTTGATATTCATCTTGCAACTTGGACATTGGATATACAATTGTCGAGGCTTTGGTTTTGTGGTGATTGTACCAGAACTTGTACGTGAGAGAGTCGTTCTTAACACATCAAACTTGGCTCTCATAGGAAATAATTCCCACGCATTTAGCATTTGCTTGTAACTTTCTACCCAAGCCTCTACTCTTATATCATTGAAATATCTGGGTGATCCACATATAGAAATAAGCGCAGCAGTCTGTACATCACTTGTCTTGTTCACGTAGGATTGTAACAAATTGATACCTGTTGGTGTAATACCTGTTAAGATAAGACCTTCTAATTCACCATTTGATATAACTTGGGTAGATGTTCTCTCCAAGAATCTAGTAAGATCGACATCGCTTAAGAATCTTAATGCAACACCTAGACGTTCACGTAATGAGATAGCTGGCTCGTATAGAATATCCCACCAATCGTTATCGGCGATAAATGCAAATATGACTCGTAAATAAGGATCTTCTAGTTCGGAGGACATCTTTCTGCACTGTGCTCTCCAGGCATTGTTACCAGGCTGGTCTTTGTATGCAAGGTATCCAGCAATTGCTGTTGCAATTAGTTGTAACCTTTCGTTATTGGCAGAACCTAGAATTTCAACTGCTTTAGGGATATCTCCAAAAAATACTGCCCAAGCAGCAGCTTTCTCGTAATGACCGTTACCGATGATTAGATTATATTTATCTTCATAATCGGATGGCGATAAGTCCCAACCAGATATAATTAGACACAATCTTCTTTGAATATTTTTTTGAGAATTAGAAAATTTTGTTATAGGACTCTTGTGACCCAAGCTTGTCTTGTATTTTTTCCTTAATTTGATGATTTTTTCCATTTCTTTTATTAGTTGCTTCTCGGATAAAGTAGAAGCATTTGTGTACCTATTCTGGTTTGCAATTCCGGTTACACCATTCCAAATACCAAGGATACCTTCATACCCTAAATCTAAATCTTCAGAAACAATGGTCCCATCCTCGACTGATGCTTTTGCAATTGCAATCCACCTCCATGTGTTTCTAATGTAAGCATTATTTTGTAATGCTTTAGATTTGTCTATCATTTCAACAGTAGTCATTGGATCGAGACCATAGCCCAGTTTCGCTCTCATTTTCATAATAACAGTAATATCCTTTTGTAATAATCTATCCGCTTTCCAGTACAAGGCATAATCCTCACCTTCTTCTAAAAGGTTATTGGGATCTTCATCAGCATCATAGTTGGTCTCTACTTCATCATTGGAAGCAGAATTATTACGGTTCCTTATGTTTCGGGCTAAATCTTGTTTATCCTCCCCTGGTAATAATTCGCCATCTGTTGGAGTGGAAAATTTATCATCTTCACTTAATGGTATATAATCATCACCTAATCCCAAGTCTTCAAAAGAAAGATTCCTTAAATCTGTCTTTACATTTTCTAATGTTGAGTTGGAGTCTGTTTGAACGACTTGGAATTCATCAATTTCTGGTGTCTCTGCATTTGATAATAATAAAGAGTTATCAAAATTAAACACCGTGGTAGAATAAGAAGGTGTAACAGGCATTCTATACACCGTACCAGAATGACGCATACAGATAATGCTTACCTTGTGTTGACCCTTCGGAATATAGTCAAATGTAGCAACTCTATCATATGTTGTTTGTATATCATGAACTTTCGAAACGAATAATTCTTGTGATTCCAGTCCTGTTTCTTCATCTACTTCCTGACATGAACCTAACATCCATCTCTTGATTGTATCACCTCTGTGTAGCGTTGCAAATTCGCCATCCTGTATAGAAGACCATCTAAAGCAGGAATTCATGTACTTTCTTGATGCAGCACCTGACCCAACCAGTTTCTCAAATGTTAAAAGTGGAGAAGCTAAGCTTAAATCCCCAGGTATTACACTCCTTGTCAACTTCCTCCTATCCCATATGGACAGAGTCCCATCATCTCCATATGTACTAAGTAGCCAATCGTTAAATGGATTCAGTTTAATGTCATAGGAAAGGCGTGTTGGATGTTGGTATACTGGGTTTTTTGTTCTCAAATCTATTTCTTTTAGAAATTTAGTACTGGATGCAATTAAAGAAACCTCGCTTAAGAACCTCGACGATACAATAGACTCATTCACACAATATTCGAATGTCGTATTAACAATTTGTTCTCCAGTTTGTTGGTAATTTGCATCCCAGATCTTTAAAGATGAGTCCTGTTTATGTCTATCAAGACCCATTGCAATTAACCCAGAATTACTCATGGAAATTGTATTAACACAACGACGATGTTTGGCTCTTACAGAGAGTTCAGTATCATTCGTTAACACATTAACAATCTTAGCAAACCCATCCTTTTCACCTACACCGACCATACCTGGGGTAGAATCAGAATAATCCAGACATGTAATGTTTGCAAAATTCTTCATAGTATGAAGTTTAACAATTGAATCATCAGATTCATTGAATGGATCAACTTTATAGTGTGTAATTTCATCTCTTGTAGGATTTACTGATAGATAATCTAGGATCCTATCGTTGGACCATGCATTTACTCTTTTAATCAACCCCATGGATACGCAATGTGAGACTGAGGTATGTTAATAAAGATACAAAAAGAAGAAGAAGAACTTAGGAGGTACCACAATTGATGGTAAATTTGAAGCACGTTATTCTCTTTGAATAACTTTTTCTTGTTGACATTTTGAGAGTCACCTTCCATCAATTTCACTCTAATATAGAGTACAAATGATCTTAATCACACTATTTTCGATAAAAGCGCGAATCTAATAATTTATCATGCAAGATATATTTTATGCAGTTATAAACATAGATATAGATATAGATATAGATATAGATATAGATATAAGAATGAATGAATCAACGCAAAAATATAATAGATATGTGTGTACCTGGCCTTTGGACGTTCAAGACCTCTCTTTTTTTCTTTGTCTGTAGTCATTATTCGTGGATGTGTGAAGTAAAGTAGTCATTATGAGTCAAATTCGAGTAAGTAGTCAGCTGGGTTTCCATTACTATCATTCATTGGATCCCCAAACATTAATTGGGCGTTATCCTGTGCTTCTAGTATATTTCCCGATAGGAACTGGTGTAAATCATCATGTATTTCACCTTTTACGTTTGCCTTTAGATCTGGGTATGCCCTTGAATCAATAATTCTTTCTTCTCCCTCTGCGATGTGTTGAATGTTACGAGTACTGTTATTTTTGGAAGTTAACGTTCTAGATGTTCCTACAGACTCAGATAATTCGCTTGAAGCTCCTTTCAGGTCGATATTATTAAACTTTTCTTCTAATTCGTTAATTTTTCGCAATAGTTGATCTTTTTTATGATCTTGAGCTCTACCAACATCCATTAAGAATCTCACATAATCAACAGTTTTATTTAATATAATTCCTTTATTTGGTTTCACTGGTTTTCTCCTTTCATCGTAACGTAATAGAGCTGGTGGTACCAAATTTCCTAATTCATTAATTTTTTGTTTTATTAAATCTCTCCTTCTTCTTTCAACTGCGTTATGAAAATCTCTTTTACGTCTTAATTTTTCATCATGAGATAGATGTGATAACGATTTTGGAACAGAGGTACTTAGTAATGAATCTGCCCCGTTGGGTGCACCAGATATAGACGGTTGTCTTGAATGTGGGGTGGCTGCGTTGTTGTTGTTGTTGTTATTGGATAATGAGGAATTATTGGGATTATAATTTGATAACGTACTTGGTTGTCTTAATGATGTTGATAAATATGATGCATTAGGTCTGAATGACGACGATGGTGACCTTAAAGAACCAGGTGAGAACGTATTGTTTTGATTATAACTTGTGGCTGTCAATGAGTTTATTGTATCTAAATTGTGTGCATTTAACATACTCGAAGTTGGAGTTCCTAAATTTGATGTATAAAACCCCGAATGTATCGAAGATCCCAAGGATGAACTTAAATCATCTGTGAAGTTTATCATTTGGTCTTCTGTATTAGTAGTAAATAGATCATGCGGCATTTGTTCATCTGTAAAGGACTGGGCATACGAGTTATTAGATATTGATACAGATATGGAATCCTGACGGCCCATATCGGTTCCTTGATCTGGATCCATATTATTGAACTGTTGTTGATTTTGTTGCTGTTGTGTGGCGTGAGAAGAAGTAGTAAACATGTCGTCTAGGAAAGAGGCATTTGTTACCGCCACTTCGTCATTGTTTCTTTGGGAAACTGTCCTTCCATATGGATCTCTATTCATCGATTCATAGTCTTGTGAGTTATTGTTGTTTTGGCTCATATATGCTAATTTCTCATGCTGCATAGCTGGATTACTTCCAGGGTAAACAAATTTATTCTGTGTCGAAGACGATACTCCAGATCCTCTCCCATTCATTTGAGCTTGTTGTTGTTGCAGTTGTGATTCTCTTTCTTTTGTCACACTACTTGAATGTTGTATATCGTCATAGAAATCCAAGAAATTTGGCATCGAGTTCCCTGCACCCATCTGTTTGTTCCCATTCTGGTTCAACACCTCATCTAGTAGCATTTGATTTTCGTCATTGTGCGAGCTCATGTTGTGTTTCTATGTTTCTGTTCTTACCGCTATGGCTATATTGTTCTCCCAAAAACTTAAAATAAAACAAAGCCTTAATGTGTCGATATCTAGCGTCACTATCTGTCTCCTTTATCAGATGGAGTCGTATGTATCGGTTGTCCTTTACGTGAGTCTAAATGAGTCACTATTTAATGTGTCTTACAGTAGACGTTGTTGTTCTTGTTCTTGTTGTTTGTTATGTAAAAAAATTCACAAATTATTTAATTGTTCTTTAAAGAGAAAGGCTTTCCTTTTCGGTTCACGCAAACCGGGTTTTCTAACCGGCGGGGGGTAACTTTCGAATCTTTGGCAATCAGAAACGAATCACTTGAACAATTATAAGAAGTGCAAGTTTTTGCAAGTTAAGAGAGAGGGGAGGAACTGCCTGCTGGGGTAGTTGTCTGTTGTCGTTTTAAAGCCATCCCGTCAGTTATAAATCACCATTACAAGAGGAGGAAGAATGTCTGGGGACTCGCAAATCGATCAACTTAGAAGCTCTCTAAACCGTTGGAACAACTCGAGAACCGGTGGAACCAATGCTTCCGAAACAGCCAGTGGTGGTGGATTCTTTTCCTCATGGACAGAATCCCTGAACAATACGGCCTCCGACATCTACCAACGCTTGCCGTTGACGAGGCAGGATCTAGAGCAAGAAGAGGAGCCGGCCTGGTTCAATCTATCTCGAGTGGAAAGGCTCGTGCTGTTCTTCTGCTTTATCCTTGGATCTGTCGGGTGTTTCACATTATGCATCTTCTTGTTCCCTGTGTTGGCGATCAAGCCCAGGAAGTTCGCATTGCTATGGACGATGGGTTCATTGCTGTTTGTGTTGGCCTTTGGTGTGTTGATGGGACCCGTTGCATATATCAAGCACTTGACGTCTAAGGACAGAATTGCATTCTCTGCATTCTTCTTTGGTACTTGTATAATGACGTTGTATTTTGCTACCATCAAGAAAGTTACGATTCTTACAATGATTAGTGCGATATTGGAACTGGTAGCTGTATTGTATTATGCTGTGTCATACTTCCCAATGGGTGCATCCAGTTTAAGAATGTTAAGTAGTTTTGGGTTAAGTACCGCGAGAGGTGCATTACATATATGATAAACATTAATAATTAAAAAAGGAGAAGATATAAGAACTCTATAAAAACGTATGTATTTTCTCAAAAAAAAATATATATATATATATATATATAATAATATGTCCGAAAGCGAATGACATCATTCCTTGATGATATCGTCATAGTTTGGTGGTTCTGCTGGTCCCACCACTGCATCCGTGTTGATAGTGTAGTTCTTCTTGAACAATGCGTGAGAATCCTTGGTAGAAGACGAACCTGAGATTGATCCGGCCTCTGATGCCTCTGGAGAGTTTGATCCCGATCGAGATGGTGATGTTAGTAACCTATCAATGTTACTGTACCTTTCATTTGTAGGAGCAGGATTGGTATTGGTATTGGTGTTGTTGTTGTTGTTAATGTGTTTATTGTTTTCAGACCCAACAGATGGTGGCCTTCTGATTGTTGTTCCTCTAGACAGATTGATTTGTTGTATTGAATATAAATCTGAATCATATCCTGGAATCATATCTGGAGATCCGATAGGAGAAACCATTGGTGATGCTATAGGTGATGAAATGGGTGAGCCCAATGGTGACCCCATTGGTGAACCTAGTGGAGATCCCGGTACCGATATAGCTTCTTCGAAGGAAGGAGGCGCCACATTATTTTCCACGATCCCCGAGGCATTTCCAATAGAATGATTAGTACTATTGTTTGTATTGACAGCCATATGATAAGTTGGTAATTCCATATTACCTGCATTACATAATTCAGAGACAATAATAATAGGAGTATCGATCAATACTTCATAATGTCTCAATTTAGTGCTATCCATCGGATCTGGCTTACTTATCCTTAACATGATTTCCAATTTATGTCTTGCGTGAATATTACTGAAATGCAAACTATCTAAATAAAGTCCTCTCTTTGGTTTATTCAATCTTGTATGAGTATTTATTTTTGTACCTGAAGTATTTTTAATTTTTGTCTTATGATATCTTTTATCGACAATTTGTTTCCCGTTACTATTCTGTCTCTTTGAGTTCTTGTTACTATTACCGGTGATTGGATTATGATTTGCCAAAAACCCCATGACGCTACTTGTTTTATGAGACTCTGTATTCCCTTCATTAGTATCACCATTGGAAGACGTTGATGTCGAGGTAGATTGAGACGTCTCTGGATTCAATTCGGTATTAAAGATATCAATTCCATAAGGAGCAATAATTTTTGCTTTCTGTCTATCTAAATCTTCAAATTTTGGAAAATGTAATGATGTGTCTATGCAAATTTCTTCAGTAATACCAATAGGATCCGATTTTTTATTATGATTTTTTTTACTATTATTGTTGTCATCATCTTGAGGAAAAGAAGAATAGGATAATAAATTATCATGACAACTATTTTCTATAATCTCTTCTCTTAAAGCCCTTGAACCTTTATCTTTTGTTCTAATTTCCAATAGAGGTAAATTTCTTTCCTTTCTTCTCTTTGATTGAAAATCGAGATAATAAGGATTATAAGGGTCCTTTGCTACTAAATCGATTTGATCATATTCAAATTCGTAATTCTTAGATACAAAAGTAATTCTTTCATTAATGCTAACTCTGACTCTCTTGATACTAATATTTTTTGTCAATGGAGCCAATTTCAATCTTAATTTACAATCACTACCCAAAGAGACGTATTTCTGTTGAAATGAAATTTCGTATGATAAAGAATCTGTCCAAACACGATTGATGTATATTGGTTTATTAGCAGTGGAGATAGATACCGGAGGAGGCGTTCTCACTACTCTTAAAGGATACTCTGCATATATATCCACGCCACCATTGCAAACACCATTAGTGCTGTTGTTGTTGTTAGAATGATGATCAGATGAGGAACCTCTCTGTTGATGTGGTAATTTCTGCAAACCATGTTTCATCATACTAAACAATGATTTATTGTTTGATGATGAGGAAGAACCAAAAGTGGATTTCTTTTGGTATTTCTGTTCTGCTTCCGTACCTCTTGTCGATGATGCTGAGGAATTCAAAGAAAGTTGCGATCCTGTATCGTTGGCGGTACTTGTAATACCATTTTGTAAAAACAATTTCGTACCGAATTTAATCTTATAATTAACTCTAGCAGATGGGAAATACATTGTTTCTGGAATGTGATTAGCAAACATAACGGGCAATATGAATACGTATGTACCAGGTTTCAACATATGATTTGTCTTAGACGACGGTATCGAGTCATTCAACAACTGTAAAAAAGTTTCTTTAGTCTTCTCTTTATCCAAATAGTTTCTTCCAGAGGATGCGGTATTACGAAACAGTTTCCTGTTCAAGTTATTCAAGTTATTCTCTACGATCTGATTAGCCGCCGACACCTCTTTCGGGACAAACAGCGTGCAGTTCCTCGTGTCCAGTGACCACTGCAACGCTCCCGCATTGTAAAACTCCTCGTTGAACGATTTTGTCGGTGGGACCCCATTGTTCCAGAACACCTTGACCTTGGCGGCTAGCTCGACGATGAACGACGCAAACGGCAGCGGGGTGTCGGAGGAGATGACTATCGCCGTGCTGAAGGGGACCCGACTGCTGTTCTCGGTGTCCATTGGCTGTTCTGCAGTAGCCGCCGAGGCGGCCGTGTTGCAGCTACTTCTCGGTGGCGTCGCCTGTTCTTCTGGTGGTGGTGGTGGTGGTGGCGCTGTGTGGGTATCCGCTTGCCGTTGTTCCGGGTTCATTGTCCTCAACTCGTTTGTTTCGTTGTCGTCGTCGTCGTCGTCAAACAAAAACTCTTCGCTGTCTTCCGGTCTTAATCCATTCAACCGGGCCAAGTATTCGTCGTCTGTTGGAGAACTCGTCGGCAAGAAAATCGTGTTCCCGGTGGTGGCCATCGTGACCACAAAATTATTATTAGCGGATTTCTTATTGATGATGGTCTTTTTGCTAACAAACCCACGGCTCAGCAGGTATTGGTTCACGTACCGCTTGTTGTCGAATATTATGCTGGTGGCATCCCGGTTGCGGCTGTCCATGTGGTGGCTGTTGTTTCTTCTTCTTGTCGCCGTCGTCGTCGATGCGTTGTTGCTATTAGAGCGGATTGACTGGGCAGACGGCGGTTGAATCGAATTAGTACTATGTCGTCTGTTACTACCATGGGCGGTATTTCGTTGTATTGGTGGGTTTGTTTTCTTCTTTCGTGGTGATGTATTAGTAGCAGTCGTGGTGGTGGTGGTGGTGGTACTAGTGTTGGTACTAGTGTTGGTAGTTAATAGCGATGACAATGCATTCTTAATAGACGATCGTCTTTTCTCTGGTGTGGTGCTATGCATATGTAAAGGTTTCACTAAATCTGGATTTGAAATAGCGTGTCCTGTGTTAGATCGATATACCATTGTGGTTCATACCTATCATCTACCTATGATTATTATCTATATGTTTATATATATATATATATACAAGCTGATGTACTGTTTGACTCCTGTCATTTCATTTGCATGTTACAGTTGTGTTTGTCTATATATAGGGTCCCTTTTTCGCAGCATGAAAAACCACGCTATATAAATTTTTTGCCCGGTTTCCTCTAAATTAAGCGTTCTTTCTCCCCTTTTGCTTAAATAGTAGGTGCGTATAGCACTGTTATTACATCACACACTCAGCAAACACACATTTATTAGCCCGCTGCCGGTTGTTGCCATAGTCATACACAGATAGCAATTACATGTTGAGGCATATAGAGCGCGTGCTGTGTGCTGTGCGCTGTGGGATTCCGTCCGTGTATATTCCAAATGGCCGCGCAGAGGACGAGACGTTGTTGTTTTCCCCTCGGAATAATTGTTTCTCTCAGAAGGGAAGGCGATGGCGATGCGCGGTGAGGGATATAGGAAGCGAGGCTGTGTTACCCGGGCTTCTGTCGCGGCCTGAACTGCCACGTGACCCCCAGCCAATGGCGGCAGGGCTCGCTCCACGTGACACGCGGCCAATCAGCACGCCGCATTCTCCCCCCAACGCGCGGCCGGCGTCGTTCGCTACGACTGCACACGCACACAACTTGTTCATCTTAATTATCGTGTGAATCAATTACTATTGGATGGACCTCACCGCAGAATAGCTGGATTTTTCATTTGAAGCATTCATTGGATTGGTTTAAGGCTCTCTCTCCCTAACAGCAAAGGGGAAGGGGGCAGCAGAACTCAAACTAACAGTATCTTCTGCTATGTCTGTAATTTTTATTTGAATTCGAGGGAAAGAAGGATACTTGCAATTGACAAAATCTTATATATATACACATACATACCCTTTGCTTTGATTATTATTACATTGTACTTGTAATTCTTACTCTATTTAACTTATTCTCTCTCTCTACCACACATATACAAGCAAACGTATAAATTTATTTGTTGTTGTTTTTTTAAGTTATCTACATTGAGATCAAAATTTTAGACTAGATTAAGGATTCATTATCATCATCATCTCTTCTACATTCCAACACATTATTTGAATCATCCATTGTATTAAACATATTTTTGTTAGTATAGTTATCCCTTTCCCGTTGTGCTTTAAACAAGAAAGTTATTAATAATATTTACAACTACAACTACAACTACGATTGCACATATATAAATAAACCATTATGCTATCTCGTGCCACTACTCTACGTGCAGTCTCTAGAGCTGCTCTTAGAGCTACCGCCACTAAAGCTATCGCTTTCAACACTACTAGGTTTGTTCAACCAATTAGATTCGCCTCCACCACCAAGGCCCAACCGACCGAAGTCTCTTCTATCCTGGAAGACAAGATCAAGGGCGTCTCCAACGAGGCTGCTTTGAACGAAACTGGTAGGGTTCTGGCCGTGGGTGATGGTATTGCTCGTGTCTTTGGTTTGAACAACATCCAAGCCGAAGAACTGGTCGAATTCTCCTCCGGTGTTAAAGGTATGGCTTTGAATTTGGAACCAAACCAAGTCGGTATCGTCCTGTTCGGGTCCGATAGATTGGTGAAAGAAGGTGAAATCGTCAAAAGAACCGGTAAGATCGTCGATGTTCCTGTCGGACCAGGTCTGCTAGGTAGAGTCGTCGATGCTCTAGGTAACCCTATCGATGGTAAAGGCCCAATCAAATCGGTCGGTAACTCTCGTGCCCAAGTGAAGGCTCCAGGTATCTTGCCAAGAAGATCCGTCCATGAACCGGTCCAAACTGGTTTGAAGGCTGTCGATGCCTTAGTGCCAATTGGTAGAGGTCAAAGAGAATTGATCATTGGTGATCGTCAAACTGGTAAGACCGCCGTCGCTTTGGATACTATCCTGAATCAAAAGAGATGGAACGAAGGTAAAGATGAAAAGAAGAAACTATACTGTGTTTACGTTGCCGTCGGTCAAAAGAGATCCACCGTGGCTCAATTGGTTCAAACTTTGGAACAACATGACGCTTTGAAATATTCTATCATTGTCGCAGCTACTGCTTCTGAAGCCGCCCCATTACAATACTTGGCTCCTTTCACAGCTGCCTCCATCGGTGAATGGTTCAGAGACAATGGTAAACATTCCTTGATTGTCTACGATGATTTGTCTAAACAAGCCGTCGCTTACAGACAATTGTCTCTATTGCTAAGACGTCCTCCAGGTAGAGAAGCTTACCCAGGTGATGTTTTCTACTTACATTCAAGATTATTGGAAAGAGCCGCTAAGATGTCTGAAAAGGAAGGTGGTGGTTCCATGACCGCTTTGCCTATCATTGAAACTCAAGGTGGTGATGTCTCTGCTTATATTCCAACTAACGTCATTTCCATCACTGATGGTCAAATCTTCTTGGAAGCAGAATTGTTCTACAAAGGTATTAGACCAGCTATTAACGTCGGTCTATCTGTTTCTCGTGTCGGTTCTGCCGCTCAAGTTAAGGCTCTAAAGCAAGTCGCCGGTTCTTTGAAATTATTCTTAGCTCAATACAGAGAAGTCGCTGCTTTCGCACAATTCGGTTCCGATTTGGACGCCTCCACCAAACAAACCTTGGTTAGAGGTGAGAGATTGACTCAATTGTTGAAACAAAGTCAATATTCCCCATTGTCCGCTGAAGAACAAGTTCCTTTGATTTTCGCAGGTGTTAACGGTTACTTGGATTCTATTGAATTGTCAAGAATCGCCGAATTCGAATCCAAATTCTTGGCTTACTTGAAATCGAACCACAACAATATTCTAGAAGAAATTAGAACAAAGGGTGAATTGACTAAAGAATTGATGGCTACTTTGAAATCCGCTACTGAATCCTTCGTGGCTACTTTCTAATCAAAGATCATTTAATTTTACTAATGTAATAGTAAAATTATTATATCTTTGTTAATTTTTACTACTATTATCTATTCTTATTATCCCTAAAAGAGGTCCCAAACAATGAATTATTCCTATTATTCGTTAGTTCTCATTCCCTTTATTAATCTGTCAAAGAAATATATAAAAGAAAAATAAAAAAAACATTTTAGAAAATTTCCATGCAAACTAAGAAGGAAAATACATAAAATAAACATATAAATATATATATATTTACTTCCAGTACTGTATCAAGAAAACTTCTCTACATTTATATATATATCTATTATTCACAGCCTTGTATACATCAAATATCACGTTCAAGGTTTCTGTAATCATATTGAGTCTCTTAGTATTTGGCTTATCTCGCTTTTTTTTTTTTTTTTACTCCGGTTACTGGAATTTAAAGTGTCACACCATTATGCATGTTTAGGAAATTGAATCCTAATGTATTTTCCAAGTAATATGTATATATATATATATGTATGTATTACTGAAACTTGGATATTAGAAAGTTGGATAACTAAACTTTTCATAAATTGCATCCTATTTTCTACATAGAGAGAGACTGGAATAAATACAAGTAAGCATGGAATTGAGTCAAAAATATGACGGGAAAGTGGCAGTGGTAGGCGCAGGTTTGGTAGGGTGTCTTGCCTCCCTAGCGTTGGCCCAACGTGGGTATGACGTGACAGTGGTGGAGTACCGTCAGGATCCAAGATTGGAGGACACTACTGACAGAAACTTGAGATCCATTAATTTAGCCATCTCAGCAAGAGGAATCGATGCGTTGAGGTTCGTGGGCAATGAATTATGTGAAAAGGTTTTGCATGATATGATGCCAATGAAAGGTAGGATGATTCACGATATTGATGGGAGACAAAAGGAACTATTGTACGGGATTGCAAATGAACATATCAATTCTATTTCAAGAGCTGGTTTGAATTGCGATTTATTGGATGAATTGGATGCCGTGTCAAATATCGATATATGTTTTGAACATAAATTGACCAGGATTGAATGGGGTGACTCAAAACAAGTATGTCATTTCGTTCAGAATAAAGAACCGATGACTTTTGATTTCGTCGTAGGTGCCGATGGCTGTTTTTCTACAGCAAGGTCTCAAATGCAACGTAATTTGAGAATGAATTATAAACAAGAATATATCGACTGTTGCTACATCGAATTGTATTTGCCACCACGGAAAGATGGAGGATTCGTCATGGCCAAGGATGATTTACATATTTGGCCCCGTGGTAAATTCATGTTGATCGCTCTTCCAAATGCTGATGGTTCATTTACTGTGACTTTTTTTGCTCCATGGTCCCAAGTAGATTCATTAGTGAAATCAAAACAAGAAACAAAAAATTTCTTGCAAACCAATTTCCCTGATGCAATGGACCTGATGGGATTAGATTCCACAGCAGATGAGTTTATCAATAACCCAAAGGGGCCATTGATGTGTGTAGAATGTTTGCCTTACAACTTGTCAAATGGTTCGGCGATCCTAATTGGTGACGCCGCACATTCTATGGTTCCATTCTACGGACAAGGGATGAACTGTGGGTTTGAAGACGTGAAGGTTCTTATGCAATTGTTGGATAAGTATCGTGGTGATCGATCAGTCGCATTCAATGCTTACACTGCCACGAGACACGAGGATCTCGTGGCTATCAACAAGCTAGCCAGAGAAAATTACAAAGTAATGTCTGAGAGTGTGACATCTGTTTGGTTCAACGTTTACAAACGCATCGATGAGACATTCTCTAGAGTACTAAATGATTCTTGGTTAACATTGTACACTATGATCTCCTTCAGAGCTGACATTTCATACTCAGACGCCATCAGACGTGATAATAGACAACGCAGAATCATTAAATGGATATCTATATCTAGTCTTATGGCTGCTACTGTTATAGCCTGTCGTCGTTTATCCCAGTAGCGTTGCAATATATACAACTTTTCTGTATTAGTTGTGTCAAATGTCAGTAGAAAAATGGTATATATTTCATATATAACTGCAATATGTTTTTTTTTTGATTTTCCATAGGGCGATGATGTATTTTGATCTATTTGCAAAATGTAAACAAACAACATTTAAGAAGTTGGATCATATTTTAAACAACAGAACGTTAACGTTCATATATAGATAGATATCAACAGAGGTCGACGCATAGAATTAAACGCCAGGTGTATAATAGTAAAAGTAGGGCAATGACGACACAACTGCGATTGGACAACGATGACGAAGAGGGTCTTTTTACAAACAAGACCACAATGATGGCAAACTTCGAGGAGTGGATCAAGATGGCCACTGATAACAAGATTAACTCGAGCAACAGTTGGAATTTTGCACTGATCGACTACTTCTACGATTTGAATGTGTTGAAGGATTCAGAGAACAATATTAATTTCCAGAAAGCTTCTGCTACTTTGGATGGGTGTGTAAAGATTTATTCATCAAGGGTTGATTCAGTTTCCAATGAGACGGGGAAACTACTTAGTGGGTTAACTCAAAGGAAAGAAACTACAATGAGAAATGGTGGTAATAAAAAAAATGGTGATCAAGAAGATGGAGAAAATGAGGAGGAAGGTGACGAAAGTAGTAATGTTGCTGATGGTGATAATGTACAGATCGATCCATTAACAGGACTCCCGATATCTGTAATTACAGATATGACAAAGAGAAGGGTTCATAATAGGGTTCTGGAGACAACATTAGTGGATTTTGATACAATTAAATTGAAAACTTTGGATCAAGAGTTGAATATTGATCCGTTGTTTAAAAAAGCTCTCGTAGATTTCGATGAAGGAGGTGCTAAAAGTTTATTATTGAATACGCTGGATTTAGATGATTCTTTGCGTGTTGTGTTTGATGCCTCAATAAAGGAAGACAAGCAAAATGATAGTAGCCGACCATTGCCATTGGCTGACCAACAAAAGGAGAGTGAAGATGGCGACGAGGATGAAGCAATTGATGAGTCAGGATCTATGATGAATAATAATGAAATCAACAAAAGTAAATCGCAGTATCTTATTGGAGATGACACCAAGGATACAACTTTTATAGTCGAAGATGAGGTGTTGGCTTTGGGTATAGATTTTATTAAATTTGATCAATTGGCCTCAAGTGAGATATCATCTTCGATACAACAACTTAGAAATGTTGTTGAAGATATTAGTAAAGCAAAATCCTTCGTAAAGAATGTTAACAATAAACTAGATAATTTCCTTACTGAAGAGGAGATCAAGGACACTGTTCCAGATGCTTTTGATGGGATGGATGACAATATGGACTATTATGATGATGGAAACAATGAAGCAATGGACAGTCATGGGAATTTAACAGCACGTAGGCTTGATATGTCGAATATTGACATGGATGTTGATGATGATAACACTGATGATTTGGAAGATAATGTAACCATTCAACCTATTATGGAAAAGGATTTGATGGCTTATTTTGATGATAACTTGAATAAGAATTGGCGAGGAAGAGAACATTGGAAAGTTCGTAGTTTTAAGAATAAATTGTTGCCTGAAGTAGCATTAAATGATGAAAAGAATAATATAGCAACGAATACTCATGCTACTGATAGTGAAAATAATAATGGTAATAATGTGGAGACTGTCACTGAGGGTGCTACTACATCTCAGAAGAAGAAGAAGAAAACTGTTACTATTGATTTCTTTAATTTAGATGATGATTTGGAGGATAATGTTTTTACTCAGCCCAAAAAGAAATCTTGGATAGAAATGACTCAAAAGTTAAGAATGAATGATACGCATTATCTGTTACCTGATGATTTCCATTTTTCAACTGAAAAGATTACAAAACTGTTTATTAAGCAGAGACAAACAATGAGTTTGTTCAGTTATACGAAAAAGACTGCAAGGACAGATTCATCGTATATGCATCGTGATGCATTTACTGGTGGTGTTGGAACGGAAGAAAACGATAATAGTGAGGGTCATGGACCTGAAATTGCAGATGAAGAATTCTGGGCGGAAACATACAAGAGAAAGGAAGCCGAAGAAGCGGCTCGTGTAAACGGTAGTAATGGGGAATCCATAGATGTGATTGGCGCACATCTTGAAAACCCATTTGATGATGGTGATGATAATGGTATTGATTTTAACCAAGCATTCGATGATGCAGAATACAATGATGACGAACATGGAGACAACCAGCCAATACGCGAAGACTTCATTAAGAAAAATGAGGATGAACTAAATGGTATACCCCAGAAAGTTAACTATTCTCGTGTTTCTAAGAAAGTTGATGTAAGAAGACTAAAGATCAATATTTGGAAATCTGTATTATTGCTAGTGAACGAAAAGGATACAGCTGAAGATATCGAACAATCATATGAAATAATAACTTTGTCTTTTAAGGATATTGCAAATCAGTTGGTGAAATTCTATCCAAAGGAACTTCTAAAGGATATATCTACCAGTTTCTGTTTCATTTGTCTATTACATTTGTCGAATGAACATGGTTTAACTATTCAAAATACAGAAAATTTCGAGGATTTGAAAGTAGAATATAATAAGTCAACGATACAGTTGAGTCAATAAAAGGTCTCTCCTGAACTAAATATCTGCATAAATCAGTATATATGTATGTATGATTAGTTGTAACTTTCTTATACGTACCCGCTTTTTATTTACTAACTCCGGTGTACATTAAATTGAACCTTTTAGCTTTGTTTGATTTTTTGGGTTTGGCGAAGATGACTAGTCTCAAGTATAAATAGAAGGAAAATATTAAAAAAAGATGCATGACCAAAACGTATGTCAGGTTGGAGGTTTTTCAAACTGGGATACATATAGTAAGAACTAAATATATATTGTGTATGTGTGTCAACAATGTCTAGATTCAGCGTATTGAAGGGGATCAACCGTGTAATAATACTTCCAACAGCCGGATTTACACTTGGTGTAGCCACTTTCATTAAAGGGTGGCCCGATGAGTCTGAAGCATTAACTCTTGAAGATCAAGTACAAGAAAGTTCGAAAGTATATAGCAAATCGAAACAACCCCTATATTTGCAGAGATTGGATATTTTACATAAAATATCAAACCAACCGCTATACAAAGAATTGATGATGGATCCTGATGTGAAACATACATTCCAAAGTGAGGGGATCCCTCAAGGTCATAGGTTTTATCATGTTGGACAAGGTCAATTATTTGGTCCAGGAAAATTGGAAATTGATCCCTTAGTGTTTATGAATGAGAAAAAGGGAGAGATCGTGGTGTTTTATCATTTAGGTAAGGATCTCGGCAATGAAAGAGGTCAAATTCATAAAGGTGTATTATCATTGTTATTAGATGAAGGTTTATGTTTCTGTGGGTTTCCTAGACTTCCAAATAAGAGGGGTGTTACTGCTAAGTTAAGTATTGAATTTGCTAAGGAGATTCCTCAAGATAGTACTATTGTATTAAGGGCGCATGTAAGTGAATCCAAAGGTCGTAAATGTATCATTGATGGGAGTTTGGAGTCTTTGCCACAACGTAATATTATAAACAAGATATTAAGGCAAGGCGGATCTAGTGATGGTACCATTTATGTTAAATCCAAATGTATATTAGTTGAGCCTAAATGGTTTAAATATTTTTCATGGGTAAATCTATTTGACGCATAAATAGTTGAGAAAAAAATATTTGATATATTCTTAAGAATGTGTATTAAAATTAAATAAAATGAATAATGAAATTAGATACAAAATAAGATAAAAAAAATGCTGCATCGTAATATGAAAGTTGAACGTTAAAAGATAGATGATTGAGGGTAAGATATTATTAATATTATGCAAAAAGGAGAGAAAGTTCTTTGGAGGATAAGAGAAGTGATGGAAATTTTGTTGTTGTTGTTTTTCTTTTCATTCTAATCTTCTTCTCTTTAGATCATCAGGAACATCACTATTTGGAGTAGCAATGGAACTTCCACTTGATTTGTTTTTTCTCTTCTTTGATATCTTTCCGGTTCCATCCAAATCGAATGCCAAATCATCTACTTGGAAACCTTGTTGATCTTGAAATTCTGACGGGTAAGATCTACCGAATTGAGAAAGTACATCTTGACATAGATTCCAGTCCATATTAGGGGCATTAAACAAAGAGGCATCTCTATTCATCATCGCATTATGATAATCTTGATCAGACATTTCAGGTGTCCGCGTTACTTGTGCTAACATATCCTGATTATTTTGAAATAAGATATTTGCAATTTCTCCACCTTTCCCATTTTCTCTGCTTGGTATCGTTGAAAATTTTGCAGATAGATCTCCAATTTGATTCTTATAAGATTTCCGCAGTTTAACTGCTTTAGAACCATCTTTATTGGTTCTTGCAACTTGATTAGCTAAATCACTTAAACCATATACCGAGATCAAGTCATCCAAAGGAGTAGGTTGTTGTGGAGTATAGTTTACTTCTGGATCAACGTAATAGTAATATGAAGGTGTAGTTTCCATGATGGTATTGTGTATGTAGGGTGAGAATTGAATCAGCAACGAAAAAGTAAATATAGTAGAAAAGAAAAGACTAGCTTTTGTTTTTTAACTTTGCGTTAGGTTAATGTGTGTGTTTAAATATTTCACGATCGACAAATAGTTTGATTGTCTTTTTTTTTTTAAATTATTACCATTAATTAAATAGTAGATCTTTAAATTTATTAGAATACTATTATAAATAAACGAAAGAAAAGGAAAGAAAAAGGAAAGAACTCAATGTCCAGTTGTTTCTACTCAATATATGTTTATTATAAGCAAAGGTGTCAGTTTCTTCAATATATTATTCAACTTATTTAAAATATAAGATAATTAATACGTATGCACCAAAAGGCGACAACGGACATTACTACGTGAGGAGAACAAGTTTCTTCATGTGGTCTAATTCCCCTTTCTCCTCTTCCTTTGTCTTGGTGAGTTATTCTGTCTCCCTGTTGAATACCTTCTCTCCTTCTGATGAGGCAAAAGAAAACTGAAAAATAAATACTGCCGAACGAAATGTCCCAGGCGTGTGCACCTCACCCCACTCCCCACGATACCCTACTAAATTCTAAATTCGGTGAGCGTGGGAGGGGGACAGGATTTCTTTTTCGTTCATTTACGCATCGTGAAATGTGATTTACCCTCAGGGCGCCCCGAGCGTTGCTTTTTCCGCTCTGGCAGGGCCACTGCCTCCTTTTTAAGGTTTCTGCGCATTTCTTTTTTGATGCTCGCTGCAATCTCCGGAGAAAAAGCAATTTTTCGGTGCCGCGCCGTCCGTTGCTTTTTCGAGCTCTTTTTCTGCGATGTGACGGTTTCTTGGATTTTACCACCCGTGCATCCTCCAATACTTCTTTCCACATCCGGACACCCACTCGAAAAGGAAATTGATATTTTGTTTTTTTATTGCTCGCTTCAAGTGAAAAATTTGGTGGAACTGAAATATGGTTTTTTTCAATATTGCTTACTATGCGATTACGAGAGAAAGGAAGACAGAGACAGTGAGATTACAGTTTCATGCGGTAGAATTAACAAAATCAATGAATAAACATAGTATAGTGCAATATGATTACTACATAACAAGTGATAGACGGTTTTAAAAACTAGTCACCTTTCAATTAATAATAAATTTTAGTTCAGTGTACAAGAACAGTGATAATTAAGGTATGTTAGAAAGTGTATATATGGGAGACAAGTAGTAGTGATGAATATTGGTGATTAAGATGGAAAAACGAAATAATATTTGCATGCACACACTTATGGAAAAGTGTAATGATATTTTGAGTGTCGAACAAACGTAACAAAAAGGATTGATTATTAGATTTGGAATTTGGAATTATAGAGACACATATTTGTATGAAGTTTTAGGAATTATTTAAAGAAAACTACATTATTGAAATATTGTTTTATTTATCATTACATTGCAGTACCCATTTCATTTTGTTATAAAACTTAAACTCCCCATTAAGATAAAAAAAATTCGCTCTTTTTTTACTAACATTTAATAAATTATTGTTTATTGGAATTTATTTTTAGCAAATCAATTCAATACTCTTCTTTATTTATTTTTCATTACAGAAAATGGCCTCCTCTTTACCACATCCAAAGATCGTTAAGAAGCACTCCAAGAAGTTTAAGAGACACCACTCTGACCGTTACCACAGAGTTGCTGAAAACTGGAGAAAGCAAAAGGGTATCGACTCCGTTGTCAGAAGAAGATTCAGAGGTAACATTGATGAACCAACCATCGGTTACGGTTCCAACAAGAAGACCAAGTTCTTGAGTCCATCTGGCCACAAGGTCTTCCTAGTCGCTAACATCAAGGATCTAGAAACTTTGATGATGCACACTAAGACCTACGCTGCCGAAATTGCTCACAACGTTTCTTCTAAGAACAGAGTTGGTATTCTAGCTAGAGCTAAGGCTCTAGGTGTTAAGGTCACCAACCCTAAGGGCCGTTTGGCTCTAGAAGCTTAAATATAATGAATAATTATTATTATTATTCATACAATTTTATTTTTATATTTAAAAAAACGCTTCAATTCCATTCATAAACCCTACATATTAAATGCCTAAAAAAAATAGATAAGGCATATATA